CGATTATTTACAGGACGCCGTCATATAGCTGGAATATTGCTGAGTGCGGCATTTAAAAAAACCACGTATTTGTTATAAATTAACTCACCTAAATACCTGAGAAGTACCGGGGGACTTATAATAACCTCTGTTCCATAAGACCCTGCAGGTAGGATAATATAAGAAAAATATATACTAATTACTATATGAATTATCAAGAAAAGCAAAAATTGGAAGCCATAGAAATTGTACAGTTTATATATCTACGTACGTATACTGTCTGAAGAGTCGTGCATTTTTCTGCAATCAGCCTTGCACACGAAGAGAGTGGTTCATTATTAATGCATATAATTAAAGTTGATAATTTTCTATGCATGTGATTTGAATGACAGTTAATGCAGTGGATTTGTGAATCACACAAAATATATGTTCTTTAAAACTTCATTGCAACATTATGTTCGTAAGTTTTCACTGAATCTAATAATGATCTTGTTTTAAGTATGGTAAATTCGTTAAAAAACAATGTCGTTTTAACATTTTTGTATTGGCGGATCCAGAGGGGTGGGAAATTGAGGGAGTTGCGTCTCACCCCTACTGCTCGGTACAGCTGTACTGAAAGCAAAGTCTGTGTGACGCACACTTGCCGAATCGACCGATACACCTCATTTTCACGTGACCAATCCGCGGTCATGTGACTGCGTAAATACGAATCCAGCATGGCGGTGGAAGGCGAGTTGTTGTGTTTCGTGACACTTCTCGCAGGTTTACACAGATCATATGGCATAATTTACCAACAACCTGAGCAGATACACCTGTCATATGGACGTAAGTGTTTTTCCAGCATCCTCAAAGTAGTATCTATATAATCTGTATGGCTTCTAAAGGTTATAACTTATATCTTCCGTAGTGGTTGTGTTTTCTGTCTTTGGTACTTTCGGAAGAAACTTTAGATGAGCTGGGGTAAGACTTCCGCCCGTTTCCCCCCTTAAAAATATATATGATTAAACGGCAATGCATACATATATGTTTTTTGGAGGGGTACGGGCGGATGTCTTTCCAGTAAAAAAGTTTCACCAGGTGCTTTAATTTATGTTCAGCTGTCATGGCTATAGTTCTTTATTTCTCAACAGGGTGGAGGAGAAATGGTTTCGAATACCGACCTTGCTTATATAAATCCTGATCCTGTTCTGTTGATCGTTATAGACAACACTTTGTCCTGCTTCACTAAAAGAAATATCTGTGAACATGAATTCAAGGTGTGAGATAATACTTGATATGATTAAAGGGGCACTGATCTAACGCAATTCCCCGGGACTGGTTGTTGCCTTTGTTATTGTTTTTTCCCAGTGAGTACCCGGATGTATAGCAGAAATCTAGACTAGTTCGCGACCTCTGCTGCGCCATTCGTAAGCGCATTAGTCACTTTTATGGGTAGTAATAAGGGTCACATTGATGAACAAAATGAAATACAGTTTTCGAGATAATAAGGAAATGTAGGTATCTTTGTGAGTAGCATCGGTAATGGTGACGAAGTTTTGATAAGTCACTTGCTTGGTAATTTTGCGATTTTCGTTTACACTATTTTGACTTGCAACACAAAGTACATATTTCACCTGAGCATTGCTTTTTTTATAGTGTGTATTTTTTTTTACTGTCAAATGTGTAACAAATTTATTAAACATCTAAATATTCAGTTATTTTACAAAGTGACTGAAAAACATTTCCATCTGTATTATTATGATAACGAATTCCAAACATTTTGATGTTTAATGTCATCACCAAGAGACTGAAAATGTTACGTTGAGAAAAGTACATTTCTGTGTTGTTTGGCTTCTAATCCTACATAATAATCTGTTGTGATGTTTGTAGGCCCTTTTGATCGTCTTAATCAATCTGGACAGAATTTTTAGTCAAAATGACTGAAATATTTACACATTTTATAAATTGCCTGAGAGAATCACATTTTACAAATTGACGGTAATATATACACGCTTACAAAGGAAAAGACCTGTGAAAACAACGTCTATCGCGCATTGAAGAATTTCCCAACCAAGACGTAGAGAAACAAGAACGAATCGGTTCAAATGAAGGAAAACAAAATGCAAATATCATAATTACAACCTACCAAATTTATGTGTATAAATTTTAGGCAGTGTCCTTGTTCGAGGAATGTATCCGTGAATATCCACACAAAGGAACAATATCCCACTCGTCTGCAGATGTACAAAGAGACTTTTTCGATGTCACGTGTCTCAGTAACAATCAAATATTTTAAAAGATATATGTCGTTTCGGGATATTATAACCCGTGTTAGTTTCTCAACTGATCACTTGGATTGTTTCAGGTGTTTTACATAGGTGTCAAGTCTCAATGGTCGGCTGAGAAAGCCCACGTGACAACTATTTTCATAACGTTCACGGTTCCTATATATCCATTGAGTGATAGATAACAATGATCAATCAATCAACGTATTATAAGTTAACCCTTTGAACAAAGTATGTTGTTTTACATCGGCACTTCACGCCATGGTATGAGTGTATTCCCTTTGTTTTAGTAAACCTTGACGTGTAAACACTCACTCTTGACATATCCACTGTGCAAGATAACAGTGATTAATCAATCAACGTATTTTCTGTTAATCCTTTGATGACTAGGAACGATCCGTTGATTTACAACAACAACAAAATCAACTGATCATTCATCTCTTGCTGGGATGCCACGTGCATGTCACATAACACACATTTCACCTCACTTCAAACCTGGATTTAGATTGAATAATTACCCCAGACACAATAAATGCCAAATGGGAACCTTTGTCAGGTAATCTAAGTGGTGCTACCACTAATTGTACCTGTAATAAATTCATTAACTGAGCATCAAGTGAATGACGACAAATACACAAGTGAAGGGTTATACGAGAAAACGTGGATGTCAACAAGGGAGTAGTAATCGTATTATCGACGCAAGCCGAAATCCGAAAATGCTTTCACTGCATGGATACTTTTTTTAGTATAAAACTATAACCATCTGGGGTATTTCCAAATGACGACATCCGATGAGCTCCGCTGTTCTTTTTGTCTGCTTGTTTAGGCTGAAGAAATTAAGTAACATGCGCCCTTTGTCGAAATCTGTATAGATCACAGTTAACCAATCAGTGTTTATGCAAAAATGCGTAAAACAAATATTGCCTCCAGCCTCCAAGTTTATTTAGCTGTCCTTGCAGACGGTAGCCCAGTCTCTGGTCACGCTCAGTTGCGTTGCATATCATCCGGGTACTCACGGGGGGAAAAAACAATAACAAAGGCAACAACCAATCCGGGGAATTGCGTTAGATCAGTGCCCCTTTAATGTAGATTGGTCTCACCCCATTTGTCAGATACTCCATTTAGCATTAACATCACAAATCCCACGGTTGAGTTCTCCCATTGTCCAATGCTTGTAACCCAAGTGGTAAAATGGATTACCGTGTTCAACGTAATAAGCGCCAGGACACTCTCAAAAATAGAAATAGGGGGCTTTTGCTAGAATATAATTTTGGTGAGAAAAAAAACCAGGGTTGAAAGATCGTAAATTTCGTGGTTTATGCTGACGGCCTGAAATGATACAAAAGAAAAGTATGTGCGTATTATACATGACATATATATTTTCCAGAATTTATTTGCCCATAATTAAGGGTGCATATAACACACGAGTGAGCATTATACACGAATAAATAAGTCTTGTGTATATTGATCAATCGGAAAGGGTGCTAATTTGGATTGTTCACTAGCCAATATATTAGCAAATATTGCCGTGGGCGCTTTTTAGAGCCGGGCGCTTATTACGTCGAACACGGTAGTCCTGATCATATCCTGTTTGTCAGACACCTCATGAGAATATAAAATTTATAATATATTAATGAAAAGACTGTCCTTCTGTTTCATGAGATTGTTACTACATCAAATTACGTGATTTAGCACATTTGAACCGATAACTGCAACAACCCACTGTCTGTATATGTCTCAATGATGCATCTCCAGTGAACATATAATCTCATCATGCGTTCATTCTACAGAAATTGGCCATAGCAAATATGCATAGTTTGGGATTTGATGTTATTTTTTTAGCCAAACATTTCTTATTTCTTAGTTTGCAGCTTTTAATAATACCAAAACTGGTGTGTAGGTAAGGAAAAGATTAAAAAAATATTTCAGACATATTTGTACTTATTCTTGTTCTTGTGAATATGTCACTGTGTGATCAGTGGATCAGTGTTTTGTGAGCTTGCCTCGTCATCCTATTTGGTTAATGTGTTGTATTCACAGTTGTGTGTGCTGAACATGTACGTTACATTAGCATGATGAGGTGGAATAAAAAAATAGGGCTTTTCAGATTACCGTATTTGACGTAATAAGCACCCACGACAATATTTGCTAATATATTCGCTAGTGAACAATCCCAGTTAGCACCCTTTCCGATTGATCAATGTACACAAGAATTATTTATTCGTGTATAATACTCACTCATGTGTTATATGCACCCTTAATTACGGGCAATTAAATTCTGGAAAATATATCTGTCGTGTATAATACACACAGATTCATCTTTTGTATCATTTCGGGCTGTCAGCATAAACCACAAAATTTACAATCTTTCAACTCTGTTTTTTATCTCACCAAAATTATATTCGATTAAGATCCCCCTATTTTTAATTTTGAGAGGGCCGTGGGCGCTTTTTACATCAAATACAGTCATGACACTTGGCTACAGAATACAAATTGTCATTGTTTAACATGTGAGTTCACTGGCAGCAGATGTTTCCTTGCTACAGTAAATGGCCATTAACCAGAACAATATTAATCATTCCACACAAACAAATCTCAGTAGCATGAATAGTTTGTATGATTTCATTTTTTTATTGTGTGCGAGGTGTACTGATTGACGTGATTACTTTCTCTTTTCCTGCTATTGAGCAATGTTCTTCCTCACTGCATCACATTATGTTGAACTCAATAATGTTTGTCCCCACTTTAATGATAGTTTATGTCATGTTAAGTGAAATGTGTTGCCAGTTGAGATTTCATTGCTTGATTTCTATGCGAAAATAAAATCTGCTGTGCAGTGTTGCAACCCTGGGGCACACCAGAAATCTGATCGTGTGTCCGAATCCCTATTCACCCCAGTTTTGTTTCTAGGTTTGTCAGCAACATGGTAAATATATAAAACCTGCATCACTTCAGGCTTTCCTCCCACATTAAGCTGACATGCTGTGATATAACTGGACTAATGTTCAAAGCGGTGTTAAACCCAACTCACTCAGTCAGCCGAAATTACAGCTTAAAACAGCAAAATGGTCCAGTCCACAGCTAATTCCCTTGCCACTTCTAATATATGTATTTAATTTTTATCAACAATGATCAATGTAAATTTCTTAATCTCAAACTCTTAACCATGTTTTGTTTTTACAAAGCAGAAGATACACGGTAATACATTACTGTTCCAACTTCTAAATGGCGCTAATAGCAGAAACCCATAAACCTGTTTTATCACATGTGGCTGTTAATAAATATGTGCGTTTCCTTGGCTTTTCTTCTTATCCCTTCGACCGCCTCCATGGTCTAGTGGTAGAGGGTCTGCCAGGAGAGCGGAAGGCCCGGGCGCTCGACATGAGGGGCTAAAACAAGGACTGGTCGGCTCGGAGTCAGTATACTGTGTGTGAGTGGGGTATTCATGTTAAACTGCGGCATGGTATCTCATTGAGCTAGCACTATAAATCGGCATCAGTCCGGACTAGTACAAGCAGCCACAGCCACACACACACACACACACACGTGCATGCAAGTTGCTATATAACCCTTACCTTCTAATGCCTTCTCTTGGGCTGTTCTTGTCGAATTTCACGTTGCAACATACCATTATTCCCCTATTTATGCTGCTCACCATAACAACACAAATCTCTACACAAGCTACTATTTGGTCTTCAGTGTAAGTTTATTGTATATGTGGACCTCATGGTGTTCATGTTTATGTTAATTATTGTGTCACCATTATTATTTTGCATCCTGTAACCATGGTAACTAATGTATTTTGGAACAGGTGACCCTACCCAGATGATAGTGACATGGAGCACTGTAAACTCCACAAACTCTTCCATCGTGAAATATGGCCTGAGTCCGGCCTCCGTCAACCAGCAGGCCACTGGCTACAGCACCCACTTTGTGGACGGGGGGACGGAGCACAGGGCCCAGTACATACACAGAGTTGTCATCACTGGGCTTACTCCCGGACAGAAATACTGTAAGTATGTGTATAGAGTTATGACCATGGCTTACTCCTGGACAGAAATACTGTAACTATATGTAGAGAGTTACGATCACTGCGTTTATCCCTGGGCAGAAATACTGTAAGTATGTGTAGAGAGTTACGATCACTTGGCTTACTCCAGGACAGAAATACTGTAAGTATATGTAGAGAGTTACGATCACTGGGCTTATCCCTGGACAGAAATACTGTAAGTATGTGTAGGGAATTGTGATCACTGGGCTTACTCCCTGACAGAAATACTGGAAGTATTTGTAGAGAGTTACGGCCATGGCTTACTCCTGGACAGAAATACTGTAAGTATGTGTAGGGAGTTACGATCACTGGGCTTACTCCTGGACAGAAATACTGGAAGTATTTGTAGAGAGTTACGGCCATGGCTTACTTCCAGACAGAAATACTGGAAGTATGTGTAGAGAGTTACGATCACTGGGCTTACTCCCGGACAGAAATACTGTAAGTATGTGTAGAGAGTTGCGATCACTGGGCTTACTCCTGGACAGAAATACTGGAAGTATATGTAGGGAGTTACAATCACTGGGCTTACTCCCGGACAGAAATACTGTATGTGTAGAGAGTTACTGTACGTATATGTTGGGAGTCAACCTTAAGCCTTAAGGTCTTTACCTATGTGGAACATACTACCATCAAATGGGGATATAGTTTACAAGGTGGTATCTGACCTGGCACAATACAATTCATATCCTGTTTGTTTTCATTGATCTAGATTATCACTGTGGAAGCTCCTATGGCTGGAGTGATCCATTCAACTTTACTGCCATGCCAAAGGGGAATAACTGGAGCCCTCGCTTGGTCATGTACGGTGACATGGGCAACGTCAACGCCCAGTCTCTGCCCCGCCTACAGAGAGAGGTGGATATGTATGATGCTGTACTACATGTAGGTAGGTATCCATGTTGCCACACTAGGTATCCATGTTGCCACACTAGGTATCTATGTTGCCACAGTAGGTATCCATGTTGCCACACTAGGTGTCCATGTTGCCACACTAGGTATCCATGTTGCCACACTAGGTATCCATGTTGCCACACTAGGTATCCATGTTGCCACACTTGGTATCCATTTTGCCACACTTGGTATCCATGTTGCCACACTTGGTATCCATGTTGCCACACTAGGTATCCATGTTGCCACACTTGGTGTCCATGTTGCCACACTAGGTATCCATGTTGCCACACTAGGTATCCATGTTGCCACACTTGGTATCCATGTTGCCACACTAGGTATCCATGTTGCCACACTAGGTATCCATGTTGCCACACTAGGTATCCATGTTGCCACACTAGGTATCCATGTTGCCACACTAGGTATCCATGTTGCCACACTTGGTGTCCATGTTGCCACACTTGGTATCCATGTTGCCACACTAGGTATCCATGTTGCCACACTAGGTATCCATGTTGCCACACTTGGTATCCATGTTGCCACACTAGGTATCCATGTTGCCACACTAGGTATCCATGTTGCCACACTTGGTGTCCATGTTGCCACACTAGGTATCCATGTTGCCACACTAGGTATCCATGTTGCCACACTAGGTATCCATGTTGCCACACTAGGTATCCATGTTGCCACACAAGGTATCCATGTTGCCACACTAGGTATCCATGTTGCCACACTGGGTATCCATGTTGCCACACTAGGTATCCATGTTGCCATGCTAGGTATCCATGTTGCCACACTAGGTATCCATGTTGCCACACTTGGTATCCATGTTGCCACACTAGGTATCCATGTTGCCACACTAGGTATCCATGTTGCCACACTAGGTATCCATGTTGCCACACTAGGTATCCATGTTGCCACACTTGGTATCCATGTTGCCACACTTGGTATCCATGTTGCCACACTTGGTATCCATGTTGCCACACTAGGTATCCATGTTGCCACACTAGGTATCCATGTTGCCATGCTAGGTATCCATGTTGCCACACTAGGTATCCATGTTGCCACACTTGGTATCCATGTTGCCATGCTAGGTATCCATGTTGCCACACTAGGTATCCATGTTGCCACACTTGGTATCCATGTTGCCACACTAGGTATCCATGTTGCCACACTAGGTATCCATGTTGCCACACTTGGTATCCATGTTGCCACACTTGGTATCCATGTTGCCACACTAGGTATCCATGTTGCCACACTAGGTATCCATGTTGCCATGCTTGGTTTCCATAATGCCACACTTGGTATCCATGTTGCCATGCTAGGTATCCATGTTGCCACACTAGGTGTCCATGTTGCCACACTAGGTATCCATGTTGCCATGCTTGGTATCCATGTTGCCACACTAGGTATCCATGTTGCCACACTAGGTATCCATGTTGCCATGCTAGGTATCCATGTTGCCACACTAGGTATCCATGTTGCCACACTAGGTATCCATGTTGCCATGCTTGGTATCCATAATGCCACACTTGGTATCCATGTTGCCATGCTAGGTATCCATGTTGCCACACTAGGTATCCATGTTGCCACACTAGGTATCCATGTTGCCACACTTGGTATCCATGTTGCCACACTAGGTATCCATGTTGCCATGCTTGGTATCCATAATGCCACACTTGGTATCCATGTTGCCATGCTAGGTATCCATGTTGCCACACTAGGTATCCATGTTGCCACACTTGGTATCCATGTTGCCACACTAGGTATCCATGTTGCCATGCTAGGTTTCCATGTTGCCACACTAGGTATCCATGTTGCCACACTAGGTATCCATGTTGCCACACAAGGTATCCATGTTGCCATGCTAGGTATCCATGTTGCCACACTAGGTATCCATGTTGCCACACTAGGTATCCATGTTGCCATGCTTGGTATCCATAATGCCACACTTGGTATCCATGTTGCCATGCTAGGTATCCATGTTGCCACACTAGGTGTCCATGTTGCCACACTTGGTATCCATGTTGCCACACTAGGTATCCATGTTGCCACACTGGGTATCCATGTTGCCACACTAGGTATCCATGTTGCCATGCTTGGTATCCATGTTGCCACACTAGGTATCCATGTTGCCACACTAGGTATCCATGTTGCCACACTAGGTATCCATGTTGCCACACTTGGTATCCATGTTGCCACACTAGGTATCCATGTTGCCACACTAGGTATCCATGTTGCCACACTAGGTATCCATGTTGCCACACTTGGTATCCATGTTGCCACACTAGGTATCCATGTTGCAACACTAGGTATCCATGTTGCCACACTAGGTATCCATGTTGCCACACTTGGTATCCATGTTGCCACACTAGGTATCCATGTTGCCACACTAGGTATCCATGTTGCCACACTAGGTATCCATGTTGCCACACTAGGTATCCATGTTGCCATGCTTGGTGGGCTACCCATGTTGCCATGCTTGGTGGGCTACCCATGTTGCCATGCTTTGTAGGGTCCCCATGTTGCCATGCTTTGTAGGGTCCCCATGTTGCCATGCTTTGTAGGGTCCCCATGTTGCCATGCTTTGTAGGGTCCCCATGTTGCCATGCTTGGTAGGGTACCCATGTTGCCATGCTTGGTAGGCTACCCGTGTTGCCATGCTTGGTAGGCTACCCGTGTTGCCATGCTTGGTAGGGTCCCCATGTTGCCATGCTTGGTAGGGTACCCATGTTGCCATGCTTGGTAGGCTACCCATGTTGCCATGCTTGGTAGGCTACCCATGTTGCCATGCTTGGTAGGGTCCCCATGTTGCCATGCTTGGTGGGCTACCCATGTTGCCATGCTTAGTAGGCTACCCATGTTGCCATGCTTGGTAGGCTACCCGTGTTGCCATGCTTGGTAGGGTACCCATGTTGCCATGCTTGGTGGGCTACCCATGTTGCCATGCTTGGTAGGCTACCCGTGTAGCCATGCTTGGTAGGCTACCCATGTTGCCATGCTTGGTGGGCTACCCATGTTGCCATGCTTGGTAGGCTACCCGTGTTGCCATGCTTGGTAGGGTACCCATGTTGCCATGCTTGGTAGGCTACCCGTGTTGCCATGCTTGGTAGGCTACCCATGTTGCCATGCTTGGTAGGCTACCCATGTTGCCATGCTTGGTAGGCTACCCGTGTTGCCATGCTTGGTAGGCTACCCGTGTTGCCATGCTTGGTAGGCTACCCATGTTGCCATGCTTGGTGGGCTACCCATGTTGCCATGCTTGGTAGGCTACCCATGTTGTCATGCTTGGTAGGCTACCCATGTTGCCATGCTTGTTAGGCTACCCGTGTTGCCATGCTTGGTGGGCTACCTATGTTGCCATGCTTAGTAGGCTGCCCATGTTGCCATGCTTGGTAGGCTGCCCATGTTGCCATGCTTGGTAGGCTACCCATGTTGCCATGCTTGGTAGGCTAACCATGTCACTAAGCTTGGTACAGAGATGACATCATTGCATTGAACATGATGTTGAAAGAATCAAAAGCACTTAATTTTCAAACATTTGTTTATTTGTTGAAAGTTGGGACTGACAAAAATTAGGGAGGACTGGTAATGTTTTGAGTTGCCAGTCCCCCAGGACTGACAGTTTCAAAAGCCAGCGGGAACACGGCCTTGTGTGATGTATATATTCCGTGATATTTAAGTTAATGGTAATTGGCCGGGAGAACAAATTTTCTTATAATTCTAATAATAATACTGTATGGGTAGTTAGTGTAAGTATACCTTCAAGTTGGCATAGACAGCCTACCCTCTGTGGAAGAGCAGGATTTGAGGCTATAATTCTGAAACAGTTGTCAATGCTTCAAATTTGTGACAAACTGAACCGAAAAAGCGGACTGAAAATGTCAGTTTTGTTTCGTTCAACATGACTAGATACAAACAAGAACCAGTGAAATAAAGTTTCTAAAAGTCCCAAATTTCTAATGTTGTAGTCAGCATTATCAATAATGTGGGATTGTATTTATATTTTTGTGGTTATAATGTCTCGAAACATACACATGCATTAAGTTCATATATGTAATGAAGCTGTTTCAGTTGTGTTCTGGACATTAAAAAAACTTGTTCTATCTTGCAGGAGACTTGGCCTATGATTTGGATGCGGTAAGCAAAGAGCGTCATAAGTAACTTGAAATATTCTGAGGTTAACAAGGTTATACAATGTATCAAACTTAATTTCTTTTGTAACCATGGTAACTGTTCAATGAATATTAAAACATGTCAATTAAAAAATTATGAGAGTAATTCAGGTGAAAGTACATAGATCCAAATCAAATTTATAGCTAACATAGCAATCAATATTTAGAAAAACTCTTAACTCCTACTGCAAAAATATATAATAGTGGTGAAGGGGTGAAATGATACAGCAAGGTCACGATACGATACATATAGCGATAAACAGGTAACGATATGATACATATCGCGATAAACAGGTAACGATACGATACATATCGCGATAAACAGGTAACGATACGATACATATCACGATAAATAGGTAACGATACAATGCTTATCGCGATAAATTGGTAACGATACAATACATATCACGATAAATAGGTAAAGATACAATACATATCACGATAAATAGGTAACGATACGATGCATATCGCGATAAATAGGTAACGATACAGTACATATCACGATAAAGAGGTAACGATACGATGCATATCGCGATAAATAGGTAACGATATGATTCATATCGTGATAATTAGGTAACGATACGATTTATATTGTGATAATTAGGTAACGATACGATTCATATCGCGAAACACATATTTACGTCAATTGCGACGCGCGAAGACCCGGGGTAGAATAGGTCTTCAGCAACCCATGCTTGTCCTAAAAGGTGACTATGCTTGTCGTAAGAAGCGACTAACGGGATCGGGTGGTCAGGCTTGCTGACTTGGTTGATGCACGTCCGATGTGGATCGATGCTCATGATGTCAATCACTGGATTGTCTGATCCAGACTTGATTATTTACAGACCGCCATCATATAGTCAGAATATTGCTGAGTGCAGCGTTAAACAAACAAACAAACAAACGTCTAATTGCATTGAAACTTCTTGACTATAAATATTTCAGAGCATGTTCTTGAGGAAAAGCTAACTGTAGACACATGTTTGTAGCTGCTATTTTTACTAGTGAATTTGGAATGCTAATGACCATACAGTTGACTGACAAAATTCCCAGGGGTCATTAAACGAGTACTAAGTATTTTAACAAGTGTATCGACTTGTATCAATACAGAAGAAAACGTATTGTGTATCGTATCATTGCATGAAAACTTACAATGCACAGGTGTACCGATGTATCATTTCATCGATATATCATTTGAATTTCACTGATGTATCGTTTCACCCTAATTTCATACAGTGCATGCTGTTAACATGTAGTTTGTTTGGAAAAGGGGATGCAACGCTGCATCCCCATCTGCATCCGCAATACACATCTTGTTTATTTCACTTTCAGAACAACAGTCGAATAGGAGATGCGTTCATGAAACAGATTCAGACCATCGCTGGTTATCTCCCTTACATGACCTGCCCTGGCAACCATGAAAACACGTAGTGAGTGGGTTCAGCTTTAGCACCGAGTTTGTTTATTTATAACAAGTCTGAATCAAAAGGCTTAGTTGATTAACCTGTAAGATGAAGATAGTAACTTTATATGGATATTTACCATAAGTCCCTCTTCCCAAGGCAAGGGAGTTCAGTTTCCACACTTGCCAAACTAGTCTGGAATTATGGAGTCCATGCATAGTCCAAACAAGTTTGTAAAACTGCTGTGCAGATTTCAGTTGATTGCAAGATTATTTTTTTTCATATATTTAATCAAGGTGAACGCGCCATTTTTTTAAAAGCAAATTCAAGTGATATGAGAGGTGGGATCTGATTGGTCAGTAGGAGGGACATAGAAGGGACATAACTCGTAATAGCCACCGATGGCAGTACAATCAAGCCCAGGAATTCCAGCCTAGTTTGCCAAGGGTAGAAACTGGACTTTAAGGTTAGTTATCTCCCTTGCCTCGGGAAGATGGCATTAGTCCATCTTGTCCATAGTTTGTGTCTGACGATTCGTTCATGGTATTTACTTCTTTAGAAATGAAGTATGCCTTTAATTTATGATCAAAATATTTACATATTTACAACTATGATGAAATTAGTTTCTTTTAATCAAGTAAAGATAGTGTCATTAAATTTGAAAATTTGTTATTGAAAAAAGCATTTTCATAGAATTGCAAATTATTGATTGAATATGAATACTTGAAAAGCAATATGTTACTCACGTAAACAAACAAACAAACAAACAAATAAACAAACATGTTTCCTATTTTCTGAGATATTTCAGTAAGTATAAAACAAAAATCACATCAATTGGAGTAAATTGTTAAATGAAAAAGCATGATTATTTCTTTAGCTCAATGGGAAGAAAACACTTATTTTTCTCTACCTCAATCATGTCAAATGTTTTCCATATTTAGTTCATACACTGATATTGTGTACATTCGGTAGGTTCAGTTAGACTCAATAACTCAATGTGACAAGGATTCATGACACATACATTTGGGTAAATAATTAGTTTGCCACCTAGCCATATAAATTTATAGTTATGTTCTTCAATAACGCAACAGGTGTTTGTATTTGAGTCACATGACACATCACATGATATGTAATGTTCCCTCCAAGTTCTATTAATAGCACAGTATTTACCCCAGATCTATTTGGTGGAAATTCCCTCTGAGGGTTTTCCTTATGGTTACTCTTAGGACTTCTCTTGGAGGTTTTCAGTTAAAGCGTTCGCTCGTCACCGCGAAGACCCGGGTTCGAATCCCGACATGGGTACAATGTGTGAAGCCCATTTCTGGTGTCACCCGCCGTGATATTGCTGGAATATTGCTTAAAGCGGCGTAAAACCATACTCACTCACTCACTCACTTGGAGGTTTTCTGAATGTGTACGTGATTAAAATCATAGCTGAGAGCTATTTTAGGCTACTTTTCATGGAATCTTTATGAATATTGCCAAAGAGATTTATCTAGAATTTAAGAGAGAAAACAAACTTTCTTTTGTAGCAAATTAGAACATTTTGGAAATCCTGTAAAGAAACAAGTTGTTTTCCTCTTTTATAGATTGTTAGTATTAAGATATAAATATCCTTTGCAAAGGTAAATATTCGTTATTATTAAGCCCTGAAATCATGGAACTCCAGTTTAGGAGTTTTTACTTATATTTGCTGTAGATGTTTTGTCTCTGAGATCACAAAGATAAATCCCTGGGGAAGACGTCTTTCTCAGATGTACTGGTTTTCTTTAGTCTCAGAGGGGCACGGGTGGCCCAGTCGTCTAAGGCGCCGCGATTCGCTGTGCAGAGTTGCGTCCCTTGGACACGCCAGAAACCTATGATTGTGGGTTCGAATCCCGGTTCGCCCCAATTATGTTTCTAGGTTTGTCAGCACCATACCCGTGCTCGTGGGTTTCACCGAAGTGGTAAACGTCTGGGACCTGCATCACTTCGGGCTTTCCTCCCACATGAAGCTGACACGCCGCGATATGAATGGAATACTGTTAAAAGCGGCGTTAAACCCAACTCACTCACTCACTCACTTTAGTCTCAGAATTGATTCAGGTCTCATGTCTGTTGAAATTCTTTGTTGTTGGGAAGCACATAGACAAGTACTGCAACACCAATTGTTGTTTATTGCTTACTTACTGAAGACAACATGAACTTCATGAGAACAGTTGAACAAGCAGTGTTTCTGTTCTTATACCTAGCAAAAGGAAAAAGCAGGAAATATCACCCGCCAATACCGCCATTTCAGTCTAAGTCAAAGCCGTTGCCATGGAAACTCAATTTTCTAAAAAAACAACAATTAAAATCCCAAACTATCAAAGAAATCCAGTTCACCACTACACCTACCTATGTGCCAAGTTTGGTTAAGATATCTTGCATGTTTTTTTAATTCTGCTTCGGAAACAAAACATTACAGAAAGATGGAGGGACGGATGTACAGCACCAACTCCTATATTTGCCTTCCACTTCGTGGCGGGGGATAATAAACATGTTTTGTTTACATGATTCATATCAATAAACAGATTGTTCAGAAAACAAGTGTTATACCAACAGAAGAACACTTATAGTGAGTTATGGTGTGTAAGTGATTGGACCAGACTGATGGTACATGGCACGAGCCATGGGACCATCACTCCACACTTACATCATCCTTGGTTTGTCAGTGAGTGAGTGAGTGAGTTGGGTTTAACACCGCTTTTAACAGTATTCCAGTTATATCACTGCGTGACAGCTTAATGTGGGAGGAGAGCCTGAGGTGATGCAGGTCTCAGACGTTTACCTCTTCGGAGAAACCCACGAGCACGGGTATGGTGCTGACAAACCTAGAAACATTATCAGGGCGAACCAGGATTTGAATCCACAATCATAGGTTTCTGTCTTGCACAAGGGACACAACTCTGCACAGTGAATGGCGCCTTAGATGAATGGGCCACCCATGCCCCCGGTTTGTCAGTGCCATACCTGTTCTTGTGGGTTTTATGAAATTGGTGAGCGTCTTAGGTCTGCTTCACTGTTGTCTTTAGTCCTCGAAGATTAAGCTGTTATGATGTGACTGAACTAAGTGGTATTAGCACTCACTCACTCACTCACTCACTCTAACCCACTAACTCACTCACTCTTACTCACTCACTCACTCATGCCACCCCACTCACTCACTCATGCCACCCTACTCACTTGTTCCAGCAACTTCTCCAACTACAAGAACAGATTCACCATGCCATTTGATGAACAGTCAGAGCACATGTTCTACAGGTGAGTGTCAATACATCCCAAGATCTGGGGTAGAACAGGTCTTCAGAAACCCATGCTTGCTGTAAAAAGCAACTATGCTGTCATAAGAGTCCACTAACAGGATCAGGTGGTCAGGCTCACTGACTTGGTTGATTCATGTCATCCCAATTGCATGGATCAATGCTCATGATGTCAATCACTGGATTGTCCGGTCCAGACTTCATTATTTACAGACCGCCGTCATATAGCAGGAAAATTAAATGCAGGCGGCATTAAACAAAAAAACAAACAAACCAACAACAGGTTTTGTACTCAAACCAATACAGTCAATATTGACAATGAAGCTTGCAACATTCTGAAGTATTTATACTACCACCTCAACCCTGCTTCACCAAGTTTATTTTTATTATTCATTTAAACTTCTGTCAACTGCAAATTTCATAAATTTTGATTAAAAATAATGTCTTTTTCTTAGTCGACTTACATGGGTAAAAGAAAAAAATCTCAGGAGATCAATAGAGAAACGAGAGTAACATTTTCCCTGTACACGTTAACTCTGAAATACTTAAACGAGGCCACTTTTTTATACTTTTTTTATCAAATTATATTTAATTTAATAATTTAATTTAATGACCACTCGCCATGTAGTTTGGGAATAAAAATATGTAAATCGTGAAATGACAACAAAACTAGCTGCCTAATATTATTATGAATCTTTAAGGATGGATTTTGTATTTCAGTTTTGACATCGGGCCGGCCCACATTATCTCGCTCAGCACAGAGTATTACTACTTTCTAGAGTATGGGTTCGGGCAGCTATTGATGCAGTACGAGTGGTTGGATCAGGACCTCAAGGTAAAGGCCATGCTGTGCATTATGACCTCAGAAACCAAAGATTCCACAATGATGGCTCCTTACCGAGGCAAGGGAGTTAACTGACTAGTTTTAAAGTCCAGTTTCCACCCTTGCCTAACTAGGCTGGAATTATCGAGTTATATTTTGGCTGGATTAACAAGTCCATGCATAGTCAAATCAAACTCATGTAGCCAAATTGACATTTGGTTCATAAACAAAATGGCGAATACCATGCAGATTTGGGTTGGTTGCAGGATTTGAAGAGCATGTGTACCGTCAACTGGGTGTCGACAGATATATATCTGTTCATTTTTTTAATCATTTAAGTGATTTGATGCACTTTGTGACATAAGACTCCCTTTATGACATTATAGATGTTGATTATTGAGCAGATTGTCTTGACTGGGAGCTGCCATTTTGTTTGAAGAAATTGCAAGTGATATGAGAGATGGAATCTGATTGGTCAATAGGAGCGACAAAACTCGTAATAGCCACTGGTGGTGCTATGATCGAGTCCAGACATTTCAGCCTAGTTCAGCAAGGGTGGAAACTGGACTTTTACAGTCAGTTAAATCCCTTGCCTCGGTGCAGTGATGGGGGAAACCTAGTGGTTAACATATACCATATTTGCCGTATTTAGCGCCCTATGACAATAAGCACACCTTGACCAACTTCTAGACCAATCTGTAATTCTTTGTAGGCACCAGCTACTGAGCCTGAAAGTTAACCTGACAGTTGTCCATATTTTCGGTATATTACAGATTTGTTCAATAACCCAGCAGTGAAGAAGGCATATGTGATTGCCTAGCAACTATTATTGAAACAGTTTTAGTTTCAATGGTGTTTGAACTATCATTTGTTCACTATTGCTCACCGCTTGAACCCACAGAACAAATTCAACTCAATGTTTATGATTTTAATAAGAACCCCCATTTGTCAATTTTCTAATCGCCTAGGAAATATGGTAGGTTTGCTATCCCTTATGGGTACAGTCAGGTAAGTCAGTTCATTGGGACCTCTGCCATTTTAGCTTGTTTAGGGCAGGAGTATCACGAGGAAACCTTACGCAGTCACTCCAGGGTGACTGGGTAGTTAAAGTGGATTACTTCAAGTAGGTGTATGAGGCTAAAAAGAATGATAGTTTATTTCCATTCTCCCGGGGCCCCTCCCCCAAATCTTTAAATATTCTGTGTCTCGACCACACAACCCTAGTAGTGAAATGCTGCAATACTTTAGAAGAACATGTTTTGCTGAAATTATTGTTCACAAAATTTGGTAACACACCAGCATGAAAAATCTCCCCCACAAAAAAAACACCTGCCTGCACTATATTTTTTAAAAGCCATTGCCTGAGAACCAATTCTATATTTTTAAAGCCTAAAGTAAAGACACAGGCTCACTCCCCCCACCCCCCTCAAAAAAAGAAGAAAGAAACAATGTGTGGAGCCCAGGTTGGGTATCCCCCCTTCAAATCAGCACAAACACATTATCAAAGTTTGAAATTTTGGTGCTACATGAGATCATCATTATTATCATTATTATTATTATTTCACCTATCTGACAATCTCAGAAAGCGAATCTGCCCGAGAACCGAGCAGAGCGGCCGTGGATCATCACGATGGGGCACAGACCCATGTACTGCTCCAACAATGACACGGATGACTGCACAAAGAATGAAACTTTGGTAAGAAGTAGGATTTAGTTTCGGCCAAACAAGTTCAGCTATTCCCATTGTTTGTCTCAATCCATGCAAGGAATTCCCATTGTTTGACTCAATCTATGCAAGCTATTCCAATTGTTTGACTCAATCTATGCAAGCTATTCCCATTGTTTGACTCAATCCATGCAAGCTATTCCCATTGTTTGACTTAATCCATGCAAGCTATTCCCATTGTTTGACTCAATCTATGCAAGCTATTCCCATTGTTTGACTCAATCCATGCAAGCAATTCCCATTGTTTGACTCAATCCATGCAAGCTATTCCCATTGTTTGACTTAATCCATGCAAGCTATTCCCATTGTTTGACTCAATCCATGCAAGCTATTCCCATTGTTTGACTTAATCCATGCAAGCAATTCCCATTGTTTGACTCAATCCATGCAAGCTATTCCCATTGTTTGACTCAATCCATGCAAGCAATTCCCATTGTTTGACTCAATCCATGCAAGCTATTCCCATTGTTTGACTCAATCCATGCAAGCTATTCCCATTGTTTGACTCAATCCATGCAAGCTATTCCCATTGTTTGACTCAATCCATGCAAGCTATTCCCATTGTTTGACTTAAACCATGCAAGCAATTCCCATTGTTTGACTCCATCCATGCAAGCTATTCCCATTGTTTGACTCAATCCATGCAAGCTATTCCCATTGTTTGACTTAATCCATGCAAGCTATTCCCATTGTTTGACTTAATCCATGTAAGCAATTCCCATTGTTTGACTCAATCCATGCAAGCTATTCCCATTGTTTGACTTAAACCATGCAAGCAATTCCCATTGTTTGACTCAATCCATGCAAGCTATTCCCATTGTTCGACTCAATCCATTCCAATTGTTTGTCTCAATCTATGCAAGCTATTCCCATTGTTTGACTCAATCCATGCAAGCTATTCCCATTGTTTGACTCCATCCATGCAAGCTATTCCCACTGTTTGACTTAATCCATGCAAGCTATTCACATTGTTTGACTCAATCCATGCAAGCTATTCCCATTGTTTGACTTAATCCATGCAAGCTATTCCCATTGTTTGACTTAATTCATGCAAGCTATTCCCATTGTTTGACTCAATCCATGCAAGCTATTCCCATTGTTTGACTCAATCCATGCAAGCTATTCCCATTGTTTGACTTAATCTATGCAAGCTATTCCCATTGTTTGACTCAATCCATGCAAGCTATTCCCATTGTTTGACTTAATCCATGCAAGCTATTCCCATTGTTTGACTCAATCCATGCAAGCTATTCCCATTGTTTGACTCAATCCATGCAAGCTATCCCCATTGTTTGACTCAATCCATGCAAGCTATTCCCATTGTTTGACTTAATCCATGCAAGCTATTCCCATTGTTTGACTGAATCCATGCAAGCTATTCCCATTGTTTGACTCAATCCATGCAAGCTATTCCCATTGTTTGACTCAATCTATGCTAGCTATTCCCATTGTTTGACTCAATCCATGCAAGCTATTCCCATTGTTCGACTCAATCCATTCCAATTGTTTGTCTCAATCTATGCAAGCTATTCCCACTGTTTGACTTAATCCATGCAAGCTATTCCCATTGTTTGACTCAATCCATGCAAGCTATTCCCATTGTTTGATTCAATCCATGCAAGCTATCCCCAATGAATTGTCTGGTCCAGACTTGATTATTAACAGACTGCCATCATATAGCTGTTTGATGGGAGTAGCTTGCATGACCGTTTTTTATTAAATTAATGATTTTAATTGTTACAATCTTTCATGTATATTTGACTCATTTCATGCAAAGTGTTCTGAATGTTTGACAATTAATTCATGCAACCTATCCCAATGTTTGACTAAATCCATGCAACCTATCTCAATGTTTGACAATTAATTCATACAACCTATCCCAATGTTTGACTTAATGCATGCAATCTGTCCCTATTTTTTTATGTCATATCATGCAATTAGTCTTCAATGTTTGACGCAATCCATGCAAGGACTCTGCAGTGTTTGATTGTCCTTGTTCCAGGTGAGGGTAGGCATCCCATTCATCCATATTGGCGGCCTGGAACACATGTTTGACAAGTACGGCGTTGACGTGGCGCTGTGGGCTCATGAACACTCTTACGAACGCCTGTGGCCCATCTACAACAGGAAGGTCAGTTTCTGCCTTTACCAGAATTACTGCCTCCATGGTCTTGTGGTAGAGCGTCTGCCTAGAGAGCGGAAGGTCCGGCGTTCGATTCCCGGCCGCATCATACCGCCGTCTCCATGGTCTTGTGGTAGAGTAGAGCATCTGCCAGAGAGCGGAAGGTCCGGCGTTCAATTCCCGGCCGCATCATACCACCGCCTCCATGGTCTTGTGGTAGAGTAGAGCATCTGCCAGAGAGCGGAAGGTCCGGCGTTCAATTCCCGGCCGCATCATACCGCTGTCTCCATGGTCTTGTGGTAGAGTAGAGCATCTGCCAGAGAGCGGAAGGTCCGGCGTTCAATTCCCGGCCGCATCATACCACCGCATCTCTGGTCTAGTGGTAGAGCTTCCACCCTGGAAGCGGAAGGTCAGGGGGTTGATTCCCAGCCGCGTCATACCAAACGACGTTAAAAGATGAGTGGGGTATTCATGTTAACTGCGGCATGGTATATCAGAGGGCTAGCACTATAGCATCAGCATCAGTCCGGACTAGTACAAGCAGCCACATACACAAAAATGCATGCTCATCCCTATAAAATTGCAACAATCTTAGATGCGACGTTAAACCCCATTTCACTTGACTTTATCAGAATTCTCTCTTTGGACTGATGATTTCTTTGTTTTGTTGGAAAACATTTGGAACCCAGGTTTCAGAATAATATCTTAAGATATACTCAGAATTAGTTCTTCCTTTTGGCTTATGATACTTTTGTTTATCTAATAATGGATAGTGCAATCATCACAATAAAAACAAACTGTTAAACTTATAAAAACACTCATAAAACACTTCAGGGAGAATACACCACTCAGGGCGGTGCCCCTCATGGTTTATTCTCCCTGCTGTGTTAAATTGTACGATAAACAAATGAAGATTATGAAGCATGTTTGTAAATATATTACTATATATATATTGTTTTATGATGCAGGTGTACAACGGCAGCTACGACCACCCATACACCAACCCGGGGGCCCCCGTACACATTGTCACAGGGTCAGCGGTACGTCCTACGCACTGATTCGATTCATCAATGCTACGAAATGTTACATGTTTCTGTTTAGTTCGTGTTTCAGTCAGTGAGTTACAACAATCTCCTTAAAATCAGATCTTAGTTCTCGCTATCGCTCAACAAAGTTCTGAGGACATCCCATTACGCATCACGTCAGACCGACCTTGCGAATTGTGACCGACCAATGGAAGGACTGAATAGAAGTCGACATTAGCCAATCAGAAGGCAGCTTTCTCATGCTTTACGGCACTTATTTCAAATTGGCGACTAAGATTCGAAACATATTTTGAAAAATTCTTGATTAAAAATTTGAAACCTGAACAAAAGAACATTCTGGAATGGCAAATGTATGGTGTAGATTGTATGGATTCAGTCGTTAAACCCCTATAACTATCGTTCTGAATACCCCATGTTAAAGTTTTCGAGGTTGCATGAATCGAAATCACATTCCAACTGTCACTTTCACGATCTGGTAAGCGACGCTCTGATTGGTCAGATGAAAGGTCGTTCTGACTTGACCCTTAATGAGATGTCCTCAGATCTTTGTTTAGTGGTAGCGAGGACAAAGATCTGATTTTACTGAGATTGTGAGTTACAACGGATTGGAATATTGTTGGATCTTTTGGGTAACATTTTAGTGACAATTACTTCTTTGCATACTTTCTTTATCTTTAATTAATTTTCCGGAACAATGATGACCCTCGAATCAAAATGCAAACAAAATTAAGATGTAATGTTTTTCTCTAGGGGTGCAAAGAGAGGCTTGACCCCTTTAACCCAAACCTGAATCCTTGGTCAGCGTACCGCGCCTCCGACTACGGCTACACGCGCATGACCATCCACAACCACACCCACATTGACTTCCAACAGGTGTCTGACGACAAGGTGAGTTGCTTAACGACACCAGTTATTAAACAGTGCTAAACCGTGGCTAGTAAAATATTCAAGGGGCTACTGGAATGGTAGATTTGGGTATATTGTGGCATAATGTAAAACCATGGATTGGAAGGGGGTATAGGAATGGGTGCTGTCCGTCATTCTGTCTGTCCATCACGATTCTTTTCCGCAGCAGAACTAAAAAACCATGAGAGATATCTTAACTGAATTGGTGAACTCGTGTCTTTTGATAGTTTGGAATTATTGTAAAATTTATTTTTCGAGTTTCCATGGCAACGACTTGACATTGACTGAATATGGTGGTAGTGCTCCTTTCCGGAGCAGATCTTGAAAACCGCATGATATTGCTTGCACACAACTAGACATATTGGCGGGGGATATGAGTATTTCATGCTTGTTAGACTTATTATCAGAGCTTATACATTTGGTATAAGTAACAAATGATTATTGATACCTGATTTGTGAAATATTCCATTGTTAGAACTTTAGACAGATGGTGTATCCCATATATACAGGGTGAAGCACTATTGGTGATGTCGGATGTCATTTCTGCTTCTTTGTTTCCTGAATCAACCTGAGCTTTCTCAGACCACAAAACGTGTCATCACATCTGAAATGGATCCGTAAAGGTCTGGGTTAGAACAGGTCTTCAGCAACCCATTCTTGACATTAAAGGCAACCATGCTTGTAAAAGGTGACTAACGGGATCGGATGGTCAGGCTCGGTCAGGCTTGGTAAATGCATGTCATTGTATCCCAATTGCGTGGATCAATGCTTATGAGAGCATAAGGAAGTTAGTCATACAGACAGACTGGCAACCAGAAGAACAAGGTCGACACCGGCTTACTTCTGGACCCTGAAATCTGTTGTTGTGCATGTAACTGATAATGAAACTGTCGGTGATGATCAAGACGGGGACAACGATGTCACGCCATGAAAACAAACAAACACTGATAATCATCAGAAAATAAAAAAGGCGCCATGTCAAACACAAGCATGAATTTCGTGTCTCGTGACAAACAGATTTCGACTTGATGAAATTTGACAAGTGTTCAAATAAAATTTATTTTAAATATTGTTGTGAGGCAGGGTCAGGTTTGCCTGGAAAAGTTGAATTTTTGGACAGAACTAACAAGCATAAATGGCAAAATACTTACGCTCATGTCTTGCAAAAGTGGACGACAAAGCAAATGCAGAGATTGTGTTCTAAACATTATTCAACTGCCCAGCGGTTTGGTGAAATTGAAACAAAGGCAAATCAGATCTTAAATCAAATACATTAGAAACCAGGAAATCATGTTTTTATTTCTTTATTTTCCATTAAATTAATGGAATGAGAGATGCATAACTATGAATGGCGACTAGAAGTACATTTATTTAGCAAGTGTAGAGCGTTGTGTGTTATGAATGTGATTCTCCAAACATACAGGAAATGCATTGTGGTCCGTTGGGCTGTAACGATTCACCGATACCTATGATATCATTGATACTTAGGTACACACTATACTTGAATCGTCAGTTTGTGATATCGCGATATGCTATAAATAGAACAGGAACTAATAGAGTTACCTCCCATAATGGCAGAAGTAGCATAGCGCCATCTGTAAGCATGGCAGAACACAAGGATGTGGTAGCTGAGGACACGCCGACCAACTGTTACATTTTATAACCATCCCTTCATTTAAACTGTTTTTTTCTTGTGGTTTTCTTTTTAGAGTTTTTGAGATAACAATAAATGAATGTATTATGGAAGAGGTTTTAGAGCTGTATTTCAGTGATTTCATCATTTCTTACAATTTGATGTGGTGTATCGTGATACCAGTAGTATCATCAGTCCGTATCGTAATAGGAATCGTATCGCAAGAAACCAGGCAATATTTTCAGCTCAAGTGGTCAGTGATGATTTCTTGGGGCTTCTGGAGATGTCGGAGAAGGGGCTTCTTCTATTGCAAGTAGTTTTTAGTTAGCACCCCTAATGTCTTGCGTTTGTTGTGTTTCAGAATGGTGAGATCATTGATAGCTTCACTCTCATTAAAGACAAACACGAACCGTACGGCCTAGGCAATGCCTAACTAGATGTCCTCCATCAACCATCAAAACAGCTGAAGTCATTGTTATCCTTGCATTGTTATGTAGTGAATCTGGTTGAGGTATATGTGAATTATTATGAGGGATTTTGGTTTTATGTCGATTTTAGCAATATTCCAGCAATATCATGGTGGGGATCCCTAAACGGGCTTCATACATTCTACCCATGTCGGGCAACGAACCCGGGTCTTCGATGTGACGAGCGAACGCTTTAACCACAAGGCTACCCGACCGACCCATGTGAATTATATGTCATGTGGATGAAAGTGGATGGGACCAGTGGATGATGATTGGAACTCGGGGGGCAGGAAACATTAAAGACCCACATTTATTCTAAGAGTGAATTTTAACGAGGTAGTGTTGCTGCCACTGTGTCCTAACGATTGAATCATTGGTCTTTGTATCAGTCACAGGTTTGTCTGTCCATCACAGGCCACTTTGACATAGCTGACCTCTGCGTAAAACAACATTCATTCACTAGAGCCTGGAGGAGGTTATGGTGTTTGTGACAGGGCCAAGTATTGCAGTGGTGATAAGAGTCATGTATTTTTGACCCAAGACTGATAGTGATAAGAGTAATGTATTCTTGACTGACTTTTGATAGTGACGAGAGTAATGTATTCTTGGCCCAGACAGTAATGTATTCTTGACCCAAGACAGATAGTGACTAGAGTAATATATTCTTGACCCAAGACTGATAGTGACAAGAGTAATGTATTCTTGACCCAAGACTGATAGTGACAAGAGTAATGTATTCTTGACCCAAGACTGATAGTGACAAGAGTAATGTATTCTTGACCAAAAACTGATAGTGACAAGAGTAATGTATTCTTGGCCCAGACAGTAATGTATTCTTGACCCAAGACTGATAGTGCCAAGAGTAATGTATTCTTGACCAAAAACTGATAGTGACAAGAGTAATGTATTCTTGACCAAAGACTGATAGTGCCAAGAGTAATGATTTCTTGACCCAGACAGTAATGTATTCTTGACCAAAGACTGATAGTGACAAGAGTAATGTATTCTTGACCCAGACAGTAATGTATTCTTGACCAAAGACTGATAGTGACAAGAGTAATGTATTCTTGACCCAAGACTGTAACCTACATTTTTGTATTCAAGTCAGTCCCCATATGAACAAACATGACATATATTTCTATGGTGAATATTACACAACTTGTTTATGATTTCATACCAGTTCATATCCAGTTGGGATGTAGGCCTTGTATTGTTTAGCAATGTTTAACAATGTATCTGTGTACATTTGATTATTGGAGTACTGTGTCATATAACATAATACATCAGTGTATTGTACGCTGTACACTCGGGTATCAAGAAATTCATTCCACCTGTCCTTCAGCATTAGGAGAGGGTTGGCTCCAGCAATGAAATGGCTACATGATTGCTAGAACATACAAAGCTTTCATTCACTAAATATTGTGTGTTTGACTGTTTAAGGCTGTGATTGTCCGAACGAGACGAATCTCCCACCTCGCTTTTCCTCTAGTCATAACCAAAATTGTAAAAGTCAAAATTGACATTTATCTTAAAGCTCTCAACGCTACTGTCGAACCAGTTTGACAGAGAGTGTCACTATCCGTGTTGCTACTGTCAAACCAGTTCAACATGTGTGTCACTAGCCCTGTTGCTACTGTCGAACCAGTTGGAGATTACTTAAATCTGTGAATACACGTATAAAAGTAATGTTTACATATCATTTGTACGTACATGTGGTCTTCGGAATATAATCTAGTTATTTGTTTGAAAAAATTGATATTTTTTTTGTATTCCTAGTATATCTGTTAATAGGAAGTAACATAAGTTTCAAATATGCTTTCTTTGCCAAAGAATTGTGTGACTTTATTAAGTTTTACCGGTACTTAAACTGACTTTTAATGGTATGTTTGTTTATATATTTACTGAACATGTTTTTTACTGTTATTGTGATATGTATTTGACTTTTTGTGTTATGAAAATGGTTTTGAGGTTGTCTGGTGCATTGTGCTTTTTGCATCGGAGCTTTTAGTCAAGTTTTTTATTATAAATATGATGGTGCAAATATACATATATTCAGCCACACATGTACATCTCATCCAATTCTCCACATTTTAATACAGAGCTCATTTGACACTATTGTACAGAGTATGGCAAGACCTATGTGAAACGATTTTGAAAAGAAACTGTTTTCTTAGACGTTATTTGTTTTGTATGATTCATGATTCATGATTGATGAAAACTATTGTTGTTTTCGAAGTACATGTATGTCTTCTTGAAAAACTTACCAGTGTAGCAAAGTGTGCCATTCCACTTTTATTCGCTGTGCAGAGAACCTATGATTGTGGGTTTGAATCCTGGTTCGCACCAATTAAGTTTCTAGGTTTGTCAGCACCATACCCGTGCTCGTGGGTTTCACCAAAGTGGTAAACGTTAAGATCTGCATCACTTAGGGCTTTCCTCCCACATTAAGCTGACATGCTGCGATATAACTGGAATACTGTTGAAAGCGGTGTTAAACCCAACTCACTCACTCTAAGGTGAAATTGATTGCAACACTCGAGGCATTTGCATTAGTGAAGAGATCCATATCAACCACAGAGAGCAGCCATAGAAATTCGTTTTTAAGACTTTTCCAGAGAACTAGTGGAGACTATATTTCCCTATCTTTCTTATCTACCCAAGACAATAAATGTTTTACTATGTTTACATTTTTTATCACTTTTATTCAGTTCAGTTTGTAACAAAATTGAAACATTGAGAACTGGTTCAGTATTATAACCCTCAAATGCTGCTAGTCAATGGGGACTTCCCTACCATCACTTGAGTTTTCTTGTCCTCACGACTGTGTAGTGGTCTAGTGTGGATTTTGAAGACTGAGAGAGGAGCTAACTTACTGACACCAAAGGGTCTACGAACACAATGCACTTTACACTTAACAATATGGCAAAATCTAGGACCAGTACTTCCTCCCTTCATCAACATCGAATCATCCTTCATCGTAAAATCTTCCCTATGTATTTTTTAAAACATATTTGTTCTTAATAAGTGGCGGTCGCGGGTATCAATATACTGACTTGTGTGAACTTTGTAACATATCATTTTGTTCAATGATAGCCATGTTATGGAGTTGAGTTAATATTCTTTAACATGTTCTGCCATGTTTATTTCTGTATTACTCGCTTCTGTACGGAGAAACTGATTTATTGTTGCTTGTTTCATGCTATGAATAAATTTCTTAATTTTGTTTTGTTATTGACAAGGAAATGTGTAAAGGTATGCAGGATACGTTCTCAGTACCTGGCAACCTCAGTACCTGGGACCCATATTTAAACCACTCAGATGCTTTGTGGGTGTAGTGTGTATGAAGATCCGGGTTACGATAGGTCTTCAGCCAGGTCGTGTTGTGTCATGTGACAGTCATGTGCCCCATCGCCAGCTCTGACACCCCATGTCACTGGGGAGACAACTCTTGGAAGTCACCTGGCTGGGACCCAAGTGACTACATGGGAGACAACTCTTCTATGTCGACTGGCTGAGACCCAAGTGACCTGGCTGAGACCCAAGTGACTACATGGGAGACAACTCTTCTATGTCACCTGGCTGAGACCCAAGTGACCTGGGCCCTGTTCCACAAAGCGATCTTAGTGCTATGTTGATCGTAAGCCTATGATAAAAGAATGGGAGTTACGACCAATTTAGCACTAAGATCTCTTTGTGGAACAGGTTCCTGGCTGAGACCCAAGTGACTACATGGGAGACAACTCTTCTATGTCACCTGGCTGAGACCCAAGGGACTACATGGGAGACAACTCTTCTATGTCGACTGGCTGAGACCCAAGTGACCTGGCTGAGACCCAAGTGACTACATGGGAGACAATTTTCTATGTCACCTGGATGAGACCCAAGTGACTACATGGGAGACAACTCTTCTATGTCACCTGGATGAGACCCAAGTGACTACATGGGAGACAACTCTTCTGTCACCTGGCTGAGACCCAAGTGACCACATAATTTAATGTTATTGCACTACAATCTCGACATTGTCTCCGAGGTCCATAGGCCATCATGTTTCTATATGTTAGGTCACAGATTTATCTTGTCAAAGTCAGAAGTTGGAGGAGTGAGTGAGTGAGTGAGTGAGTATGGTTTTATGCCGCTTTTAGCAATATTCCAGCAAAATTACGGCGGGGGACACCAGAAATGGGCTTCACACATTGTAACCAAGTCGGGAATCGAACCTGGGTCTTCAGCGTGACGAGCGAACGCTTTAACCACTAGGCTACCCGACCACCCCCAGAAGTTGGAGGAGGAATTAAAAAAAACAAAAAAACTCGATCTGGGGATGTTTTTACAAATATTACCCGTAGGAGGGGGCAAAAAATACGGAAAAAGAAATCTTTAGCGCCATCACTAATTAATTTCATCATAATAACAAAATAAATTGACAATCCTAAGTTTATATACATGATTTCTTTTAAAACACTGAGTAATCTAAAAATAATTTTTAGAGTACATGTATGATGTATCGGTGAAAAAAAAAAGAAGTGTAAATTTGGAATATTTTATTTTTCCAATTTGCAGAAAATAGGGTCGGGGTATCTGTGATCCTACTTTGAGTAGTACGGTACCAACTGCTGAATAGGCCATTAGTACAAACCGACTTTGAAGTAGGAAATAAAACTTGCAACACATTTGGTAGATATATATATATATAAATTTATTTCTTATAGTTTAAAAATAAATTATCTATATGTAGACAGCTCAAAGAAATATCAGCTGAAGTAATGCCTGGGCCCTTAAACCATCCGCAACATTCCTTAACAGATCAGAAATGTAACAACAGCCAACAGACGAGTCATTTTACAATTAAGTTTGTTGTCACAGTGTATACTATTTCAGGCCAAATCATCAAAAGACATAAAGCTAAGCCATGGAATATCTGCATAAAACACAATATGACACACAATAGTTTTGTGCTGTGTCATCACATTGAGTGCCTTAAAAACGTATTGACACTAAAATAGCACTTCCCATTTGAATACAACAAACAACAATAAAACTTGATTTCAATAGTACCGGTACCTGAACAAGCAATACAACGGCAGGATAGGTGCATGTTCTATTCAAGCAGTCACTACTGCAGAGATATCAACCATTATGTTTTGGGTGTAATAGTTACGATTTTGAGGCTAAAGTTACGCTATTATGTTTGTCCTATAAATTACGATTTTGGTCATTTTTTTCACAAATAATTTACATGCACAAAATATCGCACATGTCATGAAGCATTCTGCAGCAAGAATAAACTGACCAATGAGAGCCATACTTTCAATTCACATAGTGTTAAAATACATCCATTACTCAGTGACGAGGTCTCTGATTGGTTGTTAACACACAATGATAATACTATGATTCGTTGTGGTGACCAATCTTTTCACTTCTCTCAGACTTTGTTGAAACAATAAACAGGGCTCCACTGCGACAAAGGTATTGGCAGCCATTGCAATGTAACATGAAACTGATGGAGAATTATGAAACAAATGGAGAATTATGAAACTGGTGGAGAAAAATGAAACTGGTGGAGAATCATGAAACTGATAGAGAATCATCAATGAATGAAATCACATCATTCACAAGAGATTTCACGTACGAGGTAGGTATTACGCTTCCTTGTTCGGAAACGCATAAGTCATGAAACAGTGCCGTCAAGTAAATCCTAGGCATTCCTTTAACATACATATAGGGATTAATGTGGACATTGCAGTGAAATAGAAAGTTGATCTTATATCTTGAATATTATGAAGTGTGTCATGAAATATTGAAACATTCCACTTCACTGACTCTTTTGTCCAGTCGTGGCAGCCATATTGGTTTAGACCTTGACCTTCATTCATCAGCACAGAAATGCTTCAAGCTTTCATTTCCTGCAAGGATAAAACAGTGCATAAGTGAGTGAGTGAGTGAGTATGGTTTTACATCGCTGGAGTGAAGATAACCCCTGAATTCAAAACAAACTATTGAAACAAGTTCATACTTTTAATGTATCTAATTCAGTTACACTATTTTCTATAATTTACAATGTTTCGCCACTTATTGTGGATAAGTTCACTTTTTATATTTGAACTAATTTACTATATTGTTTTACAACAACATTTCTATCCTAAATTCCCATCTTGGGACTAAACTATACGCACATGTTGCCACCTGACAACTTTTGCACTACTGAACACAAAACCACAGTCGCGTAACATGTTAAGTACCTCTTGCACGTGAAACACAACATTTTCATGTCCATTGAATGTTCGTTTGTGTGCGTTTTGGCGCACTGTTTTTAATGCTGCGTTTTTGCGCACAGTCCTTCTGTCCATTTCCCCCCGCCTTGATGGACTATAGTCTATCAACAAATTAAATTACTATCCTCAGTTCACCATGTACATTTCCTTGCACAGTTCTTTGCACAGTTTTTTGCACAGTTCTTTATCCTTGAATACTTTATCCTTGAAATCCGTTCTTTGCACAGTCTTGATCCTTGAATACTTTATCCTTGAAATCCGTTCTTTGGTCTTTTGAATCTTCTGAGTCGTTCCATTCCAATGGACTGATGTTCTTTATAGATCTGGTTAGTACAGTCTGACCAACCCTTACATCCACTACCTGAACGTGACCGTCAGCTCCAGGGTAAGTCTTTATGATTGTTCCAAGCTTCCAGTGTCCTCTAGGCGTGTTTTGCGAGATCACCAGCACAACGTCTTTTTCTTGCAAATCTCGAGTTTGTCTGTTCCACTTTTTGCGCGTGTTGAGACTTGGCAACCATTCTCGCATCCATCTTTTCCAAAAATGGCGGACCAGTTCCTGAATCCTGCGCCAACGTCTTCTGGGGTTGAAGTCTGTCGTGTCCACACATTCAGGTGCAAACACACCTCCAGCTTGTCCATGAAGGAAGTGATTTGGTGTGAGTGGTGTGTCATCTTGAGGGTGAGCTGACTGGTACGTGAGAGGCCTGGAGTTTATGAGACCTTCTGCTCCCGCCATTGCTGTGATAAGATCCTCATCTGTGAGGATGGCATAGATTGCGCGCTTTGCTGCTTTAATCATTGTTTCAAATATTCCCCCAAAATGAGGAGTGTGTGGAGGATTGAAAAACCATTTTACTCCTTTATTTGCAAGAGACCTCACAACAACATCTTGATCCATTTGTTGTACGAGCTCTTTCAGTTCTTTAACTGCACCCACAAAGTTTGTGCCGTTATCTGATACCATGACTTCAGGAAGACCTCTTCTGCTCGCCATGCGATAGAATGCATTCAAAAAAGAGTTTGTATCTAGACCATATGCAACTTCGAGATGCACAGCCCTGGTCTTGAGACACGTGAACAAACACAAATAACGCTTTTGTCTCTTCTTATTCCTTCCTTGCACTGTCAAGAACGGACCAGCAAAATCTACACCTGCATCAGTAAATGCTCTAAGTGATGGTTGTATTCTGAACTTCGGTAATGGTATGCTGGCTTTGCTTTGTCTCGTTTGCACTTAGCACACTCACGTTCCCATTGTCTGATTTCTTCCCTGCCAGAGATGATCCAGAATTTGGACAATATGGCTGATAATGTCTGGTTTGTTCCCATGACATGATTTCCTGCTTCATGATAGTGCTTAACAATGAGTTTCGTTACCCAATTATGTCATGGGAGGATAATTGGGAATCTTGCTCCAAAAGAAAGACATTCGACATGTCTTAATCGACCATTTACTCTCATGAGTCCCTGATTATCAATTATCGGTTGAAGACTAAGGAGTTTGGAATTTGGAGACAATACTTTTTCTCCTTTTGACAACGCAGCGTACTCATCACAGAATTCATCCTTCTGAACCTGGGTAAGTATTCTAATTTCAGCGTCTTCGATTTCCTCTGATGACAGTTCACCTGTTGTTCTCACCTTCTTTTGTGATGAACAGTTGTGTAGGAATCGATAGATCCATGCATTTACTCTTGTGAGTCTTTGCCAACTTGAGTATCTAATTGGTTCAAGTCTTGAAGACTGTTAAGTGTTAACAGCGAGTAAAGTAGATATCTTTTTCACTTTTTCTTTTTTACTTTCTTTGTCATTATTGTACCATGCCTTTTTTTGCTCTGGCCATTCTGTTTCTTCTTTTTCTAGGAATTCAGGACCTGACCACCAGAACTTCTTGTTTGCCAGTTGTGATGCAGATACACCTCGAGACAACATATCAGCTGGGTTCATTTCAGATGGAACGTGGTTCCACTGAGACGGATTAGTAACAGACTGTATTTCGCAAACCCTGTTTGCTACAAATGCTTTGAAGGATCTACTGTTGCTTTTTATCCAGCATAGGACATTCAAACTATCTGACCAGAAAACAGTTTGGATTTCAAAGTTCAGTGCATTTGCCACTGTCAAAACTAACCTCAGACCAACTATGGCAGCCATCAATTCCAATCGAGGTATACTTATAGCTTTTAGCGGTGCTACACGACTTTTAGCTACTACCAATCTACTAGATCCGCCCCTAAGAAATGGATGAACTGCATACACAACGGCCCCATACGCCTCCTGTGATGCGTCCACAAAAGCATGATATGAGACAAGGTAATTGTGATCTAAGCACAAGCACCTTGGTACTTTTAAAGCATGCATTTCCTTCACTTCTTCTAACCACCTTGATAGTTTGTTTTTCAGGTCTCCAGTTATCTCATCGTCCCAGTCAAGACCAGCTGTCCATGTTTCCTGGAGCAGTATTTTAGCAGTGATGGTAAATGGAGCAACAAACCCTAATGGATCAAAGAGTTTTGCAACATTGCTCAAGAAATTTCTTTTTGTGAGTTTTGCACCAGTATCAGGTAGTTCGGACTTAAACATGAACACATCTGTTTCAGCAATCCACAACAACCCTAATGTTTTCATTGAAGGTAAGTAACCTTTGCTCAGATCTACTTCAGATGCCCTGTCTTCTGGTGGAATGCTTTCTAGGACCTTATGAGAATTTGATAACCACTTCCGAGCATGCATTCCAGCTTTTGACCATAACTCGGACAACTGATTAAAGAGTTCAACACCTAGGTCTTCAGTTTCTACAGAGTCCATGCTGTCATCCATGTAAGTGGAATTTGTAACTGTCTCTGCTGCTAGTGGTAAGTCTACAGCATGTCGCTTTGCATGTTCCTGTGTGACATATTGAGCTAAGAAAGGAGATGATGTGACCCCAAATACTACACGACTAAATTCGTATACATCAGGTGGTTCGTTCAATTTCAAAGATCTCCTAAGGAACCTGTGGTATGATCTGTCACATTCTGGTATTTTGATTTGCAAATACATTGCCTCAATATCACAAAAAAGTGAAACTGGATGCTTTCTAAAGCGAAGTAAGACATCCAATAGGTCACGTTGTAGTTTTGGACCTGGGTAGATCGCATCATTTAAAGATATTCCTTCATACTTAGCTGATGCATCAAATACCAATCTGACCTTAGTAGTCAATCTGTCTGGCCTTATGATTGGAAAATGAGGCAAGTACCACTTACCACTCTCAGTAGTCTCATCAGTAGGTACTTTGCGGATGTACCCTTTTTGCAAATATTGCTGAATAATGTCATCATATGCCACGGCTGTATTTTTGTCCTTACACAGTTTCTTTTCTATGTTTACCAACCGTCGAAGAGCCATGTCATAATTGTCTGGAAGATTTTGTACATTATCTTTCCAAGGAATGCCAACTTGATAACCTTCATTTTCATACAACAATGTATCCTGCACTTTCGCAAGAGCATTCCTATCATCAGGCGTTAACAGGAGCTCTGAACTGTAGTCTTCTACATCCCAAAACTTGTGCATCAAGGTATTGAGTTCAACATCAACTTCGTTTGTGAAGTATGCATCTGCAAACACAGTGTGAGGATTTTTCCCCGGATGTTCAATATTCCCAATACAAGTCCATCCCAGCGGTGTCCTCCTTGCAACTGGCTCTCCTAGGTTTCCTTGAACCTCTTCATAAGAGCAATGCAGATCTAAGTGGTCTATACCTATCAACAGATCAACAGATGGACTTTGACCTGTTTTTGGAAATTCAATGTTTTGCAAATGACGCCAATTGTTTTTGTACCTTTGCCAATCAATGACCTTCATATTTCCCGTGACCTTTGTTGTTGTCAATGCTGTAACATTTGTATTTACAACGCCATCAATACTTTGAAGTCTAAACTCTACAGGTTTAGTCTCGAAAGTTTCCATTTTCCCATTCAATACATTCACAGATATTCTCTGTAACTGCCCTTGCAGACCCAATTCTGCTGCTACATCTGCGTTGATGTACGACCTTGTGCTAGCATCATCCAACAATGCATTCACAGTGACATGTTTGTTGCCATTTGAAAGTATCACTGGTACAGTTCGAAGTGCTATTACAGCCTTTTGTACTACACTAGGTAAGATGGCATGAGACCTTTCACCTTCACCTTTTTGAATCTCTTTAGTTTCATTTCCAGTCTCAGTACATTCACCTTCTAACCCGGTAGAACTGTTTGATCCTTTATCACGGATATCAGACGTATTACCTTTGTCATTGTGCAACAATCTATTGTGGCTGCTTTTACATCCACTAATGCCACATTGTGCCATACGTTTACATGTTTTATCACTATGATTTCTACCAAGACACCTGAAGCAAAGATTTGCTTTCTTAGCAACATCCCATCTTTCAGAAATCTCCATGCCTCTAGAGACATTACATCTCCATATTTCATGATGTTCCTTACAAAGACTGCAGCTTCTATCTTTACTGCTGAATGTGTTACTGGATTCCGTCTTTGTGGCAACAAAGGTACAAGACAACCTTTTCTTTTGATCTGATTGGTGAACCTTTTGATCCGACTTACCTTTTTTAGCAACACCATGAATTGCCTCTGAAGCAATGGTAAGGAACTCTGCTTCCTGTATAACCCACATTCTCAAAGCTTCAACAGACTCCTGTCTCTCCGTTTCATAAACCCACCTCTGATAACGTGCAACCATTGGCTCTGTCATCTTTTTAAGTAGGCTAGAGTAGAACAACCCATTTCCTAACTCTTCGAATCTATCATTTTCTTTCAGATTGACAACTGCAACATCTAAAATGTCTGCAAACCGTTCAACATCTCTGGCAACACCTTCACGAATAGGTTTGAAGTTACTCAATTCTTCCATATGAATGGCTATTTGACGCCGTCTACCCCCATATTTTCTCTCTAACCTGTCTAATGCAACATCATAGGCAACATCACTATGGCCTAAACTTTCAACCACTTTTATTGCTTCACCTGAAAGATACTGTCGCAACTGGAGGAGTTTGTATACGGAAGTTGCAGGAGACTGATCTATGCATGTCATGAAGGCGGCCTTCCAACTCTCATATGTCTTGACATCTCCATAAAACACTGGTATCGAAACACGTTTCAGTTGTTTCCACATATCATTACCAACAGCGATATGTTGCTTTTCTGTGTTTTCAAACTTACCTTCATTGTGATTAGGAAACTCATGCTGATCATCAATGTTACACAAGCCCTCCATCCCCATGTTTCCTTCATTTCCATATGCTACTGACTGTTTCACCTCATTTTTGTGATCATATTTCTGTTCATCTTTGGTATGACCTACTTTCACACCACGTGTTTCCTTGCCATTTTCATCGAGGTCATGTCTCTGTCCTACAACTACAGTTTGACCTCTACGAAGGTCAGGCTTTTTATCCCCTTTGAACAACCTGTACAATCTATGGCTGGACAGAGAACTAGTACTTGAACCACTATCTAAGTACGCCTGTGCTATGTCTATCACTTCAGACGTTTCACTTTCAAGTTTTGATATTTCAGCATCAACCTTGTTCACATTCTCTATATCGTGAGCATCTGTGTAAGCCTGCGTAAGTTTTACCATAACATCCATGACTTCCTCCTGAAGAGAACTCACTTCATCAATGCCTATTCTAACTGCTTTTCGTGTTGACATATCTTGTTCAACAAGAGTATTCAGCTTATTTTTTCCCTTTGTAAACGCACATTTAGCTTTTGCTTTTTGCTGTTTAAGGCTACGAATAAGCTGTTCTAATTCTTCATTTCCTTCATTTGAAGGCTCCATCTTTTCGCTTCTCTTTTGGGATGTGTTTGACTTTTGCTCCGACATAACTTGAGAAACAACTACTGCAATAATAATTTCAAACTAAAGTCAATATTGATTTTCAAACTCACCTGTTTCCTATTCTAGCAAGTTGAAAAGCAACTGAAACCTTTTAGCATTAAACAAACCACGCTCTGCTACCATTAAATGGAGTGAAGATAACCCCTGAATTCAAAACAAACTATTGAAACAAGTTCATACTTTTAATGTATCTAATTCAGTTACACTATTTTCTATAATTTACAATGTTTCGCCACTTATTGTGGATAAGTTCACTTTTTATATTTGAACTAATTTACTATATTGTTTTACAACAACATTTCTATCCTAAATTCCCATCTTGGGACTAAACTATACGCACATGTTGCCACCTGACAACTTTTGCACTACTGAACACAAAACCACAGTCGCGTAACATGTTAAGTGCCTCTTGCACGTGAAACACAACATTTTCATGTCCATTGAATGTTCGTTTGTGTGCGTTTTGGCGCAGTTTTTAATGCTGCGTTTTTGCGCACAGTCCTTCTGTCCAATCGCTTTTTTAGCAATATTCCAGCAATATGACTGCGGGGGACACCAGAATGGGCTTCACACTTTGTACCCATGTCAGGAATCGAAACCGGGTCTTTAGCGTGACAAGCGGACGCTTGAACCACTAGGCTACCCGACCGCACGTCAGAGCATAAGTAAACTCTACTCCAATGGATGATGTTATAACATTAAACATGTAGGATAGTGAGGGAATAAGGTTTTACATAGTGACCATTACATGGAAAGACTTGCCCATGACATTTTAAGTTAAAATATTTTCCCATGAAAGACTTAATCCATGGTGACATGCATTACCTAGGAGACAGGACCAGGTGAGCTACACAGCCCTTGTTATCATGCATTACGCAAAGGGAATTATGATAAAGTGAGTTACATATCCCCTGATATTATGTATTACTTGTGAGATATATATATGACCAAGTGAGCTACACAGCCCATGATATCATGCACTACCTGGAGGGAGAAATGACCAGGTGAGCTACACAGCCCATGATATCATGCACTACCTGGAGGGAGAAATGACCAGGTGAGCTACACAGCCCATGATATCATGCACTACCTGGAGGGAGAAATGACCAGGTGAGCTACGCAGCCCATGATATCATGCACTACCTGGAGGGAGAAATGACATGGTAAGCGACATATTCCTTGATATCATGCATTACCTAGAGAGACAAGGTGAGCTACAGGTCCCCTGTAGAGTTCATGTCCTTGACAGACTGGAGAAGGGCATCAATAGACGGTCTGTCTTTGGCGGTCGCGCTGCGGTAGATGAGCTTCATCCTCCCGTCCTTGTCCAGCGTGAAGTCCCCTCCCATCTGTACACAGACACCAAGTGGCAATTACGGTTATTGCAGTGTTCACCCTCTTAACCTTCTATCAATCTTCTAAACTCCCTGTGAAGATCCGTGTTAGAATCAGTCTTCAGCAACCTATGTTTGTCGTAAGAGCAACCAACGGGATTGATTGGTCAGACTCACTGACTTGGTTGATGCATGTATTCCAATTGCATAGATAGATGCTCATGATGTCAACCACTGGATTGTCCGGTCCAGATTTAATTACAGACCACTGTCGTATAGCTGGAATAATCCCGAGTGTGGTGTTATAAACAAACAGCGAACCGCTGACTTTGAACAGATGAACATTTCTTGATATGTATGTATCTTCAAACAAGGGGAATTTTCAAAAAAATGAATAGTAAAGTGAATGATTATTGTGTAACTAATAATTTGATTCGTCTATTGAAGTATCAACTTTGTAATGCTGTTTCTATGACAACTATTGAAATTGTATCCATCCAATCATTTAGCATTATCTGCATCAACAGTGTCATCAATGGTCACCCCTCTAGTCACTCCTTAAAGGTCAGTTTCACTGTCTGGGGAGAAAGTGAAATATGAAACCTTGAATGGCAATCTTTCCTCCACTAGCAGACATGTTGCTATGGATACACACCTCCTCTGGTCACCTGACTGATACAGTGGCAAATTCAAATCTGGATTACAATAAGGGGGAAATATTTTCCAAATTGTACCTTCTGTAGACTATCTGTATCCATATTATTTTATAGTAAGTCTTCATAACATCCTTCTGTGTACTATGGCTGAATATCATCATTAACTGGTAAGTCGATTTTGTGATATTTCATCGAATGTATTTGACTACTGCTTTGCTTTGCATCAAAAGACAGTTTTAACCATACATTGTGGCCACACCCCCTTTGTGCATAGGCTTGAACCCCGGCCTTAAAGTATTAAAGTATTATTCAAAGAACAAACTTTTCAAGGCCATGTCCATCATGTTAGGAAACGCTACCTTTTTTATTAAAACTGTGGGACTTAGTGCAGCACAACCATAATATAACATCACTACAATCATCTTCCCAAGGCAAGGGAGTTATCTGACATAACAGCTATGTCTCCACCCTTGCCGAACTAGGCTGCAATAATGGAGTCATATTTTGGCTGCACTAACAAGTCTATGCATAGTCCAATCAAAATCATGTAACGAAATCCACATTAGGTTTGTAAACAATATGTATTTCAACGTGATGATTACGGTCGAAGGCATGTGTACCGTCAACTGGTCATCGACAGATATTTTCCAAATCTTTTCATGTTTTTAATCAAGGTGCTCACATTATTTGATGTGCTTTGCGATGTAAGATCTGCTTTATTACCATTTAGAACATGATCATTTATCGAAACGTCTTGATATGAGAGGTGGAACCTGATTGGTCAATAGGAGGGACATAGAAGGGACATAACTCATAAAAGGCACTGGTGGTGCTACGATCGAGCCCAGAAATTCCAGCCTAGTTCAGCAAGGGTGGAAACTGGACATTTACAGTCAGTTAACTCACTTGCCTCAGGAAGATGCAATTCTAAATTAATGTTTGTTCTACTGAATAATTCTTATGCTAATATTTTTTATGTCAGTTGTAATTAATTAACAAGAAAGAAGTACAATCTATGTGATCCAAACAAGACGTGCCTGATGTGGGTCATCTTTGATGTCCTCGTAAGGGGCAGGTAACTCTCGTCCTGCGACCATTTGCTCGGCATAGTAGACCAGGCAGGATAAACTCCACACCTGCCAAAAACATCAGTCAACTGTACTCATGCAGGCAGGCATTATTTACTTTTCAGTTCAGAAATGTTTGTGGTTTTTCAATATTCTGTAAATACATTTTGTAATTCTGTAGAAACAAAAAGATTCCTACCTTCAAAACAGATCTCTTCAACGAGAATGCTTTATACAACTGAAACAAAAATAGGTATTTTCTTTTAAAACATGGCAGCTTATATGGCAAATATTTTCTCTGGCATCATGTAATGATATAGCAAATATGTCGACAATATCAGTGAGGGAGCTGGGCTTACTGCATCTTCCCGAGGCAAGAGAGTTAACAGACTATAAAAATCCAGTTTCCACCCTTGATAAATTAGGCTGGTATTATTGAGTTAGATTTTGGCTGGACTAACGAGTCTATGCATAGTCCAATCAAAATCATGCACCAAAATTGAAATCCAGTTCGTAACTGTCATGCAGACTTCGGTCGATTGCGGGATTTGCAAAGCATGTGCACTGCCACCTCGTTGTCAACAGATATTTTCCAAATCTTTTCAGGCTTTTAATCAAGGTACTCGTGTGATTTGATGCACTTTGCGATGTAAGACCCGTTTTATCACAATATTGATTTTGATTATCGATCAGATTGTCTTGACTGGGCGCCATCATTTTGTTTGAAGCAAATGCAAATGATACAAGAGGTGGAATCTGATTGGTCCATAGGAGAGGCATAGAATGGACTTAACTCGTAACAGCCACTGGTGGCGCTACAATCGAGCCCAGGAATTCAGCCTAGTTCGGCAAGGGTGGAAACTGGACTTTTAAAGTCAGTTAATTCCCTTGCCTCGGGAAGATGGGTTTACTGTTGGTATTTCAATTACTGGGGAATCATAACTCAGAAGTAAGGGCTGAAGTGACCTACTCCAAGATGTTTGTCACGTCAGTGGAACCTATAAACATGGGTATAGTGCTGACACACCAGGGATCATTATAAGAATGACTTCTCGGAGAAGAACATATGATTTCTTTCCCTTGAAAACGAACATAAACAGGCAGTTCTGAAAGGAAAATAATAAAGTCTGTTGATGCATATTTTATACATCCGGTTCTGAGTGTGATTGCATCTACATCCTAAAGATTGTACTTTCAAGACAATATTTGTTTTGCCTTGCCTTTCTCTCGGCATCCCACTCCCTATATTTCCCAGACACAACACATCTAGCCTTGCCTTTCTCTCAGCATCCAGCAGCATGTCAAATGTACACCCAGTTTCTGCCATCCACTTCTCTGCCCCCTCCTTAGCTCCGAACGAGATCACGAGCACCTTGCTTCCTGCTGCAGAAAACTCCTCCTGAATGAAGAACCAGATATGTGAGTGAGTGAGTGAGTGAGTGAGTGAGTGAGTGAGTGAGTGAGAGCAGGTTTCAAAGCTGGTTTAACAGTTTATAATTAACTCCTCCTGAATGAAGAACCAGATATGTGAGTGAGTGAGTGAGTGAGTGAGTGAGTGAGTGAGTGAGTGAGCAAGTCAGTGAGTGAGTGAGTGAGTGAGTGAGTGAGTGAGTGAGTGAGTGAGTGAGAGCAGGTTTCAAAGCTGGTAAAACAGTTTATAATTTAGGTCATATGACAGCTTAAATTAGGAGAAAAACCCAAAGCAACGCACCTAATAATAATTTAAAACTTTACAACCCAAAAGCAAGGGAACACTGACATACCAAACATAATTTTTAACTTGTACCAATAACCATATCCTGGTATGACCAAGGGACACAACTCTGAAGGACAAGGTAGAATGCCATAAATCACCGAGCCACTCGATTCTGACTTGGCATCTCGAATTGCACCAGTGTCAATTCTACATGCCGAAAAGGTAGAATCTGCATGATCGGTCACAACAAAGTTAGGTCGTGTCATGTCATAAGCACAAAGAAAACATTAGGTTTTTTTGGAACAATGCTGCCTCTTGTTGCTTAGCTTGCTGATGTTCAGAATCATGAGTGAGTATGGTTTTACACCGCTTTTTGCAATATTCCAGCAATATCACGATGGGGGACATGAGGGCTTCATAAATTGTACCCATGTGGGAATTGAACTCGGGCCTTCAGCGTGATAAGCGAACACTTTAACCACAAGGCTACCCCACTGCGGGGTATGGGAGAATGGTGTGGGAGGCAAGCCTGAAGTGATGTACCTCTGACATTTTAGGTTAAACAAATCTAAGGGATGCAACTCTGCTAACAAATTCCAGCACCTCAGACAACATGGTTGCATCATGACAAAGTCTTTGTTCGAAGGTAGAAACTCCATTCATTCATTGTAACAGGACCAAAAATCCCCGTACCTGGTGAGCTAGAAGCTGTGCCACGTGATCTCGTCAAGGTAGTCAGGCAAAATGACGCAGAAAGACCAGAGTCAGGCTCGATGAAGGGAGGTAACTCTGTAGAGTTGTGGCCTTTCCAGTCCGGGCATCCACTAGTGACACATCCACAGGACCCTCTTCGCCTGGGTTTAATAGGACATCCTGCTCCGTATCCAACTCCTTGTCTATGTCACCGAGAAAGTCATCCCATTCTCTCTGGAAAATCATGACAGCAGTTCAACGATAATGGTCACTTACGGTTTCATTTTCAATGACAGTCACTGGAAAGGGTTGGAAATGTATTTTGAATATCACTGTGTTGGACAATGAAAACATGCTTAATGGTTATCTTACTTATCAGCTAAAGCTATCTTTGGGTACAGCAAACTACGCTTATATCGAACACACACAATACACTGAAAAATACTATCATGAAAGTGTATCCCGTGTATAAGCCGACCCCTTTCTACAGAATCTTTTTTCTGGTCCTCAAAATTCGGCTTATCTGCGGACATATACGGTATAATATTCTGACGGATATGATGAACTTATTTTTTGGGCCCCGGCCATTTTCTGTCTATATACTGTACATATGCTTATAACGAACTACGTTTATAATGAACTAAAATAAGTAGCCCATTTGAGTTCGTTACAACCGTAGTTTACTGTAATTCCTATGGAATAAATGCACATGCACCTTGTCACCCAAGCAGGAAGGTTATATATTAGTTATTTTGTTGATCAAAGTGAAAAATGTCCCGTCCACCCTACATATAGATGACCGGTCGCTACATTACCTCGAGGTCCTGCCATTCATCTGCTGCCTCTCTGACCTCGGGGTGCCTGGGAAACACAACAGTTTTGTCGTAACACTTCCACCATTTTGTATACCATGCCAAATATTTGCAGAGAAGTCAAATTCATTTAGTCGTTTGGGGCACAGATGCCCTAGATATCTAAGACATCTAATTATGTCTCTCAGGCAGGCCATGACCCATGGTTGTGTGTTCGAATCCCAGAATTGTGATGATTGGTTTGACAGCACCACACCCTTGCTCATGGGTTTCACTGACATTGTGAAGTTGCCTAAGACTTACAGCAATTTCACAGCAGATATGGGCTTCATATATTATACCCATGTGAGACCAGCAATATCACAGCAGGGAACACCAGATATGGGCTTCATATATTATACCCATGTGAGACCAGCAATATCACAGCAGGGAACACCCATCTTCCCGAGGCAAGGGAGTTAACTGACTTTACAAGTCCAGTTTCCACCCTTGCCGAACTAGGCTGGAATTCCTGGGCTCGACCTTAGCGCCACCAGTGGTTATTACCAGTTATGTCCCTTCTAAGCCTCTCCTATGGACCAATCAGATTTCACCTCTCGTATCACTTGCATTTATTTCAAACAAAATGGTGGCGCCCAGTCAAAACGATCTGATTGATAATCAAGATCTATATTGTGATAAAACGGGTCTTACATAGCGAAGTGCATCAAATCACGTGAGCACCTTGATTAAAAACATGAAAAGACTTGGAAAATATCTGTTGACAACGAGTTGGCGGTGCACATGCTTTGCAAATCCTGCAATCGACCGAAATCTGCACGACATTTTACAAACCGGATTTCGATTTCGGTGAGCGATTTTGATTGGACTATGCATAGACTCGTTAGCCCAGCCACTATGTAACTCCATAATACCAGCCTAGTTCGGCAAGGGTGGAAACTGGACTTTTATAGTCAGTTAACTCACTTGCCTCGGGAGAATGGGACCACCAGATATGATCATCATATATTATACCCATGTGAGACCAGCAATATCACAGCAGGGAACACCAGATATGGGCATCATATATTATACCCATGTGAGACCAGCAATATCACAGCAGGGAACACCAGATATAGGCTTCATATATTATACCCATGTGAGACCAGCAATATCACAGCAGGGAACAACAGATATGGGCTTCATATATTATACCCATGTGAGACCAGCAATATCACAACAGGGAACAACAGATATAGGCTTCATATATTATACCCATTTGAGACCAGCAATATCACAGCAGGGAACAACAGATATAGGTTTCATATATTATACCCATGTGAGACCAGCAATATCACAGCAGGGAACAACAGATATAGGCTTCATATATTATACCCATGTGAGACCAGCAATATCACAGCAGGGAACACCAGATATGGGCATCATATATTATACCCATGTGAGACCAGCAATATCACAGCAGGGAACACCAGATATGGGCATCATATATTATACCCATGTGAGACCAGCAATATCACAGCAGGGAACACCAGATATGGGCTTCATATATTATACCCATGTGAGACCAGCAATATCACAACAGGGGAACACGGGAAATAATGTGGCGCTTTGAGCATGATTTAGCAGTTGGATTTGGCATATTGTGAAACTGCTCATCCTTATTATTAGTATTATTATTATTAACAGCAGCAGCAGCAGCAGCAGCAGTAGTAGTAGAAGTAGTAGTGGTAGAGTAGATAAAACCAAAGAAATCTGATATCAGGATATTAGATGTAAGAAAATGGTAATACACAACAGAGACTCATAACTACCTGTAATACTTCTGTATGTATCGGTTCAATTCCACTTTTGTTTTCAGTCCATGTCTGCAAAAAATGGGACAAGAAATCATCAGGAACCAAAAAGTGTTGTACCTTGCATTTAGAAAGTCAGACTTTGTTTCTTTCATTGTTTTCAGATTCTTGTGAAAAATCTTGGTTGGCTTATTGTTTGTTTGTTTGTTGGTTGGTTAATGCCACACAGCTGTATGATGGTTGTCTGTAAATATTTAAGTCAGGCTCAGACAAACCAGTGATTCATATTATACGCAAGTCCCACATCTTCGGGTACGATGACACACAATCAACCAAGTTACGGAACCTGACCACCGCATCCATTTAGCATCCTTGTATGACAAGCATCGGTTGCTGAGAACCTATTGGTAACTCGGAGTGCTGGTTGGGATGCAAGTAGATGGCCGAAATCAGGTTCAGATTTGAATATACTGACATCCTTCAGCCAAAGAAAAAGGGTTAAGAAAATTAAGATAAGGGAAGGTGCTCATCAGCACAGTAGATCATTTCTAGAAATATGGTCAGTATATGCCATAGATTACCTTTGTAGAACGTCTCTATATGTTGAAACAATCTTGAATAGCAGTCCAATCTTTTCCTCAACAAACACCGACAAAGACTCTAGAAACAAATACACAAAACATGAAGCATACAGCTGATCAGTGTAGTAAATAGTGTGATGTATTGATAGTCAATGATGACTAATGTTTTAAAGAAAGTACAACAATTGAGTGAGTGAGTTGGGTTTTACGCCGCTTTTAACAGTATTCAAGTTATATCGCGGCGTGTCAGCTTAATGTGGGAGGAAAGCCTGAAGTGATGCAGGTCTCAGACATTTACCACTTCGGTGAAACCCACTAGCACGGGTATAGTGCTGACAAACCTAGAAATATAATCGGCGCGAACCGGGATTCGAACCCACAATCATAGGTTTCTGGCGTGCTCAAGGGACGCAACTCTGCACAGCGAATCACGGTACCTTAGACGACTCGGCCACCTGTGCCCCCGAAAATGAACAAATGTCAAACACGCAAAAATTAATATCCATTTTAAGGCACCCTGGGGTCTATATAGGTTCTCATAGTATCTACCCCTAACAGATAAAAGTAAACCTTACAGGTTGTTGTTGGGGGTGGTGATAGGGTAGAGGTAGGGTGGGGATTGGGTGTTTGGGGGTAGGGATAGTTGTGAGATAGGGACTTGGTGGGGATATTATGTTTTTGGGTAGGGATTGGGTGGGATATTATGTTTGGGGGTATAGAGAGGGTGGGAATCATCTTCTTGAGGCAAAGGAGTCAACTGTCTCTAAAAGTGCAATTTTCACCTTTCCCGAACTTGGCTGTCATTTCAATCGTAACGCCACCAGTAGCTATTATGAGTTATGTCCCTTTTATGTTACTCCTATTGACCAACCAGATTCCACCCCTTCTATCACTTGCAATTGCTTCAGACAAAATGGCGGCAACCAGTCAAGACCCTCTGATCGATTGTCAAGATCTATATTGTAGTAAAACGGGTCTTACCCCACTCAGTGCATCAAATCACTTGAGCACCTTGATTAAAAACATGAAAAGATTTGCAAAATATCTGTCGACACCCAGTTGACGGTACATATGCTTTGCAAACCTTCAGTCGACAGAAATCTGCACATTGAAATCCATGTTGTTTACGAACTGGATGTCTGGTTTGTTAAGCGATTTTAATTGAACTATGCATAGACTCGTTAGTCCACCCAGAATATAACTCTGGACTTCCAGCCTAGTTCGGCAAGGGTGGAAAGTGGACTTTTATAGTCAGCTAACGCCCTAGCCTCAAGAAGACGAGGAAACAACATGAAGCATGACCATTTGGTTAGACTTTGATAAAATCAAACAAAGATGGACGAGAACACAAAACAATTAGTTTGGGGCTGATATATTTGGGGACAATAAAACAATCTCAGGTGGTGTTTGGTAATGAGGCGAGCAGAGATAAACATCTAATGACTTTATTATGGCCAAAAGGAGGCTACATTTCAATTTAATCCTGGTGTGATGACAAACGCCAGTGTTAGAAATTGGCACTAGTCCTATAGTCCTTGCCAAACTGCCCGATTGTTAAGGTATCATAAGGAATAGTAGAAACTTGCCATTTTTAAGGGTTTTGCTATATGTTATCATTATAAGGACTAGTGGACTAAAACAGTTAGATTCTATCGCTGCAAACGCATCATAAAATTGTATCATATCAACATGAGCTGTCAACTGCTTTGCACATAAGAATGAGAAGAAAGCTCCTTTCAGTACCCTTAAGTAAATCTCTTGCTCTGCTCAGGAGAGTTTCTTCCGTTTCAGTGAGAGAAGAGATGGATTTCACCAGAAGTATTCTCTCATCTTCAGGGTTTCCTCCACTGGAGTCACTCATGGTTTCACCTATTTCATCTGAAGTGAGACATGATTTCAACTTTAGCACAAGGCTCCAGATAATTTGTTTAGCCACTGAGTATGTACTCACAAGTTTTATGTTGGTATTCCATATATGTTTTCTCCCGTTGGGTTTAGTCCATAAAGCACAAACATATTGAATATCCAAAGAAAACCAATAACCAATGTGATAAATAATAAATGCATAAATGATAATTTTGAGTAAACACTTAATAGCTAAACAATTATCTGGAGCCCTGGAAAGAACATTCACTCCGTAAATTTCTGGTAATATGTCTTATGCTAGGTTAAGACTTCAAGGGCGTCTCGTGAAAACAGGAATTTAAATATTAAATATTTATGTAATCTGGTACTTTAAGTACTTTACTAAGTCTTACAGTTGTGCTTGATGATACTTTACAGACTCAAAACAATAATACTCAATTTAAAAAATCAATATTTCTAACATTGCCAGGCACTTTTCTGAGCACAGCTATTTCCTATTGCAGTTAGTGCCACACCTTAAAACTATCAGGAGGTAATAAATGGGGCCAAATGTAGATGTATTTATAACGCCCAAAGGCTATCAAAGGGAGCTGAAATAAGATAACTAGACAAGCAGTAACAGCACAGTGACTCAGCAATACTGCTGTGTCTGGTAAACTCTCCCATTAACCTTGACAGAGGTCAGTCAAGTGTGCATTAACTTCCCATTAAAAAAATAGGTAATTAGACATGGTTGACCAGTTCAGAGCTCATGGCATGGTTTGATGTGACCATATGTCACGCACAATTAGAGACAGTTGTTATCAAGACATATCTGCTAATATTGTCATCCTTAGCACTTGGAACATATAGCAGCTTCTGTTAATGTAACACTAATTATCCTGTTTTCTTAATTAACTATTCAATCGCCTTACCTTTGTTTAGGCCTTCAGAGAAAAGGTTAAGATACACGACTGACTGCGTTCACAGTCAACGTCAGGAAAAATCTACACCTTCTTCAGGGGTCTACATTATATTGACTAGGGCATTGTCATTCACTAGTGTATATAATCTTCACCACGTGACTGTACAACTATCGTTATGATTTATTGCAGTGCCTGTCACGAAACTGTATCATGTAAGATAAGATAGTCGTGTGTCTTAGTTACTGTACTTCTCAACGTACGCTTACTTGCTGACCTAATGCTACACGCAAAACAGATACTGCTTTTGTATATCATAACGAAAGAAAGGGTTTCTTACAAAAAATATGTGAGTTTTATCAGATCTGATGATAAAATTTGTGTAACATTCCTAACTTACAAGAATTAAAAAAGTCAAATATATACAACTCACGTCAATATTCGTACCCCTTCTAATGTCCTTACAAAATACATGTAGCAAAATGTAGTAGGTTAGAGTAGGCTCCCCATGCATGCCATATTCTGACACAAGGTGGCGCCACAAAGGAACCGGAAGGGAATCCCCAATGACGTCAAAAAGCATTGTGGGCTACGTGGCATTCGCCATAGGAGTGATATGTAACAATCTACGTCGTGTCCAAAATATCGTCATCTGTGAAAATCTGCGGTTTCCACGTCGCCGGTAATTGTCTGTAAGGTAAGATAATCACTTCCCCTAAGCAATAGGAATACACTTGTCGGTGTGTATACTTGTATTGCGAAATGATGTCAATGGAAAATCGAAGCCACTGATTATCATGATAATGCCGATGTGTGATTTTTGTCTGCTGTCAAATGCCAACAGCAACATATTGGTTGTTGGTGTCTAAGTATAGCATTCCATGCTGTCTGTGCAAACGTGGACATGGTGTTAATACCTGAGCTGTTATTATGATAATATTTAAGACTGCTTCCTGAGACGAATATATTCAGTTTGCGACACAAACCTCATGGAATAATGACACTTCTGTGACATATCACCACATTTATATCTGATTTGTGTGCCGGTCTCTTGTGTGACACTTCAGAGGATTATATTTTCATTTTGAATTTCAAATCATCAAAATGATTTTAAAGGATTCACAAGATTCCAGATATGTTCATTTGGGGATGGTAAGGTAGGTATGGTTGCAAACGTACTATTATCATGAAAACAGTTTTTAACATAATCTGTTGGTGTTGTTATCTCTATTTTGGGGTCATCTGATTTTGGTCTGACAAATTATTCATCTATTTGTGTTATCTGAAGATCAATCTTACATGGCGCTGTTATCATGGTTATCGCAGGCACATAACATTAGCTGAAGCGTGTCATTTGTCAGCTATGCTCATTGCTCAATATTGTCGATATGTCAGGAAATCGACATTCATTGACATGACCTCGATCATCTTCCTGATTATCAATAATCCCTGATTATCAAAGCATATATGTGTTATCTTGAATAATAGGAAATTTCAGTTTATATCAAACATAAATATTGTGATAGAGGGTGTGATAATATGAAATCATCCATGATATCATGTCCATTATGTGTCTTACCTTAAAATGCCTATGCCACTTTTGTGTTATTATAATAAGTATGAAAATCATTTGCAGAAATTTATCATGTTGAAAGGTTATGATTTAGAGGGTGCATAGCTTAAGATATGTCACAATACCTCAATAAGCTCCAGGACCCTCCTGACTTATGAACACTGAAGTAGTTATTCCCACCAGTGACAAGATACCAAATACTTCAACATGTTCAAAGAATGTTTCTGTATGATTCAAGGTGTAATAAATGCTAATAATTAAACAGATCATGAAACTATGTTTTTTTTTATCATGTTACTATTTTGTCTGAATTTGATCACCGTCAACGCTCATTGTTTGAAACTATGTTACCCTTGGCAATCTCATGGATATCGTATCAGTTATATCTTCTTTATGGATGTCTGCATTGTTCTCATTTTGTATATTGATGCATGGTATAGACAATGGTACAGGTAGAATTATTGTAGTTGATTTTTCAGTAACCATGATGACATGCACATCAACACTAATTTTTACTATAATTATTGTTATGAAATGGCACACATGATTCAAAACAAAAGCAAATATGCAGTGTTTGAAATTATGCACGAAAGTCAAGGGGTTAAGAGTTTTTTGGATCCCACACTTAACTGTCATCGAAGAAGACCTGACTTAGTATGGAAGCCTGATAGGAATACAGCTGCCTGCCAACTGTCAATGATTGTCCAAATTATGTTTATTAGATTTATTACCGTATTCGACGTAATAAGCACCCGCAGCGATATTTGCTCATATATTGGCTAGTGAACAATCCCAATTAGCACCCTTCCGATTGATCAATGTACAGAAGACATTTAATATTTATTCGTGTATAATACACACTTGTGTGTTATATGCACCCTTAATGACGGGCAATTGTATTCTGGAAAAATATATCTGTCGTGTATCATACGCACAGACATTTCTTTTGTATAATTTCAGGCTGTCAGCATAAACCACGAAATGTACAATCTTTCAACTCTTTCACCAAAATTACATTCTAATAAGCATGATAAGAGGCCCCTATTTCTAATTTTGAGAGCGTCCTGGGCGGTTATTACGCCAAATACAGTATTTTGTTCAGAATCTGTCACCGAACTGTGTGTTCATGGTCAAAGTGAGACCACATGTTGATAAGGTCATAGCTAGACCACCGACTGATCGTGCTGATGCTCTTAGATCACAGTTTGCCATGCTGGGATTGGCATTTTTTATATTACAGCCACATTAATTTGTCATCATAGATCATCATTATGTTAATAACCTTTGGAAGGATATATATCATGTATATGATCAAAATGTACTGAACCTGCAAAAATAGTATTCTGATATAACTTTAACTCTTCCTCGTTTATGAAAATTACAGCCAGGCCATGGCTACCTATCAAGAATTCATTCAGCAAAATGAAGACCGTGACGGGGTGCGGTTCAGCTGGAACGTGTGGCCGTCCAGTCGACTCGAGGCGACCCGAATGGTTGTACCCCTGGGGTGTTTGTTCACGCCGGTAAAAGAGAGACCAGACCTCCCCCCCATCCAGTATGACCCTGTGTTGTGTACTCGGCCAACATGCAGGGCAATCTTGAACCCTTACTGGTAAGTGTGGATCATCGTTTACATCAGCATGTACATTGGTGTGTATACGTTTAGAGTGTGCATCTGATCATTTAAACCTATATCATATATAAGTTGTTGTTATTGTTATTTGTATGTCTTGTTATGCATTAGGGCTGTAACAATTCACCATTACCTACCATGTCTTCGATACCTGTGCCAACATGGCTATCTGAAGTCTGGATTATTGTGTGAAGCTGAGTACAGTTTTGAGTTATTGCAGCGAAGCTATTTGTGCCCTGATACATATTGCAATAGGTACATAAGATACGAGACCCATGGTACAACACATCTATTTACAAGCTCCTTTATCGCGATACATACGATACATTACATTTCAAGTTATAAATATATATAGTAAAAATATGTTCATAACAACAGAAACTATTCAACAAGCTGGTATTTCCCGGTTCACAGTGTTTGTTAGCTTGCATGTTTCTGAGGCAGCGTAAGGACTTAACAATTGCCTGCTAGTCCACGGCTAGTACAAATTCCTGTGGGCTAGGACAAATTTCCCCATTGTTTTAACATTACAAGGCATTTTTCTTAATCGGGCTAGAAAGCTTTTAGTTCTAACCCCGAGTTGTGGAAATTAACCAAGACTGTCTACTAGGCCAAATAGTGATAAGATATAGCCATACCCACCTAGGATGCCTTTGACATTAAAACAACACTGGTCCTGAATGGCGGACTAGTGTTAATATCCATCCTTGCAATATTCCATCGTCAGTCTCTGAAATTTGAAAACGAATGATTCAGGGTTGTGATTCTTCTGCAGAAAGAAAGAATATGAAAGGAGTTACTGTATCAGGTTACAAATCATATTGCGGCCATAGTATCAGGATATGTATCATTCATAATTTATCATATCGTCAAACCCTATGCTAGTAACCATGGTAATAATATTGATTTTAACCTGTTCATGATGATATTCTGTTTCTCTTTCAGCCAAATTGACTACAGAGCTAAAGTATGGTCCTGCAATTTCTGTTACCAGAGGAATCCGGTAAGAATAATGTTGATTTACCTTGGTAACAAGGTTAAAATTGGTTTGGCACCTACTTAAATACTTCTAGTAATCCTCAGAACTTTTCAAATCAGTTGCTATGCTGAAATGTTTTGACTTTGAAGTAAAAAGTTGTTGTGGAAACTGATGCAGGCTGTCGTCATATAGCTGGAATATTGCTGAGCGCAGCATTAAAAGTAACACAGTTGCATGTATCCTTCAACTCCAAGCATTATAAACACGTCTGGTCGTGATGGTAACGTATTGTTTGTTGTACAGTTTCCCCAGCAGTATGCAGCCATCTCGGAGGCCCACCAGCCTGCTGAGATCATCCCCCAGTTCTCCACTATAGAATACACCATCAATGTAAGTACCTTAGCCATGTAGTTATTATATGGCAATAGCTTCAAACATATTGGTGTTTTTATATATTTTTTGCAGGCATCATAATGTCTCTTCTTTACCCATCTCCCTTCCCCCCAAAGGGTGGGGAGACGTACTGTTTTTGGCTGGGTTCCTCTTGGCGTTCCACTCCTATTCCCAGCCATAACTTGAAAACTGTTAATGTTTTTCAAGAACACTTGCATATGCATTGCCCACCTGGTGCCTTTTTCTTTTTGATATTTCGAAATTTTCAAAATTGTATCTTTTGTATGTTTCCTTGGAAACAATTTTGGCTTAGTCTTAAAGAGGTTAGGGTTCATTTCTGGGCCATAACTTGAAAACTGTTTAACATTTTTTAAAGAAACTGCACATGTGTTTTTGTAAAAAAAAATTTTTGAATAAAAATGGTAGAAAACGGTTAGAGAAAGGAATCATGTGTTGATGTTAGGGCTGTCAATGATAAGACCACTTTGACACTTTCATAGTAAGAGTGTTGATTGTTCCAGCGTGCAACATGCCACCCTCCCATCTACCTGATAGTGCTGGACACTTGCATGGAGGAGGAGGATCTCCAGGCCCTAAAGGTAAGTGCTCACCTCGCTCACCGCACTCAACACACTCACCCCTCCCTCCCATCTACCTGATAGTGCTGGACACTTGCATGGAGGAGGAGGATCTCCAGGCCCTCAAGGTAAGTACTCTACTCGCTCACAACACTCACCACACTCACCCCTCCCTTCCATCTACCTGATAGTGCTGGAGACTTGCATGGAGGAGGAGGATCTCAAGGCCCTCAAGGTAAGTGCTCACCTCGCTCACCGCACTCAACACACTCACCCCTCCCTCCCATCTACCTGATAGTGCTGGACACTTGCATGGAGGAGGAGGATCTCCAGGCCCTCAAGGTAAGTGCTCATGGGCTAGAAAGCTTTTAGTTCTAACCCCGAGTTGTGGAAATTAACCAAGACTGTCCGAATAGTGATAACATATAGCAATACCCACCTAGGATGCCTTTGACATTAAAACAAAACTGGTCGCAAATGGCGTACTAGTGTTAACTTCCATCCTTGCAATGTTCTATCGTCGGTCTCTGAAATTTGGAAACGAATGATTCAGTGTTGTGATTCACCTGCAGAAAGAAAGAATATGAACAGGATACAAATCATATTGCGACCATAGTATCAGGATATGTATCACATCATAACTCCTCATATCATCAAACATACCTCTAGTAACCATGGTAATAATATATATATAATATATACACCACACTCACTCCATACCCAAACTCACCACACTTTCCATCCTACCAACAATCATTCAGTTCACCCACCACCTGTACCCACAACCACCACATGTACCCACACCTGTACCCACGCCCAACACCTGTACCCACGCCCAACACCTGTACCCACGCCCAACACCTGTACCCACGCCCAACACCTGTACCAACACCTGTACCCACAACCACCACATGTACCCACACACACCCACCTGTACCCACGCCCAACACCTGTACCCACACCCAACACCTGTACCCACACCCACCACATGTACAAACACCTGTACCCACAACCACCACATGTACCCTCACCCACCACATGTACCAACACATGTACCCACGCCCAACACCTGTACCCACACCAACCACATGTACCAACACCTGTACCCACGCCCAACACCTGTACCCACACCCAACACCTGTACCCACAACCACCACCTGTACCCACAACCACCACATGTACCCACACCCACCACACCTGTACCAACGCCCAACACCTGTACCCACAAGCACCACCTGTACCCACAACCACCACATGTACCCACACCCACCACACCTGTACCCACGCCCAACACCTGTACCAACACCTGTACCCACACCCACCACATGTACAAACACCTGTACCCATGACCACCACATGTACCCACACCCACCACATGTACCCACACCAATCACATGTACACAGCCCAACACCTGTACCCACACCCACCACATGTACACAGCCCAACACATGTACCCACGCCCAACACCTGTACCCACACCCACCACATGTACACAGCCCAACACATGTACCCACGCCCAACACCTGTACCCACACCAACCACATGTACACAGCCCAACACCTGTACCCACACCCAACACCTGTACCCACACCCACCACATGTACACAGCCCAACACATGTACCCACGCCCAACACCTGTACCCACACCAACCACATGTACCCACACCAACCACATGTACCCACACCAACCACATGTACAAACACCTGTACCCATGACCACCACATGTACAAACACCTGTACCCATGACCACCACATGTACCCACACCCACCACATGTACACAGCCCAACACCTGTACCCACACCCACCACATGTACACAGCCAAACACCTGTACCCACACCCACCACATGTACACAGCCCAACACCTGTACCCACACCCAACACCTGTACCCACACCCACCACATGTACCCACACCCACCACATGTACACAGCACAACACCTGTACCCACACCCACCACATGTACACAGGACAACACCTGTACCCACACCCAACACCTGTACCCACACCCACCACATGTACACAGCACAACACCTGTACCCACACCCAACACCTGTACCCACACCCACCACATGTACCCACAACCACCACATGTACCATGTGTGTATGGTGTTGATGTTGCAATATCATGTCTTTCCCAGGAGTCCCTGCAGATGTCTCTCAGCTTGCTACCCCCCAACGCCCTCATCGGACTCATCACATTCGGCAAGATGGTGCAGGTTCATGAGCTCGGCAGTGAGGGGGTGTCCAAGAGCTATGTGTTCAGAGGAAACAAGGACCTCACTGCTAAACAGATACAGGTGAGACGATTGCTTCTTGTTGGAATGGCCAAGAGGCCCCATAATCCCCCAAATGAAGTCATATTGTTTTGTGTGTCACTAATGTCAACTGTCAGGTGATCTGAATGGTTAACAGGTGACCTTGAAGCATCAAAGGAAGTGTTTGAACATGTTGAATCAAATTGTATTAAGGTTGTATCAAAGTTGTATCAAAAGTAATAAGATAAGAAAAGGTGGAAACTTAACAAGGGGAGCCAACAGATAATTGCCGCTGATAGTTATGGACAACTGGAAGCCAGGACTATATTATCACTAATTGGCAATTGACAATGGGCAAGTGGAATTAGCACTGATAGGTAAAAGAATGGGAATAGCAATGGGCAATCCGTGCCAATTACCTGTTGGCTTCCCTTGTTAGGTTTCAACCTTTTGTTATCTTAGTAGTTTTGTTGTTCTTACATGTACATATATATGCTCTCTGTCTCATAGCATCCATTCACCTGATGAAGGAGTAAGTATATACTCCGAAACGTTGTGTTCCTCACAATAAAAGGGGCGGTCGGGTAGCCTAGTTGTTAAAGCGTTCGCTCGTCACACCGAAGACCCGGGTTCGATTCCTGTCATGGGTACAATGTGTGAAGCCCATTTCTGGTGTCCCCCGCCGTGATATTGCTGGAATATTGCTAAAAGCGGCGTAAAACCATACTCATCTACTCACTCACTCCTCACAATAAAGAAGTTGACATCCATAAATTCTCCTCCTTACATGAATCACTTCTCAATGCCTTTCAGAAACTTGATTTACTTGACATTATGTTTCAGGAAATGCTTGGCATTGGGCGTGGCACTGCTCAGTCTCAGCAGAGGGGCCCCCAGGGTCCCAACCAGCAGTATCAGCTGCCTATGAACAGGTGCAGTATAGATGGAGACACATTCATCACGTACTGTGGGTTATACAGTTGTCCCGTGTGGGGATTCAGGGACAGGCAGGGTTCCCAGTACTCCGGGATTGTTGTAAGAGATGACTAATGGGTATCAGGTGGTAACAATGTCCGCCTGGCTGATTGTGTCGTCTGACCCCCCAATGTGGTGTGTTGTTCATACTGTCAACCACTATTTTACTTTGCCCAGATTTGAATGTTTACAGGCGTCAAATTATAGCTGGAATGATGCTGACTTGGGCAATGGCATTTTACTCACTCTTAAGTTGTTCTGCCTGAGCAATATACATGAGAATCTCAAACTGTCAGACAATAACACATATTGTCATGAGAAAGATCACGATTCAGGTATAGTGCAGATGGCACTATTTTTTCTTGAATTAAGTAGACAACACAATATTGTTTACCTTTCATCCCATCTGCATGATAAATGTCCTTTGATAAATAGAGAATCTCACCCGAGTGTCTTTTGATATCAAATGTATCAACACGTTGATAAAAGTGGTAAAATTCTGAGGCTTGCCGAGGGTGAGATTTTATTTATCATCCAACATCATGCTTCCAACTTTTTTCAGTTTGTAGACAGTAAGTAGCAGTGTCTTCAGTGTAAAAAGTACTGCAAACAGCTTCAGTAGCAGAGCCATTAGTGATGTCATTTGATTGTGACGTCATGGTAACCAGTGATGTCACAATGGTCTGCAAAGCATTGTGATGCAATTTCATTGCAGCGATATCTACAGTGTAGATATCGCTTCATCTTATCAAAGCGATATCTCCTGTGGGAGCCAGTTTTGGATGATAAATTTCCCTTTCTGTAGCTAATAACAGATGTTCTGACCTACCCTAATTGAGTATGTTTCGGTAACGGATTTCATAACACGAGAGTGTCTTGTCCAGGTTTCTACAGCCGGTGCACAAGTGTGACATGAGTCTCACTGACCTGTTGGGAGAACTACAGCGTGACCCGTGGCCAGTCAGCCAGGGCAAGCGACCGCTCCGCTCAACTGGTGCAGCCCTGTCCATCGCTGTGGGGCTTCTGGAGGTGAGAAACTAGGTTAACACTTTACACTTTGTACAAGGTTCTACTGTAAAATTCCTGGTAAGAATTAAAGAAAAAAAATACAGATTAAAAAAATGAGATAGCTTTTGGTCCATTCTGGGTATATGTGCGGTTTGTTGTCTATCAAGAATATGAAGACTGAATATTCCACCATTGTACTTGCAGTGCACATTCCCCAACACTGGAGCACGTGTGATGTTGTTTGTGGGCGGGGCGTGTACCCAGGGGCCGGGGATGGTAGTGGGGGACGAGCTGAAGCACCCCATCAGGTCCCACCATGACATAGAGAAGGACAACTGCAAGTATATGAAGAAAGCCATGAAGGTGAGATTTTATGTCAACATCACACATCTTTCAACCTTTATGTTAAATCTTGGCACAGAAATATAGATCGGACGAATCATTTCTGAGCCTTTCTGAAGTTCTGAGCCTATCAAAGAATGTAAGGTATTGTGATTGGAACAGAAAAGATATAGTTTCTAGTACTAAATACTGGGGATAAGCCATCTTCCCAAGGCAAGGGAGTTAACTGATTCTGAAAGTCTTGTTTCTACCCTTGCCAAACTAGGCTTAAAATTCTTTGCTCAATCATAGCGCCACCAGTGGCTGGTATTATGAGTTGTGTCCCTTCTATGTCCGTCCTACTGACCAATCAGATTCCATCACTCATATCACTTGCATTTGCTTCAAACAAAATGGCGGCGCCCAGTCAAAACGATCTGATCAATTATCAAGATATATATTGTAAGAAAATGGGTCTTACCTCATCAAATGCATCGAATAACTTGAGAACCTTGATTAAAAACATGAAAAGATTATCTGTCCTGTAAGTTGACGATACACATCCTTTGCAAATTCTGCAGTCATTTCCTACCAATGTTTTCCCTTTAGAAAGATGGCAACACATTCTAACAATAAATACTGTTGCCATGGGATGCAGAGTGACCCTATATAACACACTGAGTCGTCTGTGTCAACCGTGGCTGTCCGATATATCAGGTATATACCCTCCTACTTACAGCACTACGAAGGCCTCTCCAATCGGGCCGCAACCAACGGCCATGTGATAGACCTGTTTTCCTGTGCCCTAGATCAGACTGGACTGCACGAGATGAAGTTCTGTCCTAAATACACCGGGTAAGGACCAGATATCCCGATGAAGGAATGTTTAAATAAAACTTTTTTCATGAAGTTTTAGACCAGTGAAGACTCCGAGGTAGAATAGGTCTTTAGCAACCCATACTTGCCGTAAAAGGTGACTAATGGGATCGGGTGGTCAAACTTGCTGACTTGGTTGATACATGTCATCGATCCCAATTGAGTGGATCGCGATGTCAATCACTGGATTGTCTGGTCCAGACTTGATTATTTACAGACCGCTGTCATATAGCTGGAATGATGCTGAGTGCGGCGTTAAACAACAAACAAACATGAAGTTTCCATTGATTGTTAACGCAGGATAAACTTGTTGCTTTTGCAGACTACTTGTGAAACTCATTAACAAAACATCAGGGGGAGAATTTGGGTCATATATTCTCCGAAATAAACAAACTAGGTTGTACATGTTTAGGAAAATGTTTAATGACAATGCTGACATACAACTGTAAATTGATTATGCTACATGTGGATCACAATGGCAAGTTTTTCCACAAACTGTGTCGAAAAAATTAGTGCTTCCTTGTTTGAATTTGAGTTATTCATGTTTTGTGAAACATTTCAGTGGCCACATGGTGATGGGCGACTCGTTCAACACGTCCCTGTTCAAGCAGACCTTCCAGAGGGTGTTTGCCAAGGACATGAAGGGGGAGTTCAAGATGGCCTTTGGTGCAACCGTGGAAGTAAAGGTGGGTCACTGCACCTACTCTGGGAGAATGTGTTGTTGAAGCCTGGTGTGGAAGCCAAGGAAAGTCTGTCTCAGTAACTTTCCTGGCAGGGTAGAATAGGTCTTCAGCAACCCATGCTTGCTGTAAAAGGCGACTGTGATTGTCGTAGGAGGCGACTAACGGGATCAGGTGGTCAGGCTCGCTGACTTGGTTGATGCATGTCATCGATCCTAATTACGTGGATCGATGCTCATTTTGTCAATCACTGGATTGTCTGGTCCAGACTCGATTATTTACAGACTGCCATCATAAAGCTGGAATATTGCTGAGTGTGGCGTTAAACAACAATCAATCAAACAAACAAACATAGACATCTGGGTTGAACTCTGCAGGGATTGATTTAACTGGCCCTTGGTCAGTTAAATTTGCAAAGGGCTTGTTGAAACGGAAAGTCTGGCTAGTCAAAATTTCACCACTTCTCTGTGTACATTTAATTTTTTTCAATTGGATGCAGCGTATGAAAAAGAGAAAGCTCTGCTTGCTACAACCGTGTTGTAAAATCTCTCCCTGCTCTGGAGTACAGAAGTTCCCCATTATTGAATTGTTGTTATGCCTCAGCCTCCAGCGGGGCTAGACTTAATTATTTACAGGCTGCCCTGATAAAACTTGAATATTTACTGAGGGTTGTGTAAAATAACATTTGAATAAACTTCACTTATCACATCACAATTCAAGTTTTTCCATGTGGTATGAATATTTGTACATGTTGATTTCAGACGTCTCGAGAGTTGAAGGTGTCGGGTGCTATTGGTCCGTGTGTGTCTCTTGGGGTGAAGGGGCCGTCTGTGTCGGACACAGAGATTGGCCTTGGGGGGACGTGTCAGTGGAAGATGTGTGGGATATACCCAAACAGTACCCTCAGCATGTTCTTTGAAGTGGTCAATCAGGTAAGCTATGATTGTCTGCTCAGCTGTGTTCATCATGGTCTATTCAGCTGTGTTCATCATGGTCTATTCAGCTGTGTTCATCATGGTCTAAGCAGCTGTGTTCATCGTGGTCTAATCAGCTGTGTTCATCATGATCTAGTCAGCTGTGTTCATCATGGTCTAGTAAGCTGTGTTCATCATGGTCTATGCAGCTGGGTTTATCATGGTCTACTCAGCTGTGTTCATCATGGTCTAGTCAGCTGTGTTCATCATGGTCTAGTCAGCTGAGTTCATCATGGTCTATTCAGCTGTGTTCATCATGGTCTGCTCAGCTGTGTTCATCACGGTCTGCTCAGCTGTGTTCACCATGGTCTTCTCAGCTGTGTTCATCATGGTCTATCCAGCTGTGTTCATCCTGGTCTGCTCAGCTGTGTTCATCATGGTCTACTCAGCTGTGTTCATCCTGGTCTACTCAGCTGTGTTCATCATGGTCTACTCAGCTGTGTTCATCCTGGTCTAATCAGCTGTGTTCATCATGGTCTACTCAGCTGTGTTCATCCTGGTCTGATCAGCTGTGTTCATCATGGTTTATTCAGCTGTGTCCATCCTGGTCTAATCAGCTGTGTTCATCATGGTCTACTCTGCTGTGTTCATCATGGTCTGCTCAGCTGTGTTCATCATGGTCTACTCAGCTGTGTTCATCATGGTCTACTCAGCTGTGTTCATCATGGTCTGCTCAGCTGTGTTCATCATGGTCTACTCAGCTGTGTTCATCATGATCTACTCAGCTGTGTTCATCATGGTCTATTCAGCTGTGTTCATCATGATCTAGTCAGCTGTGTTCATCATGGTCAGCTGTGTTCATCACTGTCTACGCAGCTGTGTTCATCATGGTCTATGCAGCTGTGTTCATCATGGTCTACGCAGCTGTATTCATCATGGTCTGCTAGCTGTGTTCATCATGGTCTGCTCAGCTGTATTCATCATCATGATCCTGTATTACATGGATAAAAATAAACCAGGAATGTCTACCACTCAGAACTTGAATAATTATTGCGGTGATCTAATACTGTTGAAGTACTTCCAGTGCTTAAGAAAGGACACATGTGCATTGTGTGGACTGTTATCACAAGAAGACATTAATATATATGTCATATGAGATAATATTTTTGGTACTGAAAATGGATTAAGAGAAAAATCAACTAATTTTGTTCTGTTACACATGTTCGGGTTAGAAAAGATATTGCACCTGGTCGCGCAGTGTGCTGCTATGCCATTATGGACGAGAGTACATACCGTTGATGAATCGCGTGTTTGATTCCAGCACAATGCACCTATCCCACAAGGGGGACGAGGGTACATACAGTTCATCACACAGTATCAGCACTCAAGTGGCCAGAGACGGATCCGTGTTACCACAACAGCTAGGAAGTAAGACCTTCTCTCAAACCTCTTCTCAGTTTACAGAACTTCCCATTGTTGGAACAATGTCAATGTGTCATCCGGTGTTGGTTCCATGGAAAAATGTCCCATGAAGCCTCGGACTTGTTGTAAAAGTTGACTTTCATTGATCAGGTGTTATGATCAGTCACCACTCAGTGGGACCTCTGTGTTCGAGTGTCCGCCAAGAGAGTGGAAGGTCCGGGTTTTGATCCCGAGCCGCGTCATACCAAAAGATGTTAAAAGATGGTACTTGTTGTTACCCTGCCTGGCACTCGGCCTTAAGGAGCTAAAGCAAGGACTGGTCGGCTCAGAGTCAGTATACTGTGTCTGAGTGGCACTCGGCCTTAAGGAGCTAAAGCAAGGACTGGTCGGCTCAGAGTCAGTATACTGTGTCTGTGTGGCGCTCGGCATTAAGGAGCTAAAGCAAGGACTGGTCGGCTCGGAGTCAGTATACTGTGTTTGAAGTGGGGTATTCATGTTAAACTGCGGCATGGTATCTGAGGGGGCTAGCACTATAAATCGGCATCAGTCCAGACTAGAACAAGCAGCCACACACACACTCGTGCATGCTGGTCGCTATTTTATAATATAGGTGCAATAATCTTGGATGAGGAGTTAAACCCCATTTCACTTCACCTCATCTTTGTTATTCGGTGTCATCATGGCTGATGGCATGGGACATACTCATGATTTCACCCACTGGTTTGCCTGGTCCACTTGTAGCAGGTGACCCGTGAAGATTACGGGGTAGAATAGGTCTTCAGCAACCCATGCTTGCCGTAAAAGGCGACTAACAGGATGGGGTGGTCAGGCTCGCTGACTTTGTTGATGCATGTCATCTATCCCAATTGCGTGGATCGATGCTCATGATGTCAATCACTGGATTGTCTGGTCGAGACTTGATTATTTACAGACTGCCCTCATATAGCTGGAATATTGCTGAGTGCGGCATTAAACAACAAACAAACCAACCAATTGTGACAGGTTGTGTTCTAGCTGAAATATTGCTGACAGCCACATTAACCAACATTCACCCACTTTAACATTCAGGAACCCAATATATACAGAATGTAACATCTGACAGGGTGAGTGTGTGAGTGTGTGTTCCATCTGTGGTGTGACAGAATGTAGCATCTGACCGTGCTGTGTGTGTTCCATCTGTGGTGTGACAGAATGTAGCATCTGACCGTGCTGTGTGTGTTCCATCTGTGGTGTGACAGAATGTAGCATCTGACCGTGCTGTGTGTGTTCCATCTGTGGTGTGACAGAATGTAGCATCTGACCGTGCTGTGTGTGTTCGATCTGTGGTGTGACAGAATGTAGCATCTGACCGTGCTGTGTGTGTTCGATCTGTGGTGTGACAGAATGTAGCATCTGACCGTGCTGTGTGTGTTCGATCTGTGGTGTGACAGAATGTAGCATCTGACCGTGCTGTGTGTGTTCCATCTGTGGTGTGACAGAATGTAGCATCTGACCGTGCCGTGTGTGTTCGATCTGTGGGGTGACAGAATGTAGCATCTGACCATGTGTGTTTGTTCCAGCTGGGCCGATGCCAGCACCAACATCCAACACATAGCAGCAGGGTTCGACCAGGAGGCTGCAGCAGTACTGATGGGGAGAATAGCCGTGTACAGAGCCGAGACAGATGACGGCCCGGATGTGTTACGATGGCTGGATAGGATGCTCATTAGATTAGTAAGTTGGTCATCAGGTCAAATATTAGTGAAAAACCTCAGTCAGGAAAGCATGAGCTCTGGCCAGGGTTTGCCCTGACACAGAAAACCTGCGTATTTGACGCAATCTAAAGAGAAAATACAAAATATTATTTCTCCAATGCGTCAGTCATGATGCAGATCATTCAGACTGTCAATCAATTAATTGCACTATACGGTCGGAACATTAAAACTTGAAACAGACATATCCCTGGACAATAAAATACGACCAATGTCAGCTTTGCCTAATGTTGGAAATCCTAAAGTCTAAAAACAGAACAGCCCTTCTGGCAAGCTCTCGGTTGCAGCCAATCAGAATGAATTTTCAATAGTTGCGTATCGGGGCGGTTGTATTTTGGTCATTATGAAATCTAACATCTATTTGTTAAAATGAGCCCCTTTGAAAGACATATGACTCCCTGTATTACACCTAAGGAGTCATAATGACACCCAGTTTTAAGAGGCTAGGGCAACCCCTAGCTCTGGCTAAATGATTTTGCTGTCTTGAGTGATGTTATGTTAAGTCTAATTTATCATGTTTACTGACATTAAGATAGTTTGTACATCCTGCTCTAAACATAACCTATTCTAAAGATAAATAATCTTGTTTATGTGAGATGTACACACAGATCTCAGTGATGAGGGACAGTTTCATTTAGTTCCAAGGTTTAGGATTCTGAACTAGGGTTTGTTATTGGGTATGTATGAGATGTATAAGGTTTTATTGTTGCATTCCAGTGTCAAAAGTTTGGAGATTATCACAAAGAAGACCCGAACTCGTTCCGGTTCTCGGAAAACTTCTCACTCTACCCTCAGTTTATGTTCCACCTTAGACGATCACAGTTCCTCCAGGTCTTTAACAACAGTCCGGATGAGACCTCATACTACAGGTACAGATGATGATGATGGTGGTGATGGTGATTATGATGATGAGGATGGGTGGGAGTAGGCCCCTGCAACCTATGCTGTTTGGTCGTACAAGGCAACCAAATAGATCTGTAACGTGGTGTCCTTGTACAGTGATGGCATGGATTGTTGCTCACAATATTGACAGGGCGGTCGGGTAGCCTAGTGGTTAAAGCGTTCGCTCATCACGCCGAAGACCCGAGTTCGATTCCCGATATGGGTACAATTAGTGAAGCCCATTTCTGGTGTCCCCCGCCGTGATATTGCTGGAATATTGCTAAAAGCGGCATAAAACCATACTCACTCACTCACTCACTCACAATATCGACCACTGGATTGTCTGGTCAACACTTGATTATTTATAGGCCGCCGTCATATAGCTGTAATATTGCTGAGTGCGGCGTTAAACAGCAAACAAACAAAATCAAAATATACATTGCTTATTATATAAGTACAATGAATGAATATAACAAAAAGCGCCATGTTGATTTGATGATGATGCTTGAAGGTATATATGATTATAATTATGATATAAGTAATATAATACAAACTGTGTTGTCAGATGTTTCTGTCAGGGCTGTAATATATATCTATTTCCACACATGAGCTTATTGAAGTAGTAAGTGATTTGTTCATGCTGACTGCTATTTTCCAGACACATGTTGAATGTAGAAGACTTGACGCAGTCGCTCATCATGATACAGCCAATACTCTACGCCTACTCCTTCACAGGACCTCCAGAGGTACACGGCACTTACAATATAACTCATTTAAAATCTTAAAACTCATTATGTTTATTTAAAAAGTAACTTGTTTTCTTTTTATAAAAAAATGTCTTGATTTATGAGTAAAACAAGGAAGTAACCTTGGAGAAAAGTTGTTTTCAATGAAATATCTGTGGTTAAACTTAATTTAGGACTAACTCATTGGTAAACAACAGAATTTATCTGGCTGTTTATATTTGTATCTGTTTCCAGTTTCATGTTTGGATCAAAAATAATTTTGAAAATTAGGTCCTGGATCTTGAGTTTTGATTTCAATCATTGTGATCTCTTTGGATTTGAAAATGTATTGACTAGCGTGCGTCACAGGAATGTAATAGGAATGTAGTAGGAATGTAATAGGAAGTATGTGTTTGTTTCAGCCTGTGCTTCTCGACACCAGCAGTATACAGCCAGACAGGATACTCCTGATGGACACCTTCTTTCAGATAGTTATATACCATGGAGAGGTGAGTTATTCCCCTTTGAGTATCATGTATAAGGGGGTTATTCCCCTTTGAATATCATGTATAATGGGAGTTATTCCCCTTTGAATATCATGTATAATGGGAGTTATTCCCCTTTGAATATCATGTATAAGGGGAGTTTTTTCCCTTTGAATATCATGTATAATGGGAGTTATTCCCCTTTGAGTATCATGTATAAGGGGAGTTTTTTCCCTTTGAATATCATGTATAATGGGAGTTATTCCCCTTTGAGTATCACGTATAAGGGGAGTTATTCCCCTTTGAATATCATGTATATGGGGAGTCTTTCGCTTTGAATATCATTATAGGGGAGTTATTTCCCTTTGAATATCATGTATAATGGGAGTTATTCCCCTTTGAATATCATGTATATGGGGAGTTTTTCACTTTGAATATCATTATAGGGGAGTTATTCCCCTTTGAATATCATGTGTAAGGGGAGTTATTCTCCTTTGAAAATCATGTATAATGTGAGTTATTCCCCTTTGAATATCATGTACCAGTTGAGTTATTCCCCTTTGAATATCGTGTATACGGGGAGTTATTCCCCTTTAAATATCATTATAGGGGAGTTATTCCCCTTTGAATATCATGTATAAGGGGAGTTATTCCCCTTTGAATATCATGTATAAGGGGAGTTATTCCCCTTTGAATATCATGTATAAGGGGAGTTATTCCCCTTTGAATACCATGGAGAGGGGATGTATTCCCTGTTGAACACCATGTAGGTGAGTATTCCCCTCATGGAGATGTGAGTTACTCCCCTTTGAGTATCATGGCGAGAGATTAGTTGTGTAGCTATAGAATCAGTGACTGGAGAAATATTGGACCAAGTATCGTTGACACCTCTCTGTCTTGATCAGACAATTGACCAGTGGAAGAAGCAGGGTTACCACGACCTACCGGAGTATGAGAACTTCAAGCAGCTGATGCAGGCGCCAGTGGACGACGCCCAGGAGATTCTACAGACGAGGTTCCCCATGCCCCGATACATCGTCACCGAGTCCGAGGGATCACAGGTCAGTTATAGGTCACTCCTCTGTGATGGGGAACGACCCTTCTTAAAAGGAAGGTCTTCAGCAACCCATGCTTGTCGTAAGAGGCGACTAACAGGATCAGGTGGTCAGACTCGCTGACTTGGTTGATGCATATACCCATATCCCAATTACGTAGATCGATGGTCATGATGTCAATCACTGGATTGTCTGGTCCAGACTTGATTATTTATAGGCCACTGTCATAGAGCTGGAATATTGCTGAGTGTGGCGTTAAACAACAAACAAACAAACAAGTATGGAAGGAAAACATTTTCAGATGTATGGTATGAGAATGTATTTCTTTACTTACAAATCTGCAGTACTGACTTAGAATTTGCTCTCAAATTAATTTCCATTTTTTTTAGCCAAAAATCTATTGTCACACATACTTTGGCATTTTGTAACCTACATATATGCTGATATTAGTATCTGAAACTGCCTACTGATGGATTTAAAGAAATAGTTTCTTCCCAATGATGCAAATGCCGCTGTACTTATATTTCTGACTGGCATAAAACAACCAAAACAAAAATTTAGACATTATGCCATATTGTTTGTTGATCTTATCTCAACATCACTGGTTTTTTATAAGATTGCAAGTAAGATGAGCTATTCGTTGTTTATTTCAGGCTCGGTTCTTGCTGTCCAAGGTGAACCCGTCTCAGACACACAACAACGCATACGGATGGGGACAGGTACGGCTTGCTAGCATTTACCTCTCGAAATTTGAACGCCAGCATGAAACAGAATTGTTTCCCTTAATACTTTTCAAAGATGTGTGTAGTATTAATGAATGAAGTTTCTGTTTGCATCCAGTAGTATAGGACCCATAAGAGCATAGTATTTGACTGAAAAAAAGTACCGTATTCGACGTAATAATCGCCCCGCTCTAATATGCGCCCACGGCGACATTTGCTAATATATTGGCTGGTGAACAATCCCAATTAGCACCCCTTCCGATTGATCAATGTGCACAAGACTTATTTATTCGCGTATAATACCCACTTGTGTGTTATATGCACCCTTAATTGTGGGCAATTAAATTCTTGAAAAATATATCTGTCGTACATAAACACTTCAGGCTGTCAGCATAAACCATGAAATTTATCTTTCAACTCTGTTTTTTTCACCAAAATAATATTCTAATAAGAGCCCCCTATTTCTAATTTTGAGAGCGCCCTGGGCGCTTATTACGTTGAATATGGTATTTACATAATTAATTTTGTTGTTTTGGAAACAACTTATGTTTCAGATTTTATCATGTCATTATGAAATTAGACAGTGACAATCATTTTGAAATGATAAACCGTGGGAATCATAAATAAATTTTCATGTTCTTGTTGGTTAAGAAATCTTTTTTGGGAAAACACTTAAATAGTTCAAACAATGGATATATATATTTGTTTACACCAAATAAACTGGGCATCGTGCATCTACTTTCAGCCATCAACAGGGGTGTGTAAACGCTGTCAGATTTATGTCTTGGTTGTCATATATACCACTTGTCATGTGTATTGCAGTCTGAAACTAACATGGTTGTTGAAATTGGCATGTAACAGTAATTGTGTGCAGTGGCGCCATCTAAAGAAGATTGGCCTGAAATAGACAAATTCACTTTCATATTCTGAAATATTCACTTAAAAAGAATTTTTATTGTACTTCATCATATTTGTATCAGAAATGAAAATACTTGTTTAAGTTAACACATTTTTTTTTAATATCTAACTTCTAAGGCCAATCTTTTTTGGTAAAATATTTGTTAAAGTTTACATGATTGCTGTGTGAGTTCTTAATCTTAACCTGAATTGTGAATGCTTATGCCGTGATCTGCTTGCATAAATATTAAGGCATTACAATAACATTTACTATTTTGAAGACACCATGTTGGTTAGTTTTGAAGACATTTTGCACCAAGCATCACTTGTAGACCTGAAGATTATTTTAGATAGCATTATTTCCAGCTGTTAAGAAGTCTTTGTATATATCTGTTATGGAACAATGATATCCAGCATGTTGATCGTCCTAAGTGAATGACGTAGGCCATTAGCATGAGCTTTTGTCGCATGAGTTGCATAGCCCTAGATTTGTAGCAACGATGAGTTTGACCTTCACCTTCACTCTGCTGTCTAGGTCATCACAACGGGGGGCCCAGAGGTAGTATGCTCCGTCACGTCTTGGGGGGGCGGACCCATGGTTACTTAGTTCTGTCAGTCATGGGAGGAGGCTTTGTGGAATGATTCTTTTAAAACTGTGCAGAATAAACAATGTTGCCTTCTCTACTCATATTACACTCAACTATAACTATAATTATTCAACAGATATTACACCAGGCCAGTTTAGCTTCTTGTGTACTTTCTAACCTTATATTCTTGTGTTGATAATGTTAATTTCTTTAAAAATCTCAACACCAATACAATACAAACTTGTCAAAAGCAAAATTTTAGTCAGACACCGTATTTGTTTTTCATACTTAATATTAGTTCATTTCTCATTATTACGGAGATAAGAATACTTTCACCTAGTTCCTATAGCTTTTAATAAGTGGTGACTATACTGAATCGAGGAGTCAGGCTCAGTGACTAGAATATTTCATACTGCAGTTTTAAAGCATCCAACAAGTAAATAATATTACCGTGATTTCTCTTTTACTGTTTCGAGTGGGCTCATCAATACAAAAACAAGAAATTGAATTGGCCTGTGTAGACTACAAAACTGAAATGTTTTGTTTTAACCCTTGAAACATTGAGTCAGTTCTGGAGTGTTTGTAAGCCGGACATTTTACGAGCTGCAGGCTGAAGAATTGCTTGAACAAGCGTATTATTATCTCCAAAAGTACAATCACTTCTATACTTGCATGCATGAGAGTTTCTTTGAAAGGCAATCTTGGATATATCAGAGGCACAGTTTTAGCATCATTACTCAAAGAAGTTCTGCTTCTGGTTTTGGGTTAGGAAGATGGTGATAGAGATGGAGGTTGTACACAGAGGTAGTCACATGCAGATGGGATACGGTGGCTTCAACGCATGTTTTGGAAACTACCAAGAATAATTCTTTTAATTAATCCTGTTTCATCATCTGCATGTGATTACGGTTTTGTGTAAACACTGATTGTCATGACCTGTGTCCCCTTGTCTTGCTTGTACGATCCCATGTCTTATCCCTTCCTTCCGTTGTCTGTGTGTGATGTCATCCTCGTCATCTTTGTACTGCATTAGCCAATACTGAAGTATTCTTGTTCATCGTCCGGAGGCAAGAAAGTTGACTGACTGCGAAAGTCCAGTTTCCACCCTTGCCGAACTAGGCTAGAATTCCTGGCCTGATTTTAAAGCCACCAGTGGCTATTACGAGTTATGTCCCTTCTATGCCCTTCCTATTGACCAATCAGATTCCACCTCTCATATCAAAGAAAAATGCTGCGCTCAGTCAAGACGATCTGATCACTAATCAAGATCTATATTCTAATAAAACGGGTGTTACTACGCTAAGTGCATCAAGTCCTGTAATCACCTTAATTAAAAACGTGAAAATATGTAGAAAATGTCTGTTGACGCCCGGTTGACGGTACACATCGTTTGCAAATCCTGCAGTCAACCAAACTCATTGAAATCCAGGTTGTTTACGAACCAGGTGTCGATTTTGTTACTGGATATTGATTGGACTATGCATAGACACGTTAGTGCAGCCAAACAATAACTCCATAATTCCAAGTGTGGAAACTGGACTTTTAGTCAGTTAACTCCCTTGCCTCAGGAAGATGATTCTTATCAGGAACAGATTCAACAGCAAAGAGGATGACTTTATCAGTGCTGGATTCTGGACATTGTGTTGTGTTGAATAACTTAAGAGTATAGGATTGATATATTTCAACCAAGTATATGATATAAGATTTTCACTATAGTTCTTCGTGAACTTTGTGTAATCTATGATAGGTATTTGTTCATACTGGATTATTTCTTTATCTATACTTGCATATTACTTCTGCATAATACCCGTGAAGATCCGGAGTAGAATAGGTTTTCAGCAACCCATTCTTGCCGTAAGTGGCGACTATGATCGTCGTAAGAGGCAACTAACGGGATCGGGTGGTCAGGCTCACTGACTTGGTTGATGCATGTCATCGTATACCAATTGCTTGGATCGATGCTCATGAGGTCAATCACTGGATTGTCTGGTCCAGACTCGATTTTTTACAGACTGCCGTCACATAGCTGGAATACTGCTGAGTGCGGCGTTAAACAACAAACAAACAAAAAACAAAAACTTCTGCATAAAACATTCACCTGCTTTTTTATTAATTCAGACTTATGTTTTCTCTTACAATTCAAGACCAAAATGTTCTTCTAATCGTGGTTTAGCAAAACATGAATCCAATTGTTAAGTTATTGAATGTATTATTGAACTTCATAACAATGGATGACTGTTTGTTCTAGGATGGCGGTTCTCCTGTACTGACGGACGACGTCAGTCTGCAAGTATTCATGGATCATCTAAAGAAGTTGGCCGTCTCCTCCTCATCTTGATTAGTACCAACCCTCATCTAGTACCGACCGATTCCATCTGGCTTGATGTAGACACAATGCTTGCCGCTGTACAACGCCACACCCCGACGCAAATCAGGACTCCCCAACGCCAGGATCCTGAAAGATTTGTCGTGTGTTTCTGTGTATGGCTTCTGTCCGACATGTCGAGAAAACGGACTCTCAAATGTGTGGATTAGCAACTAGATGATGCTTGACATGATGTAATGCCAAAGCAAAGACAATACATATGATTTCGCTACCAGTGATACATGTTTTCTGCACAATATGGATGTTCCTTAGTCAATAACTATCCTGGAGAGTGTAGAGTGCCAACGTGGTTCTCTGTTTACGGTCGTCTTTGGATTTGCCAAAGAAACAACTGTCACACCTTGTCTTGCTTTCTAAGGAATCTTATTCTTGTTAAATAACTTGTGAATTGGTAAGGCTTAACATTATCAAATAGGTATGTTCTAATTCCAGATAGCTTTGTCAGACGCAAGATAATGTTGATAGTCACGTGGTGCATATTAGATATTCATGGCTGCAGACAATAATGTATATATAATAAATACTATGTAATTTTATCATGTTCATATTGGTAGTACATGCAGGAAAAATGATGACTGGTTCTGTGACAGTTTTATCAATTGTAAAAATAGAAATGATTGACAGATATCAAACTTGAACTGCATGTTTTGTCTTATTTATATCTATTTGTTAAATGGTTTTTCTTCTCTTGAAAATAAATACAACAATCTGCAGAGGCCACTGTGTTTGTCATGGTTGACAAGAGATGGATTCAAAACAATTGTCACAGTGTTATGAATGGGTTCCTCTATGCAGTTTGTAAATGTTGTTGCACTTGTGCAATTTATGCACTCCTTTAAACTAGCAATTATCTCTAGTAAAGAATAGAATCCTCCCGCCAAAGTCTGAATGCCCAATAGCCTTCAGCTATCGCATCTATTAACCGATTCACATGGAGGGTGGTAGGACTGAATGTTAACTGGCTGATTCACATGGAGGACTGAATGTTAACTGACTGATTCACATGGAGGACTGAATGTTAACCGACTGATTCACATGGAGGACTGAATGTTAACTGGCTGATTCACATGGAGGACTGAATGTTAACTGGCTGATTCACATGGAGGACTGAATGTTAACTGACTGATTCACATGGAGGACTGAATGTTAACTGGCTGATTCACATGGAGGACTGAATGTTAACTGACTGATTCACATGGAGGACTGAATGTTAACTGACTGATTCACATGGAGGATGCTAGGACTGAGTGCGTTCAAGATTATTGCACTTCTATTGTGATGTGTGTGTGTCTGCTTGTACTAGTCTGGACTAATTCCGATGTTATAGTGCTAGCCCACTGAGATACCATGCCGCAGTTTAACATGAATACCCCATTCAGACACAGTGTACTGACCCCGAGCTAACCAGTCCTTTTTTTTTCAACCAGGCATTTTTCTCCTAACTCAAATTACATCAATATCCTTTCATCAAAGGATTCTGCACATACATGCTGTCAGAAAAACAAGACAAGTCATTAGTCTTAATTTATTTGATTTCTATTTACACTGTACAAATTGCTCCCATGATTAAAATAAACTGCCTCTGCCACAATTCTTCTCATGCATCGCTGACGGGAGACCTCTAGTTGCGAAAACCTGACCAGAAATACTAGAACTCCCACGTCAGCATCCTTGAGCTTATCAGTAATGACATCTTGTTCATAGCGGCAAAGAGGATTACAAATCTCATAAAGAGCAGATCTTGAACTCTGATACGATACCTCTCTGTCGGACCCTACATGCTTAACAAAATACCTCTTTTACTACAGCTGTATTAAGATACAGGATGTTTAATTGTGCTATATTGTCAAATCTATAACAGGTAACCAGACTGTAAACACAATACTCATCATGAATGCAGTACTATTTAATGTAAGCAGTTATCAGGAAGTTACTATAGTTAGATGCTAGAGTGGTGTGGTAACTTCCGAAAACGTCGAGCCTCATCCAGCATTGTATAGAGCCTTACAGCACTGGGTAGAAAGTTCTGGAATCTAGTTAGACGGTATATAAAAGGACAAGAGCATGCCTCTCGCATCTCTCTCCCATTTCATTACATCAAGACCAGCTTTCGTGTGAAGATCCGTTTTCATCCCAGATTCCCTGGTACTGCCATAGTAATCGCTGTGCAGTAACTTGTATTGATCTGCAAACTTAGTGAATTTTGTAAAACATTTGTTGATTGAATACCATTTGTCGGTTGTTTGTTGGTTTCACAGTAAGTTCTTTTACATCCAGATTTCTGGGTTAACATATTGTTTTACTTTGGGAATTGACACATAACAAAACATTGCTACTATGCTTAATGCTCTAGTTCGCAGCAGGTACTGTATCAGTGTAAAAGATCTGATCTTCATAAGATTTACAGGTAAACTGAATATCACATTCTAACATGAGAATACCACAGGCAACATACAAGTTAAATACAGGGTTATCATGTTAAGAATATATACAAATGAGCAACTACCATCATAAATATTTCACAGACTAAACTGTATGTACATTACCAATTCAATAATACTGCATTCACTTGTCACCAACGACTGTAACACCAGCTGCTTGACCTCTTACGGAACCATACTGGCAGTGGTACATTATTCCTGTTTCTTAAGAATTTGGATGAATGTCAATTGTGAATATAAAGAAATATGACGTGTTTTGAGTTGTTACAATATGAAGTAAAAAACATTTTAACAACTGTAAAACAACATACCATATTCGACGTAATAAGTGCCCATGGCGATATTTGCTAATATATTGGCTCGTGAACAATCCCAATTAGCACCCTTTCCGATTGATCAATGTACACAATACTTATTTACGGTATTTGCGTATAATACGCACTTGTGTGTTATATGCACCCTTAATTATGGGCAATTAAATTCTGGGAAAATATATCTGTCGTATATAAACATTTCAGGCTGTCAGCATAAACCACGAAATTTATCTTTCAACTCTGTTTTTTTTTGACAAAATAATATTCTAATAAGAGCCCCCTATTTCTAATTTTTAGAGGGCCCTGGGCGCTTATTACGTTAAATACGGTAATTAAAAAGTAAATGGCTAAAACAGGACGATATTTTGAACATATTGATACCCATGTTAAAATGTCAATGAATCTATTAAAAACAATCTTTCAACAAAATAATATCTTCAACGCAGTAATAATAATTCTGACTTCATCATATTCATTGACTTCATAATAATAATGATTGTAGATTCTCAAAATTCATGTAACCATCTCAGGAATGCACAGAATATTTTATACAGCTTGGGCCATCTTGAACATGAAATAGAAAAGGGTCGTCTATGGCAGTTGTCATCATGACAGACTGGCTTTCATCAGCTGCTGGAGTCGGTTCAATCGCTCGTCAATGTCACAGATCTCAGCTGATCTGTCAAAATACTCGCTCTCATCACCTGTGATAAACAATAGAAATGAGATAATAATAATATGACATAAAATAATAATAATAATAGGCCATTTATATTGCACATATTTCAACACCACTCAGGGGCATGCTCAAAGCGCTATTATTACCCCAGGATCAATAATCATTCTCAGCTCCCTGGGGATCATACAACCCAAGCTGCCTGTTAGGCGCTAGAAGGTTAACAGCCACATTACCATCTCATCCTACCGGGTACCCATTCACTGCTGTTCGAACAAAGTCACTTGCCCAAGTAAGTGAGTGAGTATGGTTTTACGCCAGTTTTAGCAATCTTCCAGCAATATTACGGCAGGGACACAAGAAATGGGCTTCACACATTGTACCCACTTGCCAAGGAGACACCACATGTGTTACATGTGCTTCAGTGTGGGGCAGGACCGAAGCCCTAGAAACGCTAAGGAGCCAAGCTGCTGAAATGTGGTCACCCATCCAAGGACACTCCGCCACCGACGCTGCTGAACTTCATCTGATTTGTGCACAGGACCATATTTTGATTTCATGTCATAATTCGTACATACCAGCGGTAGATACTCATTGAATTCAACGCATCCAAGTTGTCTAGTTTTAATAGTCCCAGGGAGTGAATGGTGTTTAATGCGTCAGTCAGCAATATTCCAGCTACATGTTGGCAAACATTGAGTAACTCTTGACCAGGGTACAGTTGTTAATGACCCAGCCCGTGGGTACAATGCCACACAATCAGCAAGGACATTGATTTGTATCCATCCAAACCGTCGCCTCTAACCACAAGCATTCAGTACTTTGGGGATCATTTGGGTAAGGTGAAATGGGGTTTAACGTCGCGAGGCAGTCAGGAATACATTGTGACTGATGTTTCAGTTTGTAAGCGTGGACAACCGTCCCGGCTGCACCTACCACTGTCAGGGTAGTTCTCCTTCTTCCTCACAGGTCTCCTCCGCCCTGACTCCGAATCAGGGGTACTGGCCAATGTAAACAAGTCAAGGAACGTTACCAAATTCCATGATGTTCTGATTGTATTATTAGAAAGTTGTATTGGCAGGCCATCAATGGCTAGGAGTGAGCTGCCAAGTGATCCAATTAACCAACTATCGTGTTTTCTGCACAAAATGTATTGCCACAGATACTTTGAATACTGTATTCGACGTAATTAGCGCCCCGCTCTAATAAGCGCTCAATCATAATTTACTAATATATTGGCTAGTGAACAATCCTAATTAGCCCCCCTTCCGAATGTACACAAGACTTATCTATTCACATATAATACGCACTTGTGTGTTACGCACCCTTAGTTATGGGCAATTAAATTCGGGAAAAACATATCTGTCGTATATATCTGTCGTATATATAAACATTTCAGGCTGTCAGCATAAACCACAAAATTTACAATCTTTCAACTCTGTTTTTTTCACCAAAATAATATTCCAATAAGAGCCCCCTATTTGTAATTTTGAGAGCGCCCTGGGCGCTTATTACGTTGAATACGGCACTGTAGTAACAGCAACCACTGTGGTGATGTGGATGTGAAATTTGTCAGTTTCAATCAGGAGTGGTTATTGTTATTTGATATCAGAATTAAGTAATTTCCAAATACATGGTATAACAAGCACGAATTACTAATATCCCCCGACATGTCCGGTTGTGTGCAAGGCAAGAAATATTGTACTGTTGTCAAGATCTGCTCCGGAAACGAGCACTACCTCCATTTTCAAGTCAAAGTCCTTGCTATGGAAACTCGAAAGTACATTTTTCAAAAATTCCAAACTATCAAAAGGCACCTTTCATCACTAGACCTATCTATATGCCAAGTTTGGTTAAGATATCTCTCATGGTTTTTGAGTTCTGCTCTGGAAACAAAACGTGACGGACAGCACTCATTGTTTTGTTTGTTGTTTAACACATTAAGCCAGTGATTGACATCATGAGCATCGATCCACATAATTGGGATACAACAAGTATTTGTCACAGAGTGACGAAATATCCCCCGCCTGTACACCATACTACCAAATATGAAGACAATCCAGCGATTAGTTCTTGAGATATTGTGGCAACACCGTTTTCCAACTCCAAAAACAGATTTGCCTGCTGTGACCTTGAAAATGGGGTCAAGGTCACCAAATCTGACAGGTGTATGCGGTGTCTGTATATACACTATAGTTCCAAATATGAAGACAATCCAGCGATTAGTTCTTGAGATATCGCGGCAACACCGTTTTCTAACTCCAAAAGCAGATTTGCCTGCTGTGACCTTGACAATGGGGTCAAGGTCACCAAAACCGACTGGTGTCTGCGGTGTCTGTATATACACCATAGTTCCAAATATGAAGACAATCCAGTGTTTACTTCTTGAGATATCGCGGCAACACCGTTTTCCAACTCCAAAAGCAGATTTGCCTGCTGTGACCTTTAAAATGGGATCAAGGTCACCAAAACCGACTGGTGTCTGCGGAGTCTGTATATACACCATAGTTCCAAATATGAAGACAATCCAGTGTTTAGTTCTTGAGATATCGCGGCAACACCGTTTTCCAACTCTAAAAGCAGATTTGTCTGCTGTGACCTTGAAAATGGGATCAAGGTCACCAAAACCGACTGGTGTCTGCGGAGTCTGTATATACACCATAGTTCCAAATATGAAGACAATCCAGTGTTTAGTTCTTGAGATATCGCGGCAACACCGTTTTCCAACTCCAAAAGCAGATTTGTCTGCTGTGACCTTGAAAATGGGATCAAGGTCACCAAATCTGACAGGTGTATGCGGTGTCTGTATATACACTATAGTTCCAAATATGAAGACAATCCAGCGATTAGTTCTTGAGATATCGCGGCAACACCGTTTTCTAACTCCAAAAGCAGATTTGCCTGCTGTGACCTTGACAATGGGGTCAAGGTCACCAAAACCGACTGGTGTCTGCGGTGTCTGTATATACACCATAGTTCCAAATATGAAGACAATCCAGCGATTAGTTCTTGAGATATTGTGGCAACACCGTTTTCCAACTCCAAAAACAGATTTGCCTGCTGTGACCTTGAAAATGGGGTCAAGGTCACCAAATCTGACAGGTGTATGCGGTGTCTGTATATACACTATAGTTCCAAATATGAAGACAATCCAGCGATTAGTTCTTGAGATATCGCGGCAACACCGTTTTCTAACTCCAAAAGCAGATTTGCCTGCTGTGACCTTGACAATGGGGTCAAGGTCACCAAAACCGACTGGTGTCTGCGGTGTCTGTATATACACCATAGTTCCAAATATGAAGACAATCCAGTGTTTACTTCTTGAGATATCGCGGCAACACCGTTTTCCAACTCCAAAAGCAGATTTGCCTGCTGTGACCTTTAAAATGGGATCAAGGTCACCAAAACCGACTGGTGTCAGCGGAGTCTGTATATACACCATAGTTCCAAATATGAAGACAATCCAGTGTTTAGTTCTTGAGATATCGCGGCAACACCGTTTTCCAACTCTAAAAGCAGATTTGTCTGCTGTGACCTTGAAAATGGGATCAAGGTCACCAAAACCGACTGGTGTCTGCGGAGTCTGTATATACACCATAGTTCCAAATATGAAGACAATCCAGTGTTTAGTTCTTGAGATATCGCGGCAACACCGTTTTCCAACTCTAAAAGCAGATTTGTCTGCTGTGACCTTGAAAATGGGATCAAGGTCACCCAAACCGACTGGTGTCTGCGGAGCCTGTATATACACCATAGTTCCAAATATGAAGACAATCCAGTGTTTAGTTCTTGAGATATCGCGGCAACACCGTTTTCCAACTCCAAAAGCAGATATGCCTGCTGTGACCTTGAAAATGGGGTCAAGGTCACCAAAACCGACTGGTGTCTGCGGAGTCTGTATATACACCATAGTTCCAAATATGAAGACAATCCAGTGTTTAGTTCTTGAGATATCGCGGCAACAAACAGGTGGGACGTACGGACGGACGTACGGACGGACGGACGGACGTACAGACGGTCGTGAATACTATATATATATATGATAATGACATGCATCAACCATGTCAGCGAGTCTGACCACCCGATCCCGTTAGTCGCCTCTTTCGTCAAGCATAGTCGCCTTTTACGGCAAGCATGGAGACCTATTCTACCCGGGATCTTCACGGGTCTCTAAAGCACAAGTGCACCACTTCTCCCTTGACTAATGATATCACAACGGTCTGCAAAGCATTGTGACTCAATTTCTTTGCAGGGATATTTCCTACAAGAGATCACTTGATTGCAAACGTCAATTTGGATAAAAGTTACCTAGGTGACAAACATATCGTGTTTTAAATGTAGAGCTAGATCAGCTGTAGATTTAACCAGGCTAAAGTGGACATGAATTTCAGATACTGATCGCATCGCATGACAGTGATTGAGAAAGAAGTACTTTGCTATGTATATTAGCTTGTGTGGTTATCAGAGGTGGTTACTTTTATTTGAAACCTCTGATTGACCAGTCCGAATGAGGTATTTTCTAACTTCGGGGTAGAGTTAGCTAAATACCCCTTCCTCTTAAGATGAGGATGATAGCAATATCCAGATGAAACAAGGATATATTTTCTTCTTTGAGTTCACTGGTGCTCTCCTTGTATCCTTTCTTGGCTGAAACAGAAAATCAACTTATCAGAAAATATTTCACTCTTCAAAAAGAGAACCAAAAAGTCTAAAAAATCCAAATTCTCCTTTAACCATATCCATAGGAAACATACAGTATCAAAATATATGTGAACAATATTATTATGGCAAAAAAATAAATACCAGATATAAGATATTCTTCAATGACACTGACACTGCTGATACTGCGATATATTGCTGAAACTATCCCCAGGAAATGTTGGACAGTCTTGTCATACTTACCACACCAGGACTTGTTTGGTAGGAAGTCCTCTTCTGTTTGCAATTATTATTGTAGTTCCTGAAATTCCAAGAACAGTGAGAGAGTGAGTTGGGTTTAACACCGCTTTTAACAGTATTTCAGTGACCGTATTCGACGTAATAAGTGCCCACGGCCATATTTGCTAATATATTGGCTCGTGGACAATCCCAATTAGCACCGCTTCTGACTGACCAATGTACACACTTATTTATTCGTGTATGATATGCACTCGTGTGTTACATGCACCCTTAATTATGGGCAATAAAATTCTGGAATATATATCTATCGTGTATGATACGCACATACTTTTCTTTTGTATCATTTCAGGCTGTCAGCATAAACAACGAAATTTACGATCTTTCAACTGTTTTTTTCTCACCAAAATTATATTCTAATAAAAGGCGCTCATTACGTCGAATACGGTATATCAGCTTAATGTGGGAGGAAAGCCCGAAGTGATGCAGGTCTCAGACGTTTACCACTTCGGTGAAAACCCACGAGCACGGGTATGGTGCTGACAAACCTAGAAACATAATCAGGATTCGAACCCACAATCATAGGTTTCTGGCGGGCCCAAGGGACTCAACTCTGCAAAGTGAAATGCGGCGCCTTAGACGACTGGGCCACCCTGTCATCGGCATTATTGTAAGGAATGACTCTACGATGACAAACACAGCAACTAGTTGTACAATTTCCATCCACCTCATTTTTTTTTATCAGGACTCACTCCTCATACACACGATCCTCCAGTCACGACTTGCACTGTAATGAGGCTAGGCAGGTTTTAAAGGATCCTGCAGTTAAGGAAAGACCTGGGTCACCCCACTTCAGCAATTGCTGGGGAGGATCATAAATAGCACATAATAACTTTCACAGAGGTCACGGATGAACAGCTCCTATGTGATTGAATTTATTAGCGTACAGGTTCTACTACACCAAATCAGAACCAGTTGGGATAGTGCGGTTTTTGTAGGGAGCCTTCAGTGCAGATCGAAAGATATCTGCAGGCTGTGATTGGAGGATATTGTGTAAGATTTTTATGTCTTTTAAATGTACAGTTATTAAAACTGACCATGGTTTTCTATATTTAGTACTGTCTTTTTCAACATGATGACTTATGCTGAATGTGACATGTGGTGCGAAACTGGGGGTGGTGTGTTTAGCTTCCTGTACTCGGAAAAGGAGCTGGCTAAGCTAGTAATTTTTTTTTTTTATTGCTGCTCTTAGGCCAAACTGTGCACACACGTACAGGTAACAGCTGTTGAATGCTTAGTTATTTAAAAAAAAAATATAACGTTACTATAGTCTATGGGAAAACATTTGGTTGTGTGTAACCTCAAATGCTTAACTAAGGACCGTGGATTTCACCAGCCTGCATACAAAAGACGGTGGGGTCAGCTGCATACAAGAATGTCTGTGACAGATAACTTTATAGTCCTTAGTTATAGTTCTTATCAATAGTATGGTCTAATATCAGCATTCTACTTGTCTCGAAACAAGGATGAACTCAATATATTTTTTTACAATCAAAAGGTTTCACTGTACAAATAAAACCATCTTCCCAAGGCAAGGGAGTTAACAGACTATTAAAGTCCAGTTTCCACCCTTGCTGAACTAGGCTGGAATTTGGGGGGGGGGGCGATCGTAGTGCCACCAGTGGGTGGCCGTTACGAGCTATGACCTTCTATGCCCTCCTATTGACCAATCAGATTCCACCTCTCCTTTCACTTGCATTTGCTTCAAACAAAATGGCGCCGTCCAGTCCAGATGATCTGATCAATAATCAAGATCTTTATTGCAATAAAATGGGTCTCACCTGACATCAAATCATTCGATGACCTTGATTACAAATATAAAATCATTTAAAAAACATCTGTCAGTACACATGCTCTGCAAATCCGATCGATCGATCAATCAAAATCTGCAAGGCAGTCGCCATGTTGCATATGAACCCAATGTCGATTTCATTACGTGATTTTGATTGGACAATACTAGACTTGTTAATATATTACTCCATAATTGCCGCCTAGTCCAGCAAGGGTGGAAACAGGACTTGTAAAGTCAGGTAACTCCCTTGCCTCGGGAAGATGAGTTAAAACAGACACACTGTGTACTTTGTACTACCTACCTGAGGCCTCTATAGGAGGAATCCGACATCCCACCATCACTCAGGTCTCCTTGACTGCCCACTGGTAGAAGAGAAACATAATATTTTTTTCTGGATATTTTAACTCTCTTACATTTATCAATGTATTAGTGTGTTTCTTGCGTTTCTGAGGTGAAAGGCCTTTAATGGTGCACTCAAGATTATTGCACTTCTGTAGCGATGTTCATATATGTGTGTGTGGATGCGTGTGTTCTAGTCTGGACTAATGCCGGTTTAAAAGTGGATAGATACCCCACTGAGACAGTCTTTAAGTCCAAAGAAACCCAGCCCTGGTTACACGAAGTGAAACCTTTTAATGTCTTATTGTATGAAGCAGCGAGGGATCGAACCACCAACCTTCCGCTCTCTGGTGCCGACGCTCTATGCTCTACACCACAGAGGTGGTCATTGTGCAAATAGAGTCTGTTCAGCTCCAAATGACAACAATGAATTTCAAAATAACTCAAAGTCGGAAATAGTCTATTCAATGTCAAGATTGCGAATAAAAATTATGAGACGACCCTGTACTGTTGTGTAACATGTTCAGTGTGTGTTTGCGCTGTTCCTCCTACTGCTGTTCCTCCTACTGCTGTTCCTCCTACCGCTGTGCCCCTACCTCAACTTGTACACATAACGACATGACAGTTTCTTTAACAATTTTTTCCAGTGATGGGAAAAAATAACAAACAGCCGATATTGTTGGGTACAGGGTATTTATTGCCGTATACCATACTGACATTTAATAGACTATTCCCGATTTTGAGTTATTTTGCAATTCACATTTTCTTTTGGAGCCAAACAGACTGTAGTGACCATGTAATAAGGAGAAATGCAACATGTGAGTCAAAAGTAGTGAGAATTGAAAGATAATTGAAAGAACGACAGAATGATAATTGTACTCACAGGATGAATTCCTTGATCTGTTGCGACTCTGAGCTGAAATAAATAGGACATTAAATCTCTTACATAACAAAATGGTTTGTGAAATTACAGAATACTAATTATTTCCATCTGGATTAAGAAATGGAGAGTGTGCGACTTCATTTTAGAAAATCTTGGTGGTGTATTGAACAATTCAAGTTGAATCAAGACTGGACTAGTATAACATGGTATAAGGAGGAATGAATTGGTGAGACCATACAAAGCTCATTTCTTCTATAAAATCAGCAATATTGTAGATGCTTCAGTAAGCAACTCAGGCTGCCTGGTTGACTGTAATATCATAGGAATGCAGCTGACAAAGAGTCGCCAACCCTTGGGCAGGCAAACCTATAGTGTTTAGGGTGAGTGAGTGAGTGAGTGGATTTGGGTGAGTGAGTGAGTGATGTTAAACGCTGCTTTTAACTGTATTCCAGTTATATCAGCGTGTCAGCTTAATGTTGGAGGAATGCCCGAAGTTTACGACTTCGGTGAAACCCACGAGCACGGGTATGGTACTGAAAAACCTAGAAACATAATCGGGGCGAACCGAGATTTGAACCAACAATCCTAGATTTCTGGCATGCCAAGGGACACAACACTGCACAGCAAATTGCGGCGCCTTAGACGACTGGGCTACCCGTGCCCCCAGCAAACCTACGAAGGATTGCATGGACCTGTGCTCATGCTTTTGGCCACTGGTTCGTCCCGTCCAGACTGAATTATTTCCAGGCAACTTAGAAAGCTTGTATATCCCTGATAATGGCATTAACAATACTGAGGCATCACACAATCCTGACAAACCATCTACTGGCTATCATCAGGTTAAACAAGTTATCTGATAAAATGTTGGCCTCAACCACTGTAAATATCACCTGGAACAGTACTTCAGTCATACCACAGCTTAATGTGGGAGAAGAGCCCAAAATGACCTAGGTAGTAGATTGGTATCACTTTGGTGAAACAGACTAGCATGAATACGGTGATGACAAACAAATCATCAATAATGGTTGAATCTAGGACTTGAACCCACAGCAAGCACATCCTGACACTAACAAGGGACACAACTCTGCATAGCGAGCAGCAGCCCAACGGACCATCTGTACCTTAAGCTGCATCTGATGGAGAAATCTCTACATGCATAACAAGAAAACCAGAAGTAATGATGTATTGGAAACTAACCTGAAAGTCTGCTTGTGTTGGTGCGGCCAGGTGAAGGCCCGGTCGATCGGTTGGATGTCCGAGAAATGTTGGCACTTGTTACCCTCTTCCTGCAGAGGAAATAGATAATAATAACCATGTGCTTGTCTTCCTTACATGCTTGTCTTCCACACAGATGTATTTGAAAACTTTAAGAAGGATGCTAGAGTAGAATTTAGAGACATAGAAAACTCTTGTTGACAGGAACCATTCAAGACTACATACTTTTTTAAGTGAGATTCCCTTTTCACTCGCTCTTTTTCCTTGATGTAAGCTGTGGGATCAAAGCGTGGGTTGCGGGCCCCTGAAGGAATAAAGTTTTTCCATTTGTTAAAATAATAACTGCACTTGACATGCTGGAGTTCTGTTCATAGAAACCAAAGCTAGTTGAAAAAAAGACGAAGAAATTGCCTGTAGTTATTCAAGACCAATTACTGGCAATTTGGTATTTACATCAGCATACAAGCAGGGCAAGGCACACTGTCAACACACTGATAGCAGGTGGTTACATTAATAAGTATGAATCGGGTGTATATAATTGTTGTTATATGGCAGTGTATTTTATTGTTGAACAATAATTGTAACTTTGTTACATTGTTTTTGGTTGAGATTCAGTAGACGCTCATTGCATTGTCTTTGAACAGTGATCAGTCATCAGCAAGTTACTATATTTACATGCTAGTGTGGTATGTAAACTTCTGGTTTGGTATACCGCAGATGGTGATAGTATGTTATAGAAACATATGGAAAGTTCTGTAATGTTCTAGTGCTGCTAGACTGGTGAGGGCACGGTATAGAATTTTCCAGTAGCTTGTTAGGCTGCTATGGAGTCGGACAAGAGCGTATTTATGTATCTCTCACATATTTCATCACATTAAGACCAGCTTTTGTTAATGGATCACTCATCGCCCCTGATTCCCTGCCTGTGCCCATCTCGGAAGCCTGACCGCTGTCACCGCTGGGTGAATATATATTATTATCACAGACACTTGCTATCACCACTGTTTTTTAGTTTTTGATACTGACTACTGCCATCATATAAAGTATTGCCATTGAATATTGTACTACCACACTATTGTGTACTGCCATGGTAATCGCAGTGTGGTTATTTGTGTTGATTGGTTTAATTTTGTAATACATTTGTTGATTGTATACCATTTGTTGGTTTCACACTAAGCTCTTATATGTACAGACTTCTGGATTAACATATTATTTCAATTTGGGAATCGACACGTAACATCGCTGAACCGGCAACGATATGGCAGATAAATGGAATTATACCCATGACATCGGCAATAGGCGAATAGCCTTACTATTGTTATTATTATTATTGAATAGCATTCATTCAATTACTTCTGACACTAGTAATATATGAGAAAGAGAAAATAAAGTTGATAGTACAGCAAGCAAGTGTTAAGACCATATACAAATGCATATTCTCCAGAATCCAGAAGCCCCCAGAAATCATTACACACCAACATTCATTTCCAGTTCGGTAGGACCCATGAAGATCAATCCCAATTGCATGGATCGATGCTCATGATATTAATCACTGTATTGTCTGGTCCAGTCTCGTTTATTTACAGACCGCCGTCATATCGCTGGAATATATTGCTGAGGTTGGAGTTAAACAACAAACCAACCAACCAATCCAGTTAGGTAGTGTTACCTCAGTCTGGGGAAACACACACAACCTCAAACAGATTAGAGTGCCTTGCCTCTAGCTAACATAGAGACAAACCTGCTGGTGAAGGTGTTCGGCTCCTGGTGTGGAGATAAATGTTTCTAGTTGAGGGAGATCTGTCGCTGAGGCTGCTTCTGTTTGGAGCAGTGGATGGCCTCTCCCTGGATGAAGATCGAGGCCGGCCATACAGTCTGTCCTGTGAATGTGTTCTGTCTCTGTTGTAGGACCTGTCATTGGACAGCGACCGTTCTCGCGTGTACCGATCGTAGGAAGATGACCGTTCTCGCGTGGAGTTGCGGGACGTTCTCTGGGTTCCTCTTGCACGATCCCGCTTGTAAAGAGCTAACTCATTTGTTAAACTTTTAACTCTGACTCGTAGGTTTCTCTCAGAGGCTCTTAGTTCCTCAACCTGTAAGAATATTGGGTACAACATTATATCTCAACCGGTCTACAGTTTGACATAACTTGGATATGAAGATTATTCATTGAATGAGGGAATCGACACAAAAGTCTTGGGAACAAGAGAACAAAAGCTAGATGGTTTAGTTCAATGCATGATGCAGTATTTCAAATACAGATTTTAATATCATTTGAAACCTTTCATCATTGACATTTTTAGAGAAGGGGATTTGTGTGTGAGTGTGACATTTGTGTGAGTGTGACATTTGTGGGTGGGTGTGGGATTTGTGTGTGAGTGTGACATTTTGGTGTGAGTGTGACATTTGTGGGCGAGTGTGGGATTTGTGTGTGAGTGTGACATTTGGGTGTGAGTGTGACATTTGGGTGTGAGTGACATTTGGGTGTGAGTGTGACATTTGTGGGTGAGTGTGGGATTTGTGTGTGAGTGTGACATTTGGGTGTGAGTGTGACATTTGTGGGTGAGTGTGGGATTTGTGTGTGAGTGTGACATTTGGGTGTGAGTGTGACATTTGGGTGTGAGTGTGACATTTTGGTGTGAGTGACATTTGGGTGTGAGTGTGACATTTGTGGGTGAGTGTGGGATTTGTGTGTGAGTGTGACATTTTGGTGTGAGTGTGACATTTGTGGGCGAGTGTGGGATTTGTGTGTGAGTGTGACATTTGGGTGTGAGTGTGACATTTGGGTGTGAGTGACATTTGGGTGTGAGTGTGACATTTGTGGGTGAGTGTGGGATTTGTGTGTGAGTGTGACATTTGGGTGTGAGTGTGACATTTGGGTGTGAGTGTGACATTTTGGTGTGAGTGACATTTGGGTGTGAGTGTGACATTTGTGGGTGAGTGTGGGATTTGTGTGTGAGTGTGACATTTGGGTGTGAGTGTGACATTTGTGGGTGAGTGTGGGATTTGTGTGTGAGTGTGACATTTGGGTGTGAGTGTGACATTTGGGTGTGAGTGTGACATTTATGGGCGAGTGTGGGATTTGTGGGTGAGTGTGACATTTGGGTGTGAGTGTGACATTTGGGTGTGAGTGACATTTGGGTGTAAGTGTGACATTTGTGGGTGGGTGTAGGGTTTGTGGATGAGTGTGGGGTTTGTGGGCGAGTGTGGGATTTTTGGGCGAGTGTGACATTTGTAGGTGAGTGTGACATTTGTGGGTGAGTGTGGGGTTTGTAGGTGAGTGTGACATTTGTGGGCGAGTGTAGGGTTTGTAGGTGAGTGTGACATTTGTGGGCCAGTGTGACATTTGAGGGCCAGTATGGGATTTGTGGGTGAGTATGAGATTTGTGGGTGAGTGTGGGATTTGTGGGTGAGTGTGGGGTTTGTGGGTGGGTGGGTGTGGGGTTTGTGGGTGAGTGTGGTATTTGTGGGTGAGTGTGGGATTTGTGGGTGAGTGTGGGGTTTGTGGGTGAGTGTGGTATTTGTGGGTGAGTGTGACATTTGTGGGTGAGTGTGACATTTGTGGGCCAGTGTGACATTTGTGGGTGGGTGTAGGGTTTGTGGATGAGTGTGGGGTTTGTGGGTGAGTGTGGGATTTGTGGGTGAGTATGAGATTTGTGGGTGAGTGTGGGATTTGTGGGTGAGTGTGGGGTTTGTGGGTGGGTGGGTGTGGGGTTTGTGGGTGAGTGTGGTATTTGTTGGTGAGTGTGGGATTTGTGGGTGAGTGTGGGGTTTGTGGGTGAGTGTGGTATTTGTGGGTGAGTGTGACATTTGTGGGCCAGTGTGGGGTTTGTGAGTGAGTATGAGATTTGTGGGTGAGTGTGGGATTTGTGGGTGAGTGTGGGATTTGTGGGTGAGTGTGGCATTTGTGGGTGAGTTTGGGATTTGTGGGTGAGTGAGGGATTTGTGGGTGGGTGTGGGGTTTGTCGGTGAGTGTGGGATTTGTGGGTGAGTGTGGGGTTTGTGGGTGAGTGTGGTATTTGTGGGTGACTGTGGGATTTGTGGGTGAGTGTGGGGTTTGTGGGTGTGTGTGGGAGTTGTGGGTGGGTGTGGGGTATGTATGGATTTGGGGATGAGTGTAGGAATTGTCGTTTAGGCATGAAAACATGACTTCTGAAAATGGATGATTCACTCTCCCTGCTAATCACACTTACTAGATGTGCTACCTACCCCTCCCCTTGCCTCCCTCTCACATGTACCTCCTCTAGAAGCTCCCTGTACTCCTACTACAGACCCCTCCCTCTCACACGTACCTCCTCTAGCAGCTCCCTGTACTCCTCCCCTCCCTCTCACACGCACCTCCTCTTGAAGCTCCCTGTACTCCTCCCCTCCCTCTCACACGTACCTCCTCTAGCAGCTCCCTGTACTCCTCCCCTCCCTCTCACACGCACCTCCTCTAGAAGCTCCCTGTACTCCTCCCTTCCCTCTCACACGTACCTCCTCTAGCAGCTCCCTGTATTCCTCCCCTCCCTCTCACACGTACCTCCTCTAGCAGCTCCCTGTACTCCTACTACAGACCCCTCCCTCTCACACGTACCTCCTCTAGAAGCTCCCTGTACTCCTGTCCCCGCTTGCTGGCCAGTCTCTGATGCTTGGACTTCTCCTTCATCAGATCTTCTTCCAGATTCTTCACCAGTGTCTTCAGCATCCGCACATCGTTGACAGCACTCCCTGTGGAAGTGCTCTTCAGCTCACGGCGGTACTGGAGGAAGTCAGCTTCTAGCGCTTCTTTGTCTTTCTGCAGACGGCAGTTCCTTTGTAGAACAGTAATGATATTTCAGATGCATTGAAACAACAAGCATGAAATACTCAAATCCCCTGCCAATATGACATGTCCAGTTGTGTGCAATGCAGTAGCCCCTGTGACCCTGTTCACTGGACCCACTGCAAGGAAGAAGGCTGGTTCAGGTGCCACTTGCAAAATGTATTTTCACAATAATCCACCATATACCTTGTCCAAGTTCCTTTGTCAAGTGGTATACATCTCAAGTAGGTAATCTTCAGAGTTAACAATTATTAACTCATGGTGATATATTATATATCTTAAAGACACAGTTGTGAGATTCTCTATGTATGCAACAGTCATATCTTGCCCTAGACCATCCTACATGTCCAGTGATGAATGTAATAATAATAATAATAAGTGCATTTATAATGTGCCAGATTCCATTCACCAAGTGGATGCTGATAGTGCTACACTATTATTACCCTGGTCAATGGATCAGTGAGCACTCGAGTTTCATTCTCAGCTCCCTGGGGAGTATACAACCCAGGCTGCCTGTGAGGCGCTACAAGGTTAACAGCCACATTACCATCTCATCCTACCGGGTACCCACTCACTGCTGGGTGAACAGAGGCACATAACCATAATGAATGTCTATTGGCTGTGATCTCTAGAACTGTTTCTAAATATTAATAATTAAACATGTTCAAGCAGTTTCAGTGAGAAAAATACTCGTCGTGTCTGAGATTATTCTGAAGTATCACGAGTATAGAGGGGAAAGAGGGTCCGGCCTCAGAGACTGTATCAACATTACGAAGGATGACTGTTTGAGTTTACATCCCCAAGTAAACGGAGTTACCTTCCTGACCTACAGTTAATGAGTGAGTGAGTTTGGTTTTACGCCGCTTTTAGCAATATTCCAGCAATATCACGGCAGGGGACACCAGAAATGGGCTTCACACATTGTACCCATGTCGGGATTTGAACCCAGGTCTTCGGCGTGACGAGCGAACGCTTTAACCACTAGGCTACCCGACCGCCCCTGACCTACAGTCAGTTCAGGTAAGTATTTAAACACCTACATGAAGATACTTACTCTTTATGAAGTCTTTCATTCTCTCTCATTTTGGTTTCTGAGATTCCCTGCAATGATAACAAGAGTCATCAGTCATGACAAATCCCCAGCCCCCAATAAATTCGAAAGAACAAATCATTTGACTGTTACTTTAAGTCCAACTTGATGTGAGAATTTCTATCTAATCTGTGTGTCCGTATACAAGAGGAGTTATTGAGTTATCAAGAGTTATAGAGAATACCATGAAATTGGGATTCGGAACTTTGTATTTCTATGTCAGGTGCACACAACTATGAACAGAGTCAAAATCAAACTTGTTGCCATGGACACAGAAAAATTCTAAATTCTAAAAAGCCCTAAATAGCAAAAGGTACCAGTTGACAACTTCAACAATTTCAAGTAAGAGTATGCATTAGTTTTAGAGATATGGTCCGCACAAACACACCACTATGAACAGATTCAAAGTCAAGCTTGTTGCCTTGGAAACAGGAAAACTTCTGATTTTTTTTTCAAATTCCTAAACAGCAAAGGCACTACTGTGGCCTCCCTTTCAGCTAAGTCTAACATGTTACCATAGAAACAGGGAAAAATCAAATTTTGAAAACTTCCCAAATAGCAAAAGTTTTTCACAGTTTTCATGCTGTGTTCTGGAAACGGCACATACACCCACCTTTTGAGACTAAGTCCAAATTGTTTCCATGGAAATCGAGAAAAATAAAAAAGCCCAAAATCCGCATATAGCAAAAGGCACCACCTCATGATCTGTTTCATATATATATATCTGCCTATTTTAGTTGAAAGATAATGAACGGTTATGGAGTTGTGCTCCAGAAACGAAATCCGTCCCCTTTTGAGACCAAGGCCAAATTGTTTCAATGGAAATCAAGAAAAATAAAATGCCAAAGTCCATAAACAGTGAAAAGCACCACTTCAGGATGTTTGATGTATCTGTGAATTCTTGTTGAAAAATTTTGAACAGGTTTTTTGAGTTACGCTCCAGAAACGAAATGGTTACGGACGGATTGATGGACATCGTACATGTACTACATTCAAGGAAACACAGGGTACTGACGACCACCACCAGCAATCTCTGTTTTGGGCAACGCCGATCACCTATATGAACTTGAGATGGTGGCTAGGGTAGGTTGGGTAGACCTTTGCTGGTATATTTTTCACCCAGATCATTAAAAAATGGTCAACGAAATGACTACAAACGGATAAGCAGACATGCTGAATATTTTCTACATAAAACAAATATAAAAAAATAATAATAAAAGTAAAATAAAATATCTTTTTTTCAGTATGATCTATTTTGTAGGGTTGAGCAGGTTCGCAACAAAGGAATATTTAGTTGAGGTCAAATTCTGCCCTTGAATCCTTGATGCAAGCATTCTCTCCAGCAACATTACCTGATGTCGCATGACCTTGATCTCCCCCTTGAGCTTCCTGATGGTCTCCTGCAGGTGGCGCGGGTCTGGCTTCCCCACATAGGGCAGTGGCAGCGGGTAGTGGATCCTGCAACATCCATCAGCAGTGAGTGACCATAAGTCCAGCACGGTCAGCAGGGATTATCGAGCATTTTATACTAAGTGCCTTTGGCCGGCAAATTGGAAAAAATGGCATTGTGTTCCAAGCAGTTATCTTTAAAAAGGACCCGTGAAGATTCGGGTAGAGAATAGGTCTTCAACAACCCATGTTTGCCATAAAAGGCGACTAGACTTGTCATAAGAGGCGACTAACGGGATCGGATAGTCAGGCTCGCTGACTTGGTTGATGCATCTCATCGTATCCCAATTGCGTGGATCGATGCTCATGATGTCAATCACTGGATTGCCTGGTCCAGACTTGATTATTTACAAACCGCCATCATATAGCTGGAATATTACTGAGTGTGGCGTTAAACAACAAACAAACAAACAAACAATTCTTTATAAAGTTCTTATTTTCTTAAATTTAGATGTATTCTAAAATAAAATTGCATTCAAAATTGAAGCCTCTTCCTCATTGATGTCTATTGGTCCTGTTGTCAGTGAAATACAAGTCCCCGCAACCAAGCTGTCACATCAGCATAGGCTTCTGAGTAGGTCACTGTAGAGAACACTAAAAATGGCCTTACATTCCACCAACGTGAGGAATCAACTCTGGTTCCATGACTGACATAAAGCCAATGCTGTGTCTACTAGACTATCACACAGCCCTCAAAAACTGGAGCTACACAACTGTATCTTCAGACATACAATTCAAACAGCCCACAAAAATATGGAACATTACTTCCTTTGGGAGAGTCAGTTAATGTTGACTTTATGATGCAGTATATCAGATATTGTATGGCTGCCTGTAAGTATGTCTTATCCAGACTGACCCTGGTAAATCAGAGCCAAGTCACATGATCTAGTTACTTCTTGCAAGTGAACATTTCCCTGTGTCCTTAGCATGCTTAGAGTAATTCCATCTTCCCGAGGCAAGGGAATTAACACTATAAAAGTCCAGTTTCCACCCTTGCCGAACTAGACGTCAATTATGGAGTTATATTTTGGCTGGACTTATGAGTCTACGCATAGTCCAATCAAAATCGTAAAATGAAATTGACATTTGGTTCATAAACAACATAGAAACTGCTGTGCAGAATTTGATTGGTGCAGGCTTTGTAGAGCATGTGTGCCATCAACTGGGCGTTAACAGATATTTTCCACATCTTTTCATGTATTTAAGGTGCTCTCAAGTGATCTGATGCACTTCGCGAGGTAAGACCCATTTTATTACAATAAAGGACTTGATTATCGACAGGGACATAGAAGGGACATAACTCGTAATAGCCACCAGTGGCGCTACGATCGAGCCCAGGAATTCCAGCCTAGCTCAGCAAGGGTTGAAACTGGACTTGTAATGTCAGTTAATGCCCTTGCCTCAGGAGGATGGAGTGACTCCAGCAAAATAGCACCTCTGATGGAACTTTCTGTGTAAGTTTCGACAGGTTGAATGTATGTAAATGTTCGAATATTAGAAACACAATACATAAAAACATCGAAAATCATTATTTTTGACATTTTAGACTTAATTCTAACCTTATTCTATTATAATTTCAATCATGTACGATTGGATGTGATAAATATACATCTCCTTTGTATGAAAGTATCTGATAACTTTCTAAAAGTATTCCTCATTTCCAATGGATACCTGTCAAATTCTACAGTATACGTGAGGATGAGGTAGCGTTTTGAGTTGAGGAGAGTGGCCCTCGGTGCAGGTATGGAGGACTTGACAGTGCTGCCTGACTTCCTCTGTCGGAGAGACTCCAGGTCGGCATAGGTCAACAGGTCCAAGGCTACACTGTCACTGCTCTGTGAACAAACGAATAATGCATTAGAATTCTGAAGGCCATGTCTGTCAAATACAAAAATACTGAATGTCTGATTTGGTTGGTTGGTTGGTTTGTTGCTTAACGCCGCACTAAGCAATATTCCAGCTATATGACGGCGGTCTGTAAATAATCGAGTCTGGACCAGACAATCCAGTGATTGATATCATGAGCATCGATACATGCAATTGGGATCAATGACCGTGCATCAACCAAGTCAGCGAGCCTGACCACCCGATCCCATTAGTTGCCTTTTACGACAAGCATAGTCACCTTTTACGGCAAGCATGGGTTGCTGAAGACCTATTCTACTCCGGATCTTCACGGGTCCTGAATGTCTGAAGTAGGAGTGTCAAAGATCGTATCTCTTGAGATATGGTGGAGCATTGAGGTGACATGGGGTTTAAAAGTTGCATTCAAGATTACTGCACTTACATAGCGACGGGCATGTGCATGCTTGCGTGCACGCCATTGGGGATGGTGGGGTTAACGACAAAAAACAAGATTTAATTAACAAACTGGCCGAAAAGAAAATTTCTCAAAAACGGTATGACAAACAAAACAGGAGCTGTGATAAGGGGAGGGTCAAGAGGGCATATAGCGTGTGAGATCGGATAAGTATATAAATATACAATTAAAATTAAATTAATTTTTTTTAAACTTCTCCTATCTCACATTATGCATTTATCCCACCATTGGACAGTGGGGCGCAGATACCCTAGGCTGTATAGACTATTACCGTGAGACGTACATGATGAAGCTGGTGCTAAACAGCGACACAAATGAAATAATCTACAGTCAAGTCTCGTTTATCCGACACTCGTTAATCCGACAATCGGCTTTATCCGACACAAATGACGGGAACCGATTAAATCAGTGCTGTTTAGACCCGTTAATCCGACAGTCTCGCACTCCGACTCCGACACACCTAAATTGCAATGATTTGCTGAAATCACTCATTAATCAGTCTCGTTAATCCGACACGGTGATCAGCGTACTCCATGGTCATCTGCCCGCGAGTACATAGTCCTGTGTTTTGATGCGAGACGAGTCGGCGAGTAGCTGCATATTTAAACGGCTGCAGAGATAAACTTTGTGTTTTGTGTTAAACTTTAGAGGTTGCATGATTAGAAAACATATTCCGCGAACAATGTAACACAACAATATGAATATTTCCTTTTTCCTTTTTTTATTACAACATGTTTGAATCGTTATCTATCGTGTAGTTGTCCAATTTTCGATCACGAACGTTGATAATACCTAATTTCGTTTATCCGACATACTCGTTAATCCGACATAATCATATGCAACCAACAGTGTCGGATTAACGGGACTTGACTGTATAACACTGCCCAGTAAAGACAAGTGAGTGTCAGGTGTAACAGCATAAAGTTGGTTATAACATGCGTAGATGTTTTCACGTATGACATCGTTTCATGAACGACTGTGACTAGAGATCTATTCAGTGTATGACTCATAATCGATCCAGTCAATCGTTGGTGCCAAAGTGAACCCTTTAAGCTTCATCCTGTCATCATGGAAGATGAGGGGACTTTCTTTCTGCGAGTTGCACCAGTGTTGTGAACCAACCTCAAGTTGGCCAATAGGGAGCGACCAAAAGCAGTTTAAGCTGATTGATGGATGCCGCCTTCTGATTGGCCCAAGCTAGAATGCTGGTTGGGTGAAAGGCGTAGGCGGCTAGAGATTGTGGTTTCAAGTTGGCAGATCCACACGTGTCTTGCTCGGACCTGAATGTTCAGGGAGTTGAAAAGCCAGCAGAAGTCGACAGCAACAGGAGCGGCATCAACATCTTGCCCTGATGTGGCAAGGGTAGTCAGGAGTTCATTTTGTGTAGGTCGCTATGCACAGGATTACGGTGTGTGACCAATTTGTTATGTGGTGACCATGGTGATGCTAGGATGTGTTCAGGTGAATTGTTTTTACAAGATGGAAACTTTGTTCAAACATGTTTCCACAGAAGGATCGAAAGAAGAAGGAAGAAATGCATTGTGTGAGATAGGATAAGATAAAAAAATTCTACATTACACTAGCCCCTTGAACTGACGTAAATTTCATTTGGCAGCCCCTAGTGAAAGCCATGTCTTGTTTAGAATCCCTATGTTCTGAGCTATTCTATTGTGAAGTCTGTCCAGTTACCTGTGATATAGCCGACTCAAGCATGCTGACAAAGACACTGAACTGTTTGAAATTCCCAGTCTTGTGTGTGAGATCCTCGATATCTGCAAGGAAGAAAGATTACAAATATAACTGCAAATAAAATTGAAAGCATAAATGATTGTTAAAACAGATACAAACATCGATTTCTTATTATGGGTCATGTGATGCAGCCAATTATTACATTTACAAATTATATCTGTTTTTCATTGGTTGAGAAAGGGTCACATGACATTCCTTAAAACACAGTATTGCCCGAGACCCACCCTTACCTGCAGTGTTCAAAGTGGTACTGCCCTGCGTAATTAAGACAATGGATGCAAAAGAGGGAAATATATTTTCCGCCAAGCAGCAAGAGCGTAATGCAAGGCTTGTTGTTATGCATCTCCTGTGACTTCTATTGACATCTGATTCAATGATTGTTAAATTTCAAATATTCTTGTATTTTATAAAAAGTAAAAAAAGACAATTATTGACCACAATTCAGTAAATATAATGTATTATGGACCCAACAAACTGATATTGACCCCGGTTCAGTTCCTTGGGTCCATAAAACATGACATTGCTCTCAAAAATTAATAAATATTGGTGACATAATAATATCTTCTGAATAATAGTTATGAACTTATGATTATCTACAATAAACAGGACAATGTGTGACACTGACAGAAAGGGAAAATCATGTACTAAGTGATATAATAATAATAAACAAAACAATATTGAAAGGAATAAAACTGATGAAAACAAACTGTTACCATGGATACCATATCAAATCATAGTTCAAAATTAACAGAATCGGTTATCATACGAAGGGGATGAGTTCACACACCCAAAAACCTAATTGGGAAAATGTCAACATTTTCAGACTGACTGACTGAGTATGGTTTTACGCCGCTTTTAGCAATATTCCAGCAATATCACAGCGGGGGACACCAGAAATGGGCTTCACACATTGTACCCATGTCGGGAATCGAACCCGGGTCTTCGGCGTGACGAGCGAACGCTTTAACCACTAGGCTACCCGAACCATTTTCAGAAGAAAAACACACAAAAAGTAGTACTGTTACATAAATATGATAAAGCTATCAATGTTACATATAGCACAATCCAGTAACAACACACACCAAGGAAGATTTTTTTAACTGACATTTTTTTGTTTTTAATAATAGTAATAGTACTTAAAAGTAATGTTATTCTGTGAGAACAATATGATGATAGATTTCTAATTGTTTACTGTAAATCCCCTGAAGAGTTGATTTTGTCAGTTGGTAAACTTCCAAAGTGTTCAGCCCTGCAAGTCATTAAAAAGTGCCATACCACTCAACCTTACCAATTAAATATAAGTTGAAATACACTCAGTTTCAAGATGTTTTGTACTGTGGACATGATCATTATTATGAATATATATACCGTATTCAACGTAATAAGCACCCAGGGTGCTCTCAAAATTAGAAATAGGGGGCTCTTATTATAATATAATTTTGGTGAAAAAATAAAAACAGAGTTGAAAGATTGTAAATTTCGTGGTTTATGATGACAGCCCGAAACGATACAAAAGAAAAGTCTGTGCGTATAATACACGACAGATATATTTTCCAGAATTTAATTGCCCACAATTAAGGGTGCATATAACACACAAGTGCGTATACTGTTGTTCACTAGCAAATATATTAGCAAATATTGCGGTGCTCGCTTATTAGAGAGGGGCGCTTATTACGTCGAATACGGTACTCCATATACATCTGTGCATAAAACTCTTGAGACTTCTAGTCTGAACTTGGCTCTTATCGTAGCATTACTTTCTGTAGAATTTAGTGTTTTTATACGTAATATCATTAGCTTTGCTTATAAGACAAAAAATAATTTTACTAGACTCAGGCTTTGAGTAGTGGCTAACATCACAAACTGCATTATTAATTTTACTGTGACTTATATTCAAGCTGGAAGTTTCATCATGTTCATGCAGTTTGCTGGTAGGAATCATGTGGTGATAGGGAGCTTTTAACGTTTGGTGTGTTGTTCTGGTAATGCAATTGAAGTGGTGAGAGAAATTTAACACCGCTTTAAATGCTATTCTGACTATTACAGTCAAATCGTGGTGCGACGGCCTGATGAAACCTAGGAGCAGAGGTATGTTGCTGACAAACCTAGAAACATAATGATGGCAAATCTGGTATTTGAACCCACAATCACAGGTTTCTGGCATGCCTTGGCGAATTGTGAGCCACAGTGAATTGTGAGCACCTCAGACTGGGTCATTCATGCCCTGGTGTATTATTATTATTATTTGATAATGTTTGAAAAACTACTATACCTATTATAACAACTATACCTTTTTTATTATCAAGTATGATACTTTGCATCATCTGTATGATTTGAATCATGCAGAAGTTGTATCATCTTGTAGTATCTATGTATTGAACATTTTGGTGCAACTTACACAATGACATCATTATTTAATAACAAGTGATCAGGTAGAATGTATCATGCCAGCCGTGTTACAAAACAAATATACATGATGATGTTCAAGGAAACCATACAAGTCTTTTGAAATTGATCAAATGTTGTTTTTTCACTAGGATGTCAAAAGCTGTTTTTGGGTCTATAGGTGTTTAGCTATTTCCTCATAATAATCTAAGATACAAAGAGACATTATCAACAATTATCAAGAGCATGGATTGGCAAGGTATATGCCGCACAGTCCTATCAAAATCCAAGAAAATTAATACCAAAGTATTAAATACATTGACATGACATCATAACATGCACTTGTAACATACATAAAAATAATAACTAAAAACGTTTTCGACAGAGGTGGGTTCAAAGTGTTTTAATATGAATACGACCATCTCAATTGTCAAAATACAGCTGGTATATTTCTGGGAAATCACATACAATGTATACATACAGGCTGAGTCAAATGTAGCTCTCCACTGATCGGCGGACAACCGGTCTTCAACTTCCACCAAAACAGCACCTGCTTGGCTTTCGAGTGTCACAATATACTCAGATCCACGGAACATATGGGCACTGCCAACACTAGCATCGCCGACGGACGCCATGATGACGTATATGGGAGAACTAAATTAAATCAACCTAAAACCTAAAATATTAGTAACGGCACACGTTTCAACACGACTTTCGGAGACAGTGACAGCCACCGCTTATCAACACCATACCATGAGTGTTTTTATCTTTACAAGACGATTCCATCAAACTTATATGTAAGGCTAATTATATCTTTGAACACACCAGCACATTCGTGCTAGGTTGTGCCATCTTTTACACAGGGATAAGTATATATTTGCAACTTTTTCGCAATCATCGTCTTTCAAACAAGGCGCTGTCAGCCATATTGTTTACCACTCATGCGCGGTAGGGAAAATATGCATTTCCGGTGTCAACACGCACCTACGTGTCGAAGCTTGTTGCTAATGACGCGCCACTTGAAAAGCATAACATCTGATTTTATTTCATATAACCCTGTTGAATTACAGTTTATTCTCCAGATACGCTTGATGCATTGAGCGGACACAATAAAACTCAAGTTTCTACATGACACTGAAATTGAATATTAAATCTAGATATTACGTTTCAGCGAGGAAATGTTTAAGAACTGTCAACATCAGAAAATTATTATGTTATGTTATGTTATGTTATACACATCAGTGTAGATTCTATATTATGTTATTTTATGTCGTGTTATATTATATAATATTATTTTATGTTAAAGTTTATTATATTGTCATATTATATAGAATCTAATATCATATCATATTAATTATATTATATAATTAATTAATCATATTATACCATACATCAGCGTATATCATGTTATGTTATGTTATGTCGTGTTATATCATATAATATAATATTATATTAATCATATTGTACCATATATATGATATCAGAAATCAGAAGTCTAAGAAAACCTGAAACTTTCTATGAATGTGTATGACTAGAAGTATTTTTAGATTTGATCCAAACGACAAATGATCGGTAATCAACGTCGCTCTGTTTAAAACAATGACGCTTCAGATTAATAAAAAAATACTGCTTAAAAATAACAACTAAATTGAGCCATACGACGTGGATCGTTGCTCATTTTGTCAATCACTGTTTTTCCCGACTCTATTATTTAACCGGACAAATCGTGTTAATTTTCCAAAGGTCTGTTTTTCCACCTTTTGCAAATTAACACGATTTGTCTTACAAATATGTGATAGATCATGTGTAAAGAAGATATTGAATCGCTAAAAAGTGAAACGAAAATGTCAAAAACTAAAATGAAAATGTCAAAAAAAAACACGGAAATGTCAAAAACTAAAATGAAAATGTCAAAAACAAAAGCGAAAATGTCAAAAACTAAATTGAAAATACAGAAAACTATTTCCACCGCGGTGGAAATAGTTTTCTGTGGTTTCATTTTAGTTTTTGACATTTTCGTTTTGGTTTTTGACATTTTCATTTTAGTTTTTGACATTTTCGCTTCACATTTCAGCGAGTCAAAAGCTACTTGAAAGTACATTTTCCATGTTTTCGGTTGTTTTTATACATGATTAATCACATATTTGTATGACAAATTGTGTTAATTTGCAAAAGGTTACGATAAAAGTAAGTGAAACATCAAAATATTGAAAGACAGACTCCATGTCCCTTATGGGCCACCGTACCCAAGTGATGCAGGTCTCGTGTACGTTTACCACTTCGGTGAAACCCACGAGCACAGGTATGGTGCTGACAAACCTAGAAACATAATCGGGGCGAACCAGGATTCGAACCCACACTCATAGGTTTCTGGCGTGCCCAAGGGACGCAACTCTGCACAGCGAATCGCGACGCCTCAGACGACTGAGCCACCTGTGCCCCCTTTCACGATGTGAAAATGTTAACGAAAGTAGTGAGTCAAATCTCACCTCACACGAAAACACTTTTGACATCGGGCTTAAATGCAAAAAAAGACATCCGCCTCTCACTGAAAACATGGTTTCGAAAAGGATGTATGATACATTATTCAAACATTTTAAGTAAGATGCTTAAGTCTGGCTTTACCGGTGATGTGAAACTAGTTTTCCGAGATATATTTTGGATGGTGCATTGTGAACCTTTTTCTTTTTTTTCAAATTCAAATCTGATACCATATTATGACAAAAACATGTACAACAGGCATACAAACCTAGATATTGCATAAACATAAGTTTCACAGTGTGTACCGCAACTGAGAATAGTATGGTGACCCACAAGGGACATGTACATTTAGAATTTTTCGAGTATCACACTATTACACGTTTTAGAAAATGAAAATGAAAAAAAAAGAAGAAAAAAACTAAATATTGCCAAATACTTCAGAAAACAAACACGAAGCGCCCAACGGCGAGCACTGAAACCTCGCAAAATCAAATGAGAATCATGGAACATAAAATATAAAGTTTTATTCAAAATATACAGAAAAACTATCAAATCCTATTACACCCCTGTGAGAATATATAACGCCGCGGTGGCAATATTTTCCGGTTTTCTGTATATTTAAGTTTTCATTATATTTTCTGTGATTCTGATTTGACTTTTAGACTTTTCAATGAGCACGTTTCTGTGTTTTATGTTTGGTTTCATGAGATTTTATCAGTGGTCAGTGTTTTCTTCCAATTTTCGAGATACACAGTTCTTTAATTAATTCTTTTATCATGTTCGATGATCATGATGTCAATCACTGGATTGTCTGGTCCAGACTTGATTATTTATAGACCGCCGTCATATAGCTGGAATGTTGCGGAGTACGGCGTTAAAAAACAAACAAACAAACATTGACATTGCGAAAACATGTCAATGTCCCTTACGGGCTACCGTAGAATGACAACATTCTCACTGAGCTGGTTTTTACCTGTGTAGTGTAGGTCCCCCTTAAACAACAAATAACCACACACTGTGTCCCGACTCCGTAAGAAGAAAACCGCTGTTTGGAAACGGATCTTTCATTGTATCATTTAACAGCAGTTATACTTGTCCATTAACGCGCCATTACCGATGAGTGAGTGTGAGTGAGTGAGTTGGGTTTAGCGCCGCTTTTAACAGTATTCCAGTTATATCACAGCGTGTCAGCTTAATGTGGGAGGAAAGCCCGAAGTGATGCAGGTCTCAGACGTTTACCACTTCGGCGAAACCCATAAGCACGGGTATGGTACTGACAAAACTAAAAATATAATCGGGGCGAACCGGGATTCGAACCCACAATCATAGGTTTCTGGCGTGCCCAAGGGACGCAACTCTGCACAGCGAATCGCGGCGCCTTAGACGACTGGGCCACCCCTGCCCCCCATTACCGATGAACTTTGAAACTGTGGGAAATGAAATAACACATGGCCTGCCATTGACGCGCCCCAGGGGTAGGCACCATCAGCCTCTGTGAGCGACGTAACCATATCCTGATGCAGAGTCACTGAAACGTCATCTACTCAAAATAAATGAAACTGAACGAAAAACTGACATGGATGATATGGTCAATGCAGATCTATTAGAGATCGCCAGGTCTGTTTCTGCAGATATATTGTGTGAACTCTCAAAGCCGCAGATTCAGGAACATACCATATACTATGAGACATTTTCTGCAAAACCACCCATTTTATTGATACACAAAAATATTACCGCCATCCTGAAACACAATTTGTACGACCTCGTTAAGTGTTCATTTAAACAGAAGCGACAAAACCCTTTTCATATTCATAAGAAACAAACAGCACAGTGATAGTACGATTCCTGTTTCATCCACAGCATCTGTTTATGAATCACTTTCACATGGTCGAGATACCAGGCATTTGTGAAAGGTGGGGTGAGCAGAATGCATACTTAATATGCCTCGTCAATTTACATTTTGTCAAATCGAAACGTTAAATGTGAAAACTTGCGGAAATATATGCGTTCATTCATGTCGGTGATGGGATAAGTCAGCGGAAATTAATCTAAACTCTATCATTAATCGAAACAAACTCTTCACTGATCACCTCCTGTGCATTCAGTCATTTTCAAGATGGCGCTTGGACACTGGCTCGCAATGTTGTTGTTGATGGTCTCTAAATCAAATCCAGGTACTGATTTTCCTCTTATAAGAAATACATTTTCACGTTTGGGTTTAAATAAATACTGTCTAAAATTTTCGTAAGTTAAAAAATATTTTAGCTGTAATGAAGGGCTGGTAATGTTAGGCGTGTATAAAAAATGCTCCTAATAAATTGATGAGCATTGAACAATTTATGATTATTTTCCAGCTGCTGTATCTCTGATGCGGGGTTCGTCATGGACGCTCGATTCTGGTACTGAAGCTGCCGCCAACTGTTCTTCACATCAATGTGCATCATGTCACGTGACCTGGAGAAAACAGGGGGACCCCACGTTCCAATGGGGAAACGAAACTCTCCATTTCAACCCGGTTAAAAAGACCGACCACGGGAATTACACATGTACTGTAGAGGACAGCGAGGGTCGACAGAGGAACAATGGGACGTTGGAAATCTTGGTTATCTGTGAGTTATATTGTCATTGGCTTCCTGGTTAAAGCGTTTTATATAACAGTAAAAACATACAAATATAGAATAATAATATATGTAACACTCTTCAAATAACATTTTCTTCAGAAGAGAAGAGTATATCATAATCTGTATGTCTATACACACAGTTGACATATTCTTGTTAAGACTTGTTATAAACTTTCTTGTTTCTTATTACTGTCCGTCCCTGTGATCCCTAAAATTAATTTTAAAACAGTTTTAAGTACAATTTAAAAACGTTTTCAAGTCAAATTTCGGTCTTGCTCCTGATTTTTTACCGTTTGCACGAGCTTTCCGAACCAAGCGGTTGATCACCGGCCCGTCTCTTTATTCCTCAAGCAGTAGGGGGCGCGACCAAATGAAGTCACGTAGTGCAGTGGAATATAGTTGACGTTCATAGATTTGTAACCTACAAACTAAATAACAAATAAACTCCCCCTCCTCTCCCTACCAGGTCTGTTTGAAACAAAGTCATGAGAAACGAGACATGTCAACTGGTCTTAACAGTACCTTGACACAGAGTAATCGTTCACCTATTCGCAAGTTAACTACGTCGTATTCAAAATAATGAAAATATAGTTATTAATACAAAGATATCTTTTTTCGGATCACTCTGAAAACATATCAATCAAGTTTTTTTCGTAATTCGGGCCACATCTTACATAGGAGAGTTGTAAGATAAATAACATTTTAGGTCACATGCCAGGAGTGTTACATCTATGTCGATCTCATTCTAAATAATTTACATAGATATAAAGCTATCAAGCGTAGTACATTGATATCACATGATTTAAATAAATTTGCAAACGTTATATTACCTTTATAATATTTCTGTAATGAGGTAATCAAAGTATATCTCAAGTGAACATATTTCTTACATACAAAAAAGACATGGTATTCATCCTCTACTAAATTAAAGTCCCATTCATTACATATAGATTCTGAATGACGTATATTTAACAATGACCTTTTACGAATAATGTTGACTCGAAAGTTGTGAAGAGATATTCGAAATTTACACATTGCTCTAACTTATCGTTTGTCTCTGAGTACTGTTATGTATAAATCGGGTTGCAGAAGAGATTTTACGTTAGCATAATGCACTAAAAAGTAGACGACTTTAAACTGTGGTACAATGATTGGTAATAGATACATCTTAAGATTCTTCTAAATGCTGATAAAATGGAATAACTGCACATAACCGCAATTAAATAACATTTGTCTCACATACGAATCCCAATTGACTTTTCCATTCTCATCTAATACTTGAAGGGGTGTCGACCTTCATTTTCAAAAGCTTAATCCAGTACTTCATTACCCTTATTTGCGTATTTATAAACAAACAATGACAATTTACCCACACCAAGAAAACGTTTAAAATAGCATGTTTGCATCTTTTTAATTGTATCATAATAATTTTATACTCCATATTTCCAAACCATACATCAGTATTGTAGCGATTTTACAGTCACATATATTACAAGCATTCGAGAAATCTATAAATCTGTCATTATTAAACAAATGAAAAACTGGCCCTATTGCCTTCCGTGCTTGCAAGGCAAGAGTTTCATATGCTTTAGACCATATTAATTAGCCGTGAGAACTTAATTCCAAGATATTTATATTACATTACCATGGTTACCGTCTTTATCTTCACATTATCCAGCGTCCATGCTTCATACTTGGTTATTATCCCTCTAGTTCTAAATACAATAACATTTGATTTATCAAGATTTACATACAATGCCCATTTCAAACAATATGCATTTAAAACATCTAGCTGTCTCTGCAAGCTCCGAACAGTATACGAGAAATGTACAATGTCATCGGCAAATAAGAGTAACATCAGATCTTCAATACTTTGGGTAACAAATATACGGTAACCATGATCGTAAGCAACATACATTTCCAACACAAGCTCATTAATAAAGAATATAAATAAGACAGGCCCCAATCGCCGCCTTGTCTTACCCCACTAGAGGTGTTAAAAAGAAGTTTTAAAGCAATCAATCTTAACACCTGCTTTTACAGTTGCATACATACTTTTTAACAAATTGTACATTTTACCATGGCATCCTTTTTGTAAGAGTAAATATAGCATTTTTCCCTATCAACATAATCAAACGCCTTTCTGAAATCAATGAATGCACAATAAAATCTGCCTTTTGGCTTACAGTGATATTTGGAACATAATGCATGCAACGTAATGATATGATCAATGGTAGAATATTGTGAACGGGAACCTGCTTCGGATTCTGAAATATGCTCATTTACCTCTATCCAGATTCTAAGGCGTTTTTCTAGAATAGACGTAAAAACCTTCCCTAAGATATTCAAAAGAGAAATGCCCCTGTAGTTGTTAGGATCCGTTTTAACTCCACTTTTGTATAATGGTATTATCATCCCTAGATTCCATACCATGAAACTTGGTCATAGACAAACATTTTTTCAGATCCCACTGAAAGCATATCCCTGTCAGTCAACAACCTTTCCGTTTCAAATACTTACTATACAAGCAAGGAAGGTGCCGATGTCACTCTGTCATGCGCAGTGGACGGCTTTCCACCACCACTCGTCAAGTGGCACAAAGATGCTCGTGCTGTGAAGACTGATAACCTTACTCAGAAGTATGGTCTTCATCAACCGGCGGGGAACAGTTTTCTGATTTCCTATCACGTGACTAGCGCCGGATGTGAAGATGAAGGTGCTTATGTGTGTCAGGTTGGCAACGGCGTAAATGAAACTGCACCCATCGAGAAATTCATCATTTTTAAAGTTGGATGTGAGTCTTTAACCATTGTTAAGTGGGCGTGGTCTGGTGGTGTTCGGAGATTTCAAAGAGCATCATACTCCTGAAAGGGGCGGTGGGGTAGCTTAGAGGTTAAAGCGTTGTTCGTCACACCGAGTTCCCGGGTTCGATTCCGTGACATTGCTGGAATATAGCGAAAACCGGCGTAAAAAAATACTACTACTACCACCACTACCACTACTACTACCACCACCACCACTACCACTACTACTGCTACTACTACTACTACTACTACCACCACCACCACTACTACTACTACTACTACTACTACTACTACTACTACTACTACTACTACTACCACTACTGCTACCACTACTACTACTACTACCACCACCACTACTACTACTACTACCACTACTACTACCACTACCACCACTTCTACCACCACCACCACTACTACTACTACTACTACTACTACTACTACTACTACCACTACCACTACCACTACCACTACCACTACTGCTACCACTACTACTACTACTACTACCACCACAACTACTACTACTACTACTACTACTACTACTACTACTACTACCACTACTACTACCAATACCACCACTTCCACCACCACTACTACTACTACTACTACTACCACTACCACTACCACTACAACTACCACTACTGCTACCACTACTACTACTACTACCACCACAACTACTACTACTACTACTACTACTACTACTACCACTACTACTACCACTACCACCACTTCCACCACCACCACCACTACTACTACTACTACTACTACAAATACCACTACTACTACTACAATTATTAAGGAAGGGGTTTCGTGGCTTTTATTTATTGTTGAAATATAACGGCTGTAGACCATACTCATTGTTTTAAACTGCAGTTCCAGAGGTCAAACAAAGAATTACTTGGATTTCTGAGACAATTTGGGATTTCGAAACATTCCTCAGATATAATATCGTGATTCCATTGATACATTAATGTTTTAACGTGTAGTTATGTATTAATGATCTTGCCTATCACTGCTGACTATTGATACACGTCAACGTACTGGGTAGAACGACAACAGGTAATAACAGCACTATGAGTTTCCAATGATGATTTAATTAGACAGAATCAAGTTCTAATTCAATAATTATAAAACATCATGTTATAAGTAAATTAGAGGCGAGTGAACTAATGTGTTAGTTGGATTATATGTTGTAGTTTTTTTTATGTTTTGCACATATGTTTTCTATTGGGTACAGGTTCAGGTACAAGAGTCACAGTTGACAAGACCATGTTGACAATCCAATCTGGTGAGTGTAAATTGTTTGATAGGCATTACTTAGAAGTTGACGGATGACAAGGTAGACACAATTCTATGGATAACAACTTCTTTAATACTGTGAAAATTGACGTTTCGGTATAGATCCTTATACCGTTGTCAAGCAAGACTGAATGAGGGTACTTACTTGCTTATATTGGAGATATTGCAGCGTATTTCGCACACGGGCCCGGCCAAGCCATTTAATGTGTTTCCAAAAAGGGGAAAGTTGTTTGGCAATCCAGTAGGGGTGTTTTAGTGGTTGCTTATATAGAATTTTGGAAATTTTGAGATTTGGAAAAAATGCCAAGAGGGTTTGGGAGGCGAACTAAGGGATCTGAGTATGGAAGTTTGTTTGTTTGATTATGTGGTTTGGTTTTGGTAGTTTATTGGGGTTTTAAATGCGATTAGTCCTGTTTTGATTAAGTATACGCCTAAGGCTTTTAATTTTTCTATTTTATTTTGTGGATTTAGGATTGCTTCTAGAGTAAGAGCCTTATTTAGATTTAGGGTGGTTTGTAGTGTAGTTCGGTGTGTTAGGTGGTGGGTGCAGTGTATGAGTGCGTGTTCTGGGGTTTCTTGTTGTTTGCAATGTGGGCAGGTTCCTGTTGTGTGTTTTCTTATTATTTTTAGGTGGTTATTTAGGTTGGTATGTCCTGTTTCGAGTTTAGTGATTACTCTGTCGATTTTTTTGGACTGATGTAGAATTTTTGGTTTGGTTAGGTTTTTTTTTGAGAACCCTTTTGATTTGGCTATTTGAGTTTTGATATAGGTTATGCCATTTTTTGGTGATTTTTTGTTTGTTGACACTTTTAATTTCTGATTTGGAGATGGGTAGGTTTAAGCTTATTTCTGGGATTTTAAGGGATAGTTTAGCTGCTTTATCGGCGTTTCATTGCCGTATATTCCTACGTGGGCGGGGATCCAAATGAATACTATTTGTTTGCCTGCCTTAGTTAAACCGTTTGAGCTTTTTAGTATTTGATTTATTAGTTCAGGGCGGTTTTTGGCGTTTTTATTTTGGAGGGCTTGTAGTCCACTGAGCGAGTCGGTAAGTATTAGGATTTTTTGTTGTTTTTCAGATTGTTGATTATGAAGGGCTGCGGCCATGCCCATAGTAGTTCGGCCGTGAATATTGATTGATTGTTTGGGAGTCGGTAGGATTGTGTGGCTTTAGTTGGTTGTGTGATATGGACTCCGAAACCTGTGTGTTTGGAGATCGGATCTGAGGATCCGTCTGTGTAAATGTGAAACCAATTTGGCCATTTTTCATGTATGTATGCTAGTGTGGTGGTTTTGGCTATTTTTGGGTCGGTTTGTTTATTTATTGTGCTAGCTAGTGTTATGTCTATTTTTGGTGTTTTAAGTTTTGGGGTGAAGATATTTGATTTTTTACAGTTTTGTTTAAGATTGTTTATTTGGTGTTCATTTAAGTAATTGGTTACTCTTTGGGATATTGGAGTAAGTAGAGGGTGTTTTCGAGCTAGGGCTTGGTTATTGGGGCTGATATGTTTGTTTATTAGGTTTTGGATTAGGGGTTGGATTGAGACGCGGCCCAGAAATTTAGGGTTAATTGTTCCCTACGTAGACTTAGTGGCATTTCTCCTGTTAAGGCCTGGAGTGAAGTGTAGGAGGTGCCATGTTGAGTGCGTGTTATTAGTTTTAGAGCCTGATATTGGATTGAGTCTAGTTTTTTGCTTAGGGATTGGTTTAGGGTGTCGTATATGGCACATCCGTATTCTATTTTAGATCTAATTAGTGATATATAGAGTGAGAGGAGGGTGTCTTTGGAGGCCCCCCAGTTTGAGCCAGTTAGGCATCTTAGCGTATTTAAATCTTTGCTACATTTAGTTATTAGATTATTTATGTGAGCGCCCCATGAGAGATGTTCATCGAAAATTAGTCCTAAGAATTTGGTTTGTTTTAGGAATTGGATTTGTTGGTTGTTTAGCTGGAGTTTTGGGTAGTCGGGTTTCATGTTTTTGTGTTTAAATACTATTCCTGTAGTTTTTTCCGAGTTAAGGGAGAAGCCCCATTTGTCAGCCCATTGCTGTATTTTGTTTAGAGATTTTTGAAGTAGGTTTTGGGCCATTTTAATGCTTTTTGTGCGGATCCAGAGGGCTCCATCATCCGCGAATTTAGATGTGTTTATTTTAGGGGATAGGCCCTCGAATAGATCATTTATCATTGATATGAATGAGGGACATAGTACAGAATATATATAGTAGGTGGAGGGTTAACAGTAGAGGATTAACAGTAACAATAATGCCATACATGAGTGGGATAACGTTGGTAGGTGTTGACAACAAAGGGATAATGCTGTCACAACACGATGGACAGAGAACACATAGGTGGAAGCCAATAGGGCCATGAAGCCAATAAACAGGATAAGTGATTATTGCTTGATGAGACCATATCAGCAACTGTCCCAATCACAACATCAACTGGGACAACGTCCAAATCCTCGCCAACAACCTCAATGATTTCACTAAAAGAAAACTAACAGAAGCAGTCCACATTCGCCGCCACATGCCATCAATCAACAGAGATCAAGGCTATTTCATCCCATCCGCCTACTATGAACTCATCAAGCAAAAATCACTTATCCTGTTTATTGGTATAAGGATCTATACCGAAACGTCGCTTTTCACAGTATTAAAGAAGTTGTTATCCATAAAATTGTGTCTATCTTGGTGAGTGTAAGTGTCAATGGGTACCTCAATTATAAGCTATTGGCTTAAATATAAGAACATGTACACATTTTTGACAATATGATTAGACTGGTTCCGTATAGGTACGAGTAGAGCCCTTACCTGCTTTCTGTGATATTTATATAACCTATGCTATGAAGCCGAGACATGGAGGACAACAAAGGCCACCACCAGGAAAGTGCAGACTTTCATCAACAGCTGCCTGAGAAGAATCCTCCAGATCACTGGCCCAACACCATCAGCAACTCAGACCTGTGGCAGCGTACCAACCAACTGCCAACCGAAGATGAGATCCGGCGCAGAAGATGGGAATGGATTGGGCATGCCCTGCGGTAGCCAGTCAGTAACATCACCATACTGGCGCTGTCATGGAACCCCCAGGGAAAACGAAAAGGAGGACGGCCAAGAAACACCTGGCGACGGGACCTCGAGGCAGACAGCAAGAAGATGGGACACACCTGGAAACAACTAGAGAGGGCAGCACAGGACCGAGGACTCTGGTGGACTATTGTCGGCGGCCTATGCTTCGGGAGGAGCGACGGGCATAACTAACTAACTAACTAACTATGCTACTGGTAATCCAGGACACGTTGAACCAACTCACAAAACGCATTTGAGACAAGCAGGCGGTGCACATAATTTGGGCAAACATATTTGGTTTGTTACAGGTGGAGAGGGTGTATGCATTTTGTGCACGTGCAGGTCATAACGATAAAATTGACAAAGCTCCCCTGGACACACGTGATGCTCATAAGACGTGACAAGTAGATACCAGAATTCTCTAAAGGTCGTTTGATTGAATCACACGACACTTTTCTTTATTGCTCTCTGGGGTAAACAAAAGTATTCCATTTTTACAGCAAATGAATATACCCTTCATTGTCACGATATTTCTCAATTGTTGTCACAACCCGTGAAGATCCGGGACAGAATAGGTCTTCAGCAACCCATGCTTGCCGTAAAAGGCCACTGTGCTTGTTGTAAGAGGCGACTGACGGGATCGGGTGGTCGGACTTGCTGACTTGGTTGATGCATGTCATCGTATCTCAATTGCGTGGATCGATGCGCATGATATCAGTCGCTGGATTGTCTGGTCCAGACTCGATTATTTACAGACCGCCGTCATATCGCTTGAATATTGCCGAGCGCGGCGTTAAACAACAAACAAACAACCAAACAATTGTTGTCACCGTTTTTAGCACGTACTGTTATGTGCTATTGAACTCGCCACTAGAACTCTTTGTTAGCAGAGGCAGGACATGCACATATCCATCGTACTACTTGTCGCGGACCACCCGCTACCCCTTTCTTCACAGAGTGTGTCTGTAGAGGAGGCGAACATCTGTCAGGGGAAATAAGTTCTCATAATTATTCAGATCAGGGCTGTTTTGCTGACCTTGTTTGTCTCTTCATTCCAGGATGGTCGTACACGTCCTACGTCATGAGTGGATGCTTAGCCCTGGGAGCTGCTCTCTATTTGATAGTTGTCTTCATCGTAATTAAGGGTAAATTTCATCACGCAATTGCCCATAGACTTAAGCGAGTCATTTAAAGAAACAGAAGACAGCAGACAGTATAGCCTTCAAGGCATCCTCGTCATCATGTCTGGACTAACATTGTGTCTAAAAATGGCGTTGCTCATAATATCAACCACTGGTTTGTCTGTTTCAGACTCGCTTTAGTCAGAAAAATAAGACCATCACCCGGCTTGATCGGCTAACGCTGAAGGGCAGGAAGATGAGGACTTATGTTTGACTTCTGCCATACAAATGACATATTCAGTGCAATCTAAACTAAGAAGACTTTTACATCTAGACGTGCATCCTTCTCCTCTTAAATCGCCGTGAACTGAACTGGAGACTGTCATATTGTTGTATGTGTATGCTGTTTCACGTTGTTTCTCACAGGCCTCCACAGACTGTGCAAGCCAAGGGTCTCAGCAACAGATTACCAAAAAGGTGCGTACCGATACATGTTTTAATTTCTAGATAGCTTTTCCGAATAGGCATTTCCTAATGTCATTCACAGAGTGAAGCTAGCGTCATGTGTAAAATATAATAGGCTATTTATATTGCGCATATCTCCACACCACTCAGGGGCATGCTTAAAGCGCCATTATTACCCCGGTCACTGGATCAGTGTGCACTCAAGAACCATTCTCAGCTCCCTGGGGAGTATCCAACCCAAGCTGCCTGTGGAATTCAGCCGTATTACATATTATTTGAGACGTCGTCGTCGTTGTTAATGAATAAGCATATTAAGAACATATTTTATATTATGCTGTTATTTACGATGTCCGGAGTACAGTTCTTCTTTTGTATACACCGTGCAAATCCGAAAATTAGTCCTTGATGAAAAGAGGACATCGGATTACACATGAATGGTTTAATAATGTCAGCTAATGACCAGAAACGGTCAGATACATCAATTAACTTCATAAAGACGATTTTGAAGTATCTCTTATTGCTGGGGAAGAATAACATCAACATTTCACGCACATGATTTGTATGTTTCGTTTCGGTAACTGGGTGATATGAAATTTCAAACAAACCAACATGTCGACAAACAGGATATTAAATTAACCTTTCCCGTATACTTCCCCGCCTTCAGGGCTTGGAAGAATAAAACAATACTTCCTGAAAGCCAACATAGACACAAAAACAATATCAAAACAACCTAACCCAATCCATCCCCCATTCATACAAACCTATTAAAAGTTCCCAAAGGAATTCAATATTTCTATAAAATCTTCTGCCAAAATAATCAACACTCGACAAAATGGGGTTTTTCATCCTACATGATGACACCATATCTAACGATTGGTCACTGTGATTCCCTTTAGATGTACAAAAAATACTAGTTTACAATGGCCCCAATACAGAAAACGACACCTTATTTTACCAAATCATTTCTCTGTCAAAAATAGGATATTTCGATAGCAGTAGTTATAGCTTCTGCACCAAAGACATTGAAACAACCACTCATATATTCTGAGATTGCAGGAAGGTAAACTTTATCTGGAATTTACTTGAAAAATGGCTTTACGAAAATAAAAATAAACTTGAAATTTCAAAGAGACATGTACTACTTGGTAATCCATGCAGAAACAATGATCCAATCAACATAATTCTTATACTCTTTTCAAAAAAATGATTTTCAAAAGTAAGTTTCACAAAACTATCCAACCATTCTATACGTTCAAGACTGAAGTAAAACAATACTCATAGATTGTAACATCGATTGCTAGATGCATAGATTTAAGTTCTGATCGTTAGACTCTATGTACGTTTCCACTCCAGTGCTGTACAGTATGTACAGAGATTGATGCTAGTTCATACCACCCGAATGTCACTGTTAATTGTTTCTCTGTAAAATGTTGATAAATGAAACAAAACAATAAAATAAAAATGTTTAGTATGTACAAGATAAAGACACATATTTTCAGTTCACTATGGCATCGCGTGCATGTTGAAAAAGCTATGCTTCTTTACAGGAAATCTTCGATCGCTGTCTGTATCTGTGAATCCAAATGCAGTCGTATACGATGAAGTGGACGAGAGTCTTGCGATGACTGCCCTCGACCCCCAGTCCAAAGCCCATCCAGCACGACAGCATTAACGTTAACGTCAAAACCTGACAAAATTTTGACAAAAACATACATATTTTAGGAACACAGTTGAAAAGTCGAAAGAAAAAATGAAAATATATATCCACGCAATAGAAAATGTTTAGTTGAATATCTCAACTCAACTATATTTGATTAATGTGAGTTTAAGGTGTTCAGATGTTTCGTCCCATTCACGCTTTCACGATTTATTGGCATCTGTTACCAGAGAGAATTCACGACACGGAAATGTCACCGTTCTGAAGAACGAAGCGTCAGAGAATGTATTTGTATGGCTCAATTAATATTTGAAATGAATATCGTATTAGTTAGTGGTATAAGTCAGCCTGCGATCCATATCTAAGTGTTAGAAAGCGTCCATGAAGTAATCTTTCAATCAAGAAGCTCTTTTTCGCTGCACGTGCATTTATTGTCTCAGATATGAACCAAAACATTGCTAATGATGAAGTTGCATTTCATTCTACTTGAATTTCACCATATATTAAAATAATGAAGCATCTTTTGGAAATATATTTTCCAAAGAAACAGTAAGTCCACTTTTGTGTAAATCGATGTACATTTAGCACCATATGTGTCTATTGTTGTTTTGAAATCTTCAGATGTATCTGTTGGAAATTAAAAAAAATCCTTCATTCATATTTAATGAGTAACATATGTGTCTATTGTTATTTTGACATCTTCAGATGTATCTGTTGGAAATTAAAAATTCATTCATTCATTCATTCATTCATTCATTCATTCATTCATTCATTTACACACACACTCCGCCACTTCTCTTCATACCTTGCGCTGATGTGCTCCAGACGTTTTTACAAACTGGAAATGTCACAGCTAGCCTATACTAGAAACAGTTAGTTTCCAAGAAAGTATCATTATGAAATGCGAGCCGTTAGTTTTGTTTTAATGGAAGGTACCGAAAGTAGTGAGTCAAATTGTCCTCACACGAAAAATAATTTTGACATCCAGCTAAAATGCAAAAACATATCTCTCACTAATAATGAAACACTGAAACGCCGCAAAATCAAATGAAAATCACGAAAAATCAAAATGTAAAGAAAAACTATCAAAACCCGTTTTTCCTCTCTGTGAATATATTGAGTTTTCATTTTATAATCTGTGATTCTTATTTGACGTTTATACGGTTTCAATGAACACATTGGTTTTAAAGAGATTTTATCAATATTCAGTTCCTTATTTAATGTTTCTGAAGTTTTGTAGTGTTTTTCTAATTTCCGAAAAAACCGTTTATCATACATGGAGTTGTATCGAAAAACACATTGTCATTGTGAAAATATTTCAATGTCCCTTATGGGCTACCGTAGAATAACAATATTCTAATTGAGCGTGTTTTTCACCTGTGTAGTATAGGTCCCCTTGAACAACAAATAACCACAAGTCGTGTCCCGACTCCTTTATATAGAAATCTCATAATTTAACATCAGTTTTACCTGTTCGTTTAACTCGTCATTTTTTATGAACTTTGAAACTGTTGGGTGAGTGAGTGAGTTGGGTGTAACGCCGCTTTTAACATTATTCCAGTTATATCACGGCGTGTCAGCTTAATGTGGGAGGAAAGCCCGAAGTGATGCCGGTCTCAGACGTTTACCACTTTGGTGAAACCCACGAGCACGGGTATGGTGCTGACAAACCTAGAAACATAATTGGGGCGAACCGGGATTCGGACCCACAATCATAGGTTTCTGGCGTGCCCAAGGGATGCAACTCTGCACAGCGAATCGCGGCGCCTTAGACGACTTGGCCACCCGTGCCCCCTGAAACTGTTGGGGTGACTGATGTACGCAATTAAAGTTACACATGGCCCGCTATTAAAATGATCCAGCGGTGGGAAGCACCATATCTATTTCCTTGTGCAGAGTCACTGAAACGTGACCTGCCTAAAATAAAGGAAACTGAAAGAGAAACAGACATGACTGCAGACATGTGTCTGCAGCATCAGTGTGTGAACGTTCCAGAACGTACCACACTACACCATAGGCACCAAAGACATTTCCTACAAAACCACACATTTGATTTCATATGCAACAATATTACAGCCACCCCGAAACACAACTTGTACGACTTGGTTACGTGTTCTTATAAATATAAGCGACAAAACCCTTTCCATATTCATATGAAATCTCTGCTAAAAGATTTCAACTATATATCATCAGCATGTGTTTATGAATCACTATCAAATTGAAACGTTAAATGTGAAAACTTGCGGAAATATATGCGTTCCTTCATGTCGGTGATGGGATTAGTCAGCGGAAATTAATCTAACCTCTATCATTAATCGAAACAAACTCTTCACTGAACACCTCCTGTGCATTCAGTCATTTTCAAGATGGCGCTGGGACACTGGCTCGCAATGATGTTGTTGATGGTCTTTAAATCAAATCCAGGTACTGATTTTGCTCTTGTAAGAAATACATTTTCACGATTCTTGGGTGTAAATAAATACTGTCTAAAATTTTCGTAAGTTAAAAAATATTTCCAAGAAATTGATGAGCATTGAACAATTGATTATTATTTTCCAGCTGCTGTATCTCTGATGCGGGGCTCGTCATGGGCGCTCGATTCTGGTACTGAAGCTGCCGCCAACTCTTCTTCACCACAATGTGCATCATGTCACGTGACCTGGAGAAAACAGGGGGACCCCACGTTCCAATGGGGAAACGAAACTCTCCATTTCAACCCGGTTAAAAAGACCGACCACGGGAATTACACATGTACTGTAGAGGACAGTGAGGGTCAACAGTTGAAGAATGGGACGTTGGAAATCTTGGTTATCTGTGAGTTATATTGTCATTGTGTGTTTGATTATAGTGTTTTACAGTAAAACATACATATATAGAATAATTTTATATGTAACACTGCTCGTGTGACCTTGTTTTCAGAAGAGCAGATTATATCACACCAGAGACCATATAATATAATAATACATGTATATGGTCTCTGATCACACACAGCGGACATATTCATCTCGAGACGTATTGTAAACGTTTTTGTTTCTTATAACCGTCCGTCCCTAAATGTGAACACTAATATTTATTTAATTTGAAGTACTTATAAAACACCCTTTTAAGTCAAATTTCGGTCTTAAATCTGTTTTGTTTCTTTTGCACGTGTCTTCACATCCATAGCTTTCCGAACCAAGCGGTTGATCACCGGCCCGTCTCTTTATTCCTCAAGCAGCAGGGGGCGCGACCAAATGAAGTCATGTAGTGCAGTGGAATATAGTTGACTTTCATAGATTTGTAGCCTACAAACTAAATAACAAATAAACTCCCCCTCCTCTCCCTACCAGTTCTGTTTGAAACAAAGTCATGAGAAACGAGACATGTTAAGTAGTCTTAAAAGTACCTTGATACAGAGTAATAGTAATACGTTCACTTATTTGCAAGTTAATAACGTCGTATTAAAATCGATGAAATATAGCTATTAATACAGACGGTTTTTTTCAGATCCCACTGAAAACATATCCCTGTCCGTCAACAACCTTCCCCCTTCAAAGACTCGCTATGAAACCAAGGAAGGGGCCAACGTCACTCTGTCATGCGCAGTGGGCGGATTCCCACCACCACTCGTCAAGTGGCACATAGATGGCGGTACAGTGAAGACTGATAACCTTACCAAGACGTACGGTCTTCATCAACCTGTGGGGAACAGTTTCCTGACTTCCTATCACGTGACTGGCGCCGGATGTGAAGATGAAGGTGTTTATGTGTGTCAGGCTGGGAACGGCGTCAATAAAACGGCACCAATCGAGAAGTTTTTCACGTTAGAAGTTAAATGTAAGACTTTCACCATCATAAACTGGGGATGGTGCGGTAGGGGGCGGGGGATTCAAAGAGCGTCATACGACTCTTGGATTCTGTATCGAGGTAAAGTATTTCTTTCAGTTTCAGCTGCAAAACCAGATATCATTGATTTAATATTGAATATTGCTAAAAGCGGCGTAAAACCATACTCACTCACTCACTCCAGTCAGTTCTCATTCATGTTGGCTTACATTGTCACTAAGTGAGTATAAAAGTCTATAAGTGGAACGCTGCATTTTGCAGTATTTACGTGCTTGTGTGTCTATGTGTGAGTGTCTGTGCTTGTACTACTTGCTCAGACTACTTCCGGTTTTACTGAGATACCTTGTCGCTGTTAAACATAGAACTCGAAAGTCGGTCGATCAGTGTTACAACATTCAAGACCTTAGTAAATCTTTGGAAAAGGTTTTTGGTAGGCATTTCCAAATTTGACGCGTCAAATGATGTCTGATGTATTTTTGGATTCTGTATCGAGGTAAAAAAAATTTTTTTCAGTTTCAGCTGCAAAACCAGATGACATATTATTTAATTTATGAGCCTGATTTTGGGGGTAGAAGAAACACCTTGCCATAATGTATTTGTATTTTTGTGGCAGGCATTTTCTTGTTCAAAGGTCTGAAGCATAATATATTTTTCAAGAATGTTGAGGGACACTTCATATTTTTATTGATAAAATCCCTAACCTTCAAGGTATTTGGTTAAACCATTTAAAACATTGTAACAATATGGGTTGCAAATAATGATTTAATTGGACAGAATTAAGTTCTAATTTAATATTTCATATTTGGTACAGGTGCACCCAAACTGCAGGATCCAGCCAAACAGCCATGGACCTGGTCAGCACGGAGAGGGGAAACCGTGGTGGTCAATGTCACGGTGCTGTCCAACCCTGAGTCCCATGTGGCAGCCTGGAGGCGGACTGGAGCAGGCACAGGCAGGGGGATGCTGGACCAGGGTGATGCTGACCACAGCTTGAATGAGACAGCTGTGAATGGAAACGCTCGATACTTTGTATTAAGTCATTATAATGTGACCGAGACGGGACAGTATATGATGACAGTGACCAATGGTCTTCTTCCTAACCTGACTCTGAACTACACAATTCTCGTTGATATGGCCGTGAAAAACCAATCTGGTGAGTTGTTTCTTTCAATGGGGACTGAAATATAAGAACAAGTAAATACACTAGAAGAGCCCTAAGATGCCTTCTTCTGTCAGGTAAACTAGATATTTGTTCCCTCTTTCCAATGAAGACATTCAATAAAGGGGATTATGTTATCAATTTGTGTGATGAACAAAGTAGAACTTGGGTAATCAGAGGTCTCTGTCAGGATTGATCTGGATGACCTGTAGCATCGTCCTCCAGGGTCGAATCTCACAATGTGGACCAGTGGTTTGCCTGCTCCAGGTTGTTTCCCGATGATGACTAATTTACTCATGTTTTCTGTTCATCAGAAACAGTTCCTGAGATGGAGGATTGTCTGGATGCTGGTAAGTATTGATAGGAGAGGTAATACTTTATCTGGCTTCATATATTAATGAGTCTTGCTTGGATCCAGTCAGTTCTTGGGCGGTCGGGTAGCCTAGTGGTTAAAGCGTTCGATCGTCACGCCGAAGACCCGGGTACGATTCCCGACATTGGTACATTGTGTAAAGCCCAGTTCTAGTGTCCTCCGCCTATTGCTGGAATATTGCTAAAAGCGGCGTAAAAACATACTCTCTCACTCACTCCAGTCAGTTCTCATGTTGGCTTTCATTGTCACTAAGTGAGTACAAAAGTCTATAAGTGGAACGCTGCATTTTGCAGTATTTACGTGCTTTTGTGTCTATGTGTGAGTGTGAGTGTGTGTGCTTGTACTACTTGCCCAGACTACTTCCGGTTTTACTGAGATACCTTGCCGCTGTTTAACATAGATACCCCTTTCAGACAAAGTATACCAACCCCAAGACGATCAGGCATCTTTCCCCTTTAATAATGCCTCAAGGCAGGGTAACAATAAGTACCATGCTTTAGCGTCTTTTGGTATGATCGTACACTGACCTTCCGCTCTTCGGGAAAACCTTTCTGAATTCGCTGACTTTGTTTTCCTTCAGTATGTGTGTACAAGTCCTACATCATCGGTGGAGGCGTAGTCGTGGGGGCAGGCATCATTGCTGTAGTTGCCATCATCGTTCTCAAATGTAAGTTTCTCACTCCCGGGGTTACCGAGGCCTTGTCGAGAAAACAGCAGGCCATAGCAGACTGTATACAGTCTCTAGGGCATCCTTGTCATTATGTCCAGAACTAACATTGTGTTCTGTCATTCTGTTTGCTGTTTAACGCCGCATTCAGATATATGACGGTGATCTGTAAATAATCGAGTCCTATCCATTGACAATCTCATTAAAATCAGATCTTAGATCTCGCTATCGCTAAACAAATCTGAGGACATCCCACTACGGGTCACGCCAGAATGACCTTTCATTTGACCGATCAAAGTGTCGCTTACCAGATCATGAAAGTGACAGTCGGAATGTGTTTTCTAATCATGCAATCTCGAAAACGTTAACACGTTGTATTCCGAACGACTGATTCCGTCAAAATTATCGTCTGTCTCTCGCTTCCGTGGGATAAACATTTGAACGGAGAAGGTATTGCACAGTACGTGGGAAGCACTGCCATACAATCTCAACCATATATTAGACATTCCGGAATGTTTGTTTGTTCAGTTTTCCAATTTTTTATCGAGAACTATGTCAACATATTTTTCAAGCGTAGTCTGAAATGGAAGTCGCCAGGTTGAAACGAGTGGCGTAAAGGTCGAGAAAGCTGCTTTCTAATTGGCTGATGTCGACTTCTTGTTAGTCATTTCAGTGGTCAGTCAATGTTCGCGAAAGGTCGTTCTGACGTGACCCGTAATGGGTTGTCCTCAGATCTTTGTTAAGCGGCAGCGAGAACCTAGATCTGATTTTAATTTGATTGATCCATTGAGATCATGAGCATCGATCTGCGATGACATGCATCAATCAAGTCAGCAAGCCTGACCACCCGATCCGGTTAGTCGCCTCTTACGAAAGGCATAGATTTCTGAAGATCTTTACGGGTCTGAAACGACGATGGTCATAGTATTAACCACTTGTTTCTCTGTCCAAACTAGTATATTTTCATTCGTGAAATGTAGCTTTATTTGTATTGGATGTATGGACTAGGAACAATACGACCATCACCAGGTATGATAGCTAACCCTGTAGGACAGGCAGAGTGGAGTGGGTTGGGTTTTAACGCCGCTTTTAACAGTATTCCAGTTATATCGCGGCGTGTCAGCTTAATGTTGGAGGAAAGCCCGAAGTGATGCAGGTCTCAGACGTTTATCACTTCGGTGAAACCCACGAGCACGGGTATGGTGCTGACAAACCTAGAAACATAATCGGGGCGAACCGGGATTCGAACCCACTGTAGTATTATCAGACGGATACAGGTGACCATGTACTTCCAGGTAAGCGACGGACCGACCCTGCTGCGTACTTCACCGGAGATGACGATGACATATTCCGTGTCATAGAGAATATATTACCGCCGGTGACACCCGATGTTGCTGGGAACAAGAACTACTTCAACAACTCCTGCAACATCAGCAGCAACAGGCCCTTCCACGACACACTCGTGTGAGATACAACATCATGTGACATGGATACAACACCGTGTGACATGGATGTGACATGTATACAACACCGTTCGGCATGTATACAACATCATGTGACATGTATAGAATACTGTGTAACATGGATGTGAAATGCATCCAACACCACTTGACATGTATATAACACCGTGTGACATGGATATAACACCGTGTGACATTGATGTGACATGTACACAACACCATGTGACATGTATATAACACCGTGTGACATGGATACTACACCGTGTGACATTGATGTGACATGTACACAACACCATGTGACATGTATATAACACCGTGTGACATGGATGTGAAATGCATCCAACACCACTTGACATGTATATAACACCGTGTGACATGTATATAACACAGTGTGACATTGATGTGACATGTACACAACACCATGTGACATGTATATAACACCGTGTGACATTGATACTACACCGTGTGACATTGATGTGACATGTACACAACACCATGTGACATGTATATAACACCGTGTGACATGGATGTGAAATGCATCCAACACCACTTGACATGTATATAACACCGTGTGACATGGATACTACACCGTGTGACATTGATGTGACATGTACACAACACCATGTGACATGTATATAACACCGTGTGACATGGATACTACACCGTGTGACATTGATGTGACATGTACACAACACCATGTGACATGTATATAACACTGTGTGACATGGATACTACACCGTGTGACATTGATGTGACATGTACACAACACCACTTGACATGTATATAACACCTTGTGACATGGATACTACACCGTGTGACATTGATGTGACATGTACACAACACCATGTGACATGTATATAACACCATGTGACATGGATACTACACCGTGTGACATGGATGTGACATGTACACAACACCATGTGACATGTATATAACACCGTGTGACATGGATACTACACCGTGTGACATTGATGTGACATGTACACAACACCATGTGACATGTATATAACACCGTGGGACATGGATGTGAATTGCATCCAACACCACTTGACATGTATATAACACCTTGTGACATGGATACTACACCGTGTGACATTGATGTGACATGTACACAACACCATGTGACATGTATATAACACCGTGTGACATGGATACTACACCGTGTGACATTGATGTGACATGTACACAACACCATGTGACATGTATATAACACCGTGTGACATGGATGTGAAATGCATCCAACAGCACTTGACATGTATATAACACCGTGTGACATTAATGTGACATGTACACAACACCATGTGACATGTATATAACACCGTGTGACATGGATACTACACCGTGTGACATTGATGTGACATGTACACAACACCATGTGACATGTATATAACACCGTGTGACATGGATACTACACCGTGTGACATGGATGTGACATGTACACAACACCACTTGACATGTATATAACACCGTGTGACATGGATACTACACCGTGTGACATTGATGTGACATGTACACAACACCATGTGACATGTATATAACACCATGTGACATGGATGTGAAATGCATCCAACAGCACTTGACATGTATATAACACCGTGTGACATGTATAGAATACCATGTGACATGTATACAACGCCATGTGACATGGATGTGATATGTATACAACACCATGTCACATGGATGTGACATGTATACAACACTGTGTCAAATGGATGTGATATGCATCCAACACCACTTGACATGTATATAACACCGTGTGACATGGATGTGAAATGCACCCAACACCACTTGACATGTATATAACACCGTGTGACATGGATGTGACATGTATATAACACTGTGTGACATGGATGTGATATGCATCCAACACCACTTGACATGTATACTACACCGTGTGACATGGATGTGACATGTATATAACACCGTGTGACATGGATGTGAAATGCATCCAACACCACTTGACATGTATATAACACCGTGTGACATGGATGTGACATGTATATAACACCGTGTGACATGGATGTGAAATGCATGCAACACCTCTTGACATGTATATAACACTGTGTGACATGGATGTGAAATGCATCCAACACCACTTGACATGTATATAACACCGTGTGACATGGATGTGAAATGCATCCAACACCACTTGACATGTATATAACACCGTGTGACATGGATGTGACATGTATATAACACCGTGTGACATGGATGTGAAATGCATCCAACACCACTTGACATGTATATAACACCGTGTGACATGGATGTGACATGTATATAACACCATGTGACATGGATGTGAAATGCATCCAACACCTCTTGACATGTATATAACACCGTGTGACAGGGATGTGAAATGCATCCAACACCACTTGACATGTATATAACACCGTGTGACATGGATGTGAAATGCATCCAACACCACTTGACATGTATATAACACCGTGTGACATGGATGTGAAATGCATCCAACACCACTTGACATGTATATAACACTGTGTGACATGGATGTGAAATGCATCCAACACCACTTGACATGTATATAACACCGTGTGACAGGGATGTGAAATGTATACACCACTTGACATCTATATAACACCGTGTGACATGGATACTACACCGTGTGACATTGATGTGACATGTACACAACACCATGTGACATGTATATAACACCGTGTGACATGGATGTGAAATGCATCCAACAGCACTTGACATGTATATAACACCGTGTGACATGTATAGAATACCATGTGACATGTATACAACGCCATGTGACATGGATGTGATATGTATACAACACCACTTGACATGTATATAACACCGTGTGACATGGATGTGACATGTATATAACACTGTGTGACATGGATGTGAAATGCATCCAACACCACTTGACATGTATATAACACTGTGTGACATGGATGTGAAATGCATCCAACACCACTTGACATGTATATAACACCGTGTGGCATGGATGTGAAATGTATACACCACTTGACATCTATATAACACCGTGTGACATGGATACTACACCGTGTGACATTGATGTGACATGTACACAACATCATGTGACATGTATATAACACCGTGTGACATGGATGTGAAATGCATCCAACAGCACTTGACATGTATATAACACCGTGTGACATGTATAGAATACCATGTGACATGTATACAACGCCATGTGACATGGATGTGATATGTATACAACACCATGTCACATGGATGTGACATGTATACAACACCGTGTCAAATGGATGTGATATGCATCCAACACCACTTAACATGTATATAACACTGTGTGACATGGATGTGAAATGCATCCAACACCACTTGACATGTATATAACTTCGTGTGACATGGATGTGACATGTATATAACACTGTGTGACATGGATGTTAAATGCATCCAACACCACTTGATATGTATATAACACCGTGTGACATGTATATAACACTGTGTGACATGGATGTGAAATGCATCCAACACCACTTGACATGTATATTACACTGTGTGACATGGATGTGACATGTATATAACACCGTGTGCCATGGATGTGAAATGCATCCAACACCACTTGACATGTATATAACACTGTGTGACATGGATGTGAAATGCATCCAACACCACTTGACATGTATATAACACTTTGTGACATGGATGTGAAATACATCCAACACCACTTGACATGTATATAACACTGTGTGACATGGATGTGCAATGAATCCAACACCACTTGACATGTATATAACACCGTGTGACATGGATGTGAAATGTATACACCACTTGACATCTATATAACACCGCGTGACATGGATGTGAAATGCATCCAACACCACTTGACATGTATATAACACCGTGTGACATGGATGTGACATGTATACACCACTTGACATGTATATAACACCGTGTGACATGGATGTGAAATGCATCCAACACCACTTGACATGTATATAACACCGTGTGACATGGATGTGACATGTATACAACACCATGTGACATGGATGTGACATGTATACAACACCGTGTGACATGAATACAACACCATGTGACATGTATACATTACCATGTGACATGGATGTGACATGTATTCAACACCATGTGACATGGATGTCACGTCAAGCCAGTGTGACATTGTTTTGCACACTTTACATTTTTGTTCATGATATGTAAAAAGTGTCCTTTGTTGGATAACAACGCTTCATATTTTTGTGGATCTTCTATCAAGGTTCAAATTCGAATTTTTTTTAACCGTTGAAATATAGGAACATTAAATCATTGATCACCAGTAAATTAGAGTCGTAATCATTTCCAGCTTTCAACAGTTAATACCCAGCCTTGAAAAACTGTTTCCTTGTTGAAAGGGGAATTAGAAACGGCACTCTTATTTTGCATACAGATTTCAATAGCTTAGTTTTTGTACATAGGAATATGAAAAAGAATTATGAAATGCATATTGCCTTACATGATGTGTTATTTTCCTTTGCTTGAAACTATTACCGTAAGTAGTCAGTAAAATAAAAGTAAGACCATTAATTTTAGTTGTGTTCTTTTTTCCTATCTTTTTGCTCGCTGCCCTAAACACAGCTAAGACTGTAGATCCAAAGCTTGGCAATCTCTCTGAGCACAACCCGGAAGTGACTGCATGGTAAACATGGAGGTGATACAACAGTCTTCCTTCTTGGGAGGGGGTGGTGGGTTAGCCTAGTGGTTAAAGCGTTCGCTCGTCACGCCGAAGACCCGGGTTCGATTCCCCACATGAGTACAATGTGTGAAGCCCATTTCTGGTGTCCCCCGTCGTGATATTGCTGAAATATTGCTAAACGTGGCGTAAAACCATCCTCACTCACCCACTCTTCCTAATGGATATGTTTCAATAATAGCTCTGTATCACACAGTGTTTCAGAACGAAGGTTCAGAACAAGGCCGTCTCCTTGGTGTAGTGGGTAGAGAGTCTGCCAGGAGAGTTTGTGGTCGGAGGTGCGATCCCCGACCGCGTCATACCAAAAGACGGTACTTGTTGTTACCCTGTCCAGCGTTCGGCATTACTCTCACTGGCGGCTCGGACTGAGCATGCTGTGTGGGTTATATCCGCGGCATGATAAATCAATGGACTAGCATTCTAAGTCAGGACAAGTACTAATCGGACATCAGCTGACTGATAGGACTGCTAGCAGTAATTTAAGAGCCCCTCGAATCGATTAGAGAGTACAAATCAACCAGAAACCTACTCCACTAAATCAGAAAAAGATTTGAAATTTGCAAAACAAGGAATTGATGTCTTAAACTTCAATTACATTCTCTAACTAAAATCAGTTTCCTAAATGTCCCACATTAATTCAAATGTCAAGAACCGCCAAGAGTGTCATTCT